TCTGCTATTTACAATTATACCCTTCACATCTTAATCGTTACAAGTAATTAACAGAAAAGGTAAGATTTTATTTTCAAAAGGTATCATTTTAATAGCAGAAATTGTTATAATTCTTTAATGATATATGTACAGAGGGCTATAATTGATAATTTTCAGTATTTTAGGAATCAAATTAAAAATATATTTGATTTGGAAATTCATTTGAAATACGAGTTATAGTTACTCAGTTAGGGATCAATTTGTCATTCACCCACAAACTAGTTATTCCTTTTATTCACATAATATGCGTTTATACATCACATACATCATGCATCATATATATATATATACATATATACACACACATATATATACATATATATATACATATTGTGTCGTAGGAGTTTTCATTTATGGTGTTAAATTTTCTATGGAATTGAAAATTAGTTTTTAATAAATGCATAAACATTAATACACGAGAAAGCATTAAAACCTTTTCCAAAGGGCAACCAGGATCGCACCTAATAAATGTCTCCCTCATGCATTTCGAAAATCGTTCGCACGTTGGTGTGATCAATTTTTATTTATATCAAAAGATTTATATATTTTGTTCTATGTGTTTTGGCAAAAGATTAAAAATATAATAATAATAAAATCATTAATTTATTCTACCAACAACAATTTGCTTTTCTATGTATCCCATCTAGTCAGCCCGAGCATTTAGTTTACCAATCACAAAACTGTTGCACAAGAAATCCTAACACAGTAGCATGCGTACTATTTTCTAAACTAATAGAATTAGAAGATTGCTTTTTATAAATATCTAACGAAGTTTGAAGTAATCAACTGCAAGGAGTTGGTCATTGCCTTGATTTTGGCCAATTTTTTTGGTTAAAAAAATTAATTGATTATTATCATCGTATTGAATGTTGAAATCATTTTAATTGACAAGATTGATATACGTAATTAAGCTATTATGAAGGGATTAATTAAATCCAATTCAAATTCATCCACATGTTCTTTGATTTCCCAATGAAACCGGTGGAAAATTATGTGGACCGATGTATGCCGACCACGGAGACGAATTTGCTGGCTCCAACATGTTATTATCATAATTGCTATGCAAAATATATATATATATATATATATATATATATATATATATATATATATGATGAGATTAAAAAACTTGATGAAAGACAGAGACCACAAACCAAATCTATGTACAGACACCCTAGACCATTTCTTGTCAATTGTCACCCTCCTGGATGCCTTGTTAGAGACACCATTACTCAGCACCATGTGAGGATGAATAAGAGAGAAAGAGTTCTTCAAAGGGAAGGAAGGGAAGGGAATCCTATTAACCACCATTCATGAATATTAATTACACAAGTACTTCACCCTTTTCAAGGCATTTCCTTCCTTTATATTCTCCATCACCATTGTCTCGGGGGAATGCATTTGAGTGACCATTTATGCAATCGTACATAAAAATATTAATCAGGATAATATAAATTAATAATTGTAGTGAATAGTAAGTAATATTTTAACGGACGAGATTTATTAAATAACCAGTAATTAATTCAATCCATATTTTAAACTGATAGTATATGAATTATGATCAGTGGCATGAACGGTATTTTATTCTCTTTTATACCTTCACAAGTAAGGATCTTCTAATTTGAAAATTGCACGAATTTTTTACTGTTAAGCTAAATTTTTTTATTTAATTAGAAAAAAATTACCGTTATGCTAAATTTTTTTATTTAATTAGAAAAAAAGGAGGAGTGATACTAATTGGTCAATTAATCTGCTCTAATATCACATTAATTAACCACTTAATCTAATATTAAACTGACAGTTGAGGCTGACCTCAAAGAGTGTCAGTTGCAAGATTGGTTATATGCGTTCTGAAAAAAGTATGTGTCATGTTCTAACTTGTCATAAAATTAATAAAAGGCCTCGAGGGCAGTGAAACTACCATACCTTGTCGACAGTTAGGTTTCAGCATATATAATATTTTGAGCTTAAAATTTATGAAATGCAAACATTAATGATGAGGCAAGAGGCAGCGAAAGGGCTGCGTTTAGTTTGCCTAACTAAGTATGTGTAATAAATTTCTCATCGGTTCGAGTTCTCAAAGATTTAACTATAAGGCGATCAGGTTTGCAAACTACCAGCTTTGTAGTCCTGGTCAGGGGGGAACTGTCTTGTACCATGTACAACAATTTTCTATTTAAAGTTTATATTAATAGCAAGTCGAGTTGACGTTGAGCCACTGAACCCATGTTCTGTTCAACAAATTTAGCTGGATTAGATAGCCAGTTTGACTTTTGATCCTCGAAGGGTATGATGAAGACACAGTACCTAGTTAACACTCATCAGTCTCCTCAGAAATATTCTATGTAATTAAACAAGGCAGTACCCTCTTTAATTTCTTTAATGCTTTCTCTTCACTCTTGAACTCTTGATCACCAATGGAATTTAATTGGAGTTACCAATTTTTTCATTGCTTAAATCAGTTTAGGACTTTAGGCCTCGTAGATATTCTTACCAAGCTAGGTGCAGGTCATGGGCGTCCAAGCCAAATTAACTTGGGATGTTAAGGAAGTGCTGGCATGCATCACCACTCCATTTTTTAACCATGCATGCAACCTGCCCCAAGTTAAATCTCCACTGCGATAAAACATTTGCTTTCAAAATGAAACCCGGCAAACCATAAGATGATAGTAGATTGATAAGTAAATATTAACTTATACGTTAAATTTAAAGTTCAATCTTTATATTTAATATTTTTAAAATTTTATTTTTAAAATATTTAAAGTCATGCTTGAAAAATATTTTTTAACCACGTCTAAAAAAAAAAAATAATCATGAGGTATGTGAAAGTTCAACTCAAAAATATTTGTTACTGAAAAAAAAAAAAGAAACCTGACCCGCGGCTAGCCAGCTACTGATCCTAACACATCAGCTTTGGGCTTTAGGTTGAGAGAGAGAGAGAGAGAGAGAGGTCTTCTCTGCCACAAATATAGATGAATTGAAGCCATGACATATAATTTAATCAATCATGCCTTGAGGATAAAAGAAGCACCACTGACTCATGTTATGATTGATTAGATCTGGAAACATGCCAATTATAATTAAATGCAAATCCGACCATTGGATGCAAAACACAATTTGACAATTTGTATGACTTGCAAGTACTCCAAAGTACAGCAACGAAATAGATGGCTTTCTAACATCATTTCTACTAGAACAGCAATAATTAGATAGCTTTCTAGCTTTTAGTTCTACAAGTACAGCAACGAAATAGATTGGCTTCCTAACATTATGTATACAAATACAGCAATGATGTTGATTTGGTTTCCCGAGATTACTTCTTGATCGGGCGGTCATATATATATATATAGTCTGTCTGATGCTAAATGTATCCTAATATTCGGACAAATAATATTAGTGTCAGATCAGAAGGACAGCAACTAGTCAGTAAAATAAGGTGACGAGGTCTCGTCCTCCATGCACCGAAGAAGTGATCTCCAACACTGAGATATCGAGAAATCCCACTACTCGCTACTCGATCGGTAAAATATCAAAAAACATACTAGCTAGCTAGCTAACATGCATATTAACCCACAAATATTATGCATTATCAAAATATTAAGTACATACTATTATGAAGTTGACAATATATATATTAGATTAATGTTTGATGGTTTCTCATTTATTTATTTATTTCTTGGGGTCCGCTAAGTACATGGATAACTATAAACAAATTAAATTTGTTTTTTGAAGTTTTCATCATTGCCTACCTTAGTCCTCAAACTGTGCCTACAGATCAGCATAGTAAATTTAATTGTATGATCTTTTGTTGTTGAAGAGCAAGTGCATGTGTGAAAGTCAAATTAAGGTGGTGTGGCTGCTAGAGAAGAGGGCGAGTCAAGATGACGGATGAACAGTAGTCGGCAGAGATTTCCATTATAAGTAAAATGAACGTGAAAGCATGATATATATAAAGAACCAAAAGTAATTAAAGTAGGTCGTTCCATTATATAATTAATTAGGCAAGGAAAATGGGAATATCGCGCATGAACGTCGGGGTATCATGCCACTTGGTATGAATTCAAACTCAAATTATCTGGCAAACTAAAGAATTAGTGGCATCTCATTAATTTCTAAACTTCCATTTATCATACACAATATTGTTGGCTAGACTACCTAACGATACGTATTGATTGGTAGCTAAATCCCCTCAATTTACTTGACCTATTTATTTTTGGTTTGAACTTTCAACATATTTTAGCTACTGCGTACATCCCTAACCAATCGGAAATTTGACAGATTATCATAACTTGAGGTTTAATTGTATGTCAGAAAACAAAGCAGTTAGTTGTTAACTCACTTGGAATTGGATTGTTTATTCATGGTATAATTAACAATGCTTTTCTTTTAGAAATTGGCTAGGGTCACAATCTTCCAGGACATTCTATTTGGTATTGTGAGTTTGGGGGTAATGCGTGTCTGGTACAGTTTTTGCCTTTGCCTTTTGACATCTTTGCAACTAATTACAGATCATATATGGAAAGAAACGATGATAATTTTTTATTTTTGGCATTAAAGGAAATGACAGTTGAATATAGAAAAAGAGGGATGCATCACCTGAAAGAAACTAAGAAAGATCAAGAGAATGCTTCTGTTTTGGATTTCCAGTAGCATTACGTGGCTAATAAAGCATTGACCTTTTGTCAAGCAAAAATGTCACCGTCCCACATACCTCACCCCAACTCCTACTTGATTTTTTTTTTTTTTAAGAAACCAGAAAAAGACTAATTCAAGTAATTAGGAGAGTTGACTATCTAGATGGCGGGAAATATTACTATAAATAACCCCCATGCACCCTTTTCATTTGCAAGCACAGCAAAAGCAAGACTAATTAGCTAACTAAGCAAAAAATATACACTCAAAAACTCTCTCTCCCTCTCTTTCTCGGAACTTGTGTTCGATCCATTGCTTCTTTTGCTTCCATGGCAATTCCAGTGATTGATTTTTCTAAGGTCAATGGCACCGGCGAAGAGAGGACCAAGACAATGGCTCAGATTGCCAATGGATGCGAGGAGTGGGGATTCTTCCAGGTACCTTTTTCAGTTTCTGGCAATATTTATATGTTGCATGATCATAACATACAAAATTGGGTGTTGGAGAAAAGAATGGTAGATAATATTGAATTCCCTTCAGCATTCAATCCCTTAAAAGAATTCTTGATGAAGCATTACTTGCCAAGAGCTTATGGTGGCAAGCTATACACAATGGATCCGATGCATAATGAGGTTTTCAATTCGCATTCTTTAAGTATAAAAGAATTTCTCTAAATTAATGTGCATTGTTTAATACTGTTACAGCTGATGAACCATGGAATTCCAGATGAGCTCCTAGAGAGGGTGAAGAAGGTTTGTTCGGAATACTTTAAACTGGAAAGAGAGGAAACTTTCAAGAACTCAACAATAGCAAAGACTTTGAATGATGTAGCTGAGAAGAAAAGCGGTGAGAAATTGGAGAGTGTGGACTGGGAAGATGTCATCACTCTCCTGGATGGTAACCAGTGGCCATCAAAAACCCCTGGATTCAAGTAAGTATAACCGCTTCTAATTTCTAAGTATTAATTGCTCTCTAAATATCCATGCATGGTTCCTTTCTCTCCTCTAAAACTCATATAAACAAAAGGTGACTTGATAAAAGAAACAGACACGACACAGACAAATATAACTCAACTTTCATCATCCCTGAAAATTATCAATGGTATAAACTATTCAAAGAAAAACATGCAGTATATCTAACTTTCTGGCATTAATGACAGGGAAACCATGACTGAATACCGAGCTGAGCTGAAGAAATTTTCCGAGAGGGTCATGGAAGTAATGGATGAGAACTTGGGCTTACAAAAAGGATACATCAAGAAGGCGTTCAATGATGGAGAAGAAGACAGTGCCTTCTTTGGTACCAAGGTTAGCCACTACCCACCATGTCCTCATCCTGAGCTAGTCAATGGCCTCCGAGCCCACACCGATGCTGGGGGTGTCATTTTACTCTTCCAAGATGATGAGGTCGATGGCCTTCAAATCCTCAAAGATAGGCAATGGATTGATGTCCAGCCAATGAAGAACGCTATTGTGATCAATACCGGTGATCAGATTGAGGTCCTTAGCAATGGTCGATACAAGAGTACCTGGCACCGTGTTTTGGCCACCCCAGCGGGGAACAGAAGGTCGATCGCTTCATTCTATAATCCATCGCTTAAGGCCACTATAGCTCCTGCACCGGAATTGGTACAAAAAGATAACGAAGAGATCAATCAATCTTACCCGAAGTTTGTGTTTGGTGATTACATGTCGGTTTATGCTGAGCAGAAGTTCCTTCCTAAAGAGCCCAGGTTCGAGGCCGTAAGGGCCATGTAAGAGGGTGCAGCTTCCCATAATTAAGAGAATGAAACCTCTCTTATTCTTCATTTTCTCTTTCTAGTTATGGTTATAGTGACATGTAATGTGCCTCGCGGCAGAAGCTTCTTTCTCTTAACTAAACATATGAAGAGAAAAGAAAGCTGGGTATATCCGTGTGTTTGCTTTAGGTTGTTGTGTTATGTAATGATGAGGCGGTTGCACACTGCACTTGCCAAGGTTTGCTTTGTACAATTAATAGTCTCAGTAGTATATGAAAGCTATATTTCTAAGAAACTACCTTTTCTTTCCTTTTTAATTACCAGACTTGTGTTTTTGTAACACTTTTAATGGATTTCATGAAAAAACTGGTTGATAGGAAACTGCAGAAACAAAGTACTAGTTTGTTTAAATGGTTGTTACTTAAAAAATTAACTTTCCTGTGTTGTAAAGAAGTGCGTAATTGGGTTTTTGTGTACTATTCATAAATAAAATGGAATACTTGCTACCACTAATATGGGCTTTTCCTTGCCCTGGTTTCTTGAACGCATGTTCCTTGATTATCTCATATGTCAATTTTTCTTGGATGTTTCCTCTGAAAGACTAGAACGACATGCCTGTCAATGGAAGCAGGGAAATGCTAAATGTTGGGTGCGGTGTTTCATGGGTAAATTACACCAGTGGTCCCTCAAGTTTTAAATTTTGATCATTTTAACCCCTACATTACGTCTTTGGGCATGCCAAGCGCCAACTCCTGCACTTCCAATTTTTGCGTTCATATGCAAACCTTTCATCCATTTATATGCGTACACATAAAATATTTGATGAACATGATTTTACTGAGTGGCCACAGGTGACCACAAATTGAAAACTTCAGGGCTTTAATGCCCAAAATTATATAGGTTAAAATGGCCAACATCTAAACCTCAAGGGACCATATACGTAATTAACCCTGTGTTTGATACATTGATCAAGATCATAAAGGTGCTTCAAAGGTTTCTAATTTTCATTAATCACACAAATAGAGAGAGGTGTGACATTCAGATTCAAGAAGTCCCTGGTTCATAATCATAAACAAGCTTTCCATACTAAAAGCAAATATAATTACCCACTCTGCCTTCGCGCTTTTAAAGTTATATATGTGTGTGTGTGTACTCCTCCCTCTCTCATAAGCATTCCAACGTAGTACTAAAAAATTAACATGTAGATAAAATTTATCAATGGAATAAGACAACCAAGTATCGAGAATGTAGGTACAGCAAAAGCTGAAAGATTATATTTCTATTACCAATAATCATTGATAGTATATACTTACAATTATCAATAATATGTCAAGAAACTAGAAGAAAAAAAATGGCAAACCCTATCCTCATGTGGGAGTCAATGTTGGTAATGATTAATTTATAGTCTTTACTCGCTGTATGGTAAATTTGCTGCAGTAATTCTAATTTACAATCTGTATAGACATTTACACAAACCTTGATCCTGGGTAGAAAATGGAGCAGGTTTCTCTTCAGTTTCAGAGCTTCAAAGGGCCTTCTGATCTAGCCTCTCGTTCCAGTTTAGGCAGCGGATCAAGCTGCGAAACCAATCGCCTGTTTGATCAGATTTGTTGACCGTTGGAAGTGGGTGCTGGCTCATAGATATCCGGACCGAATCCCCTCTTGAGAGTTGCTGCCTCCTCTTTCCATCAAAAGAAACCCATGCATTACTTCGAGCATCCTCTGGAATCTGTTTGATCAGCAATTATGAATCCTCAAGCTGAAGAATATAACAGAAAGAAATATGATCACAGAATTTGAGCCTTTAATTTACCTTTAATTCAAGTCTTGCAGAATCTGGAAGTATGACTGGCCTAAATGAGAGAGAATGTGGGCAGATAGGGGTAAACAGCATGCAAGGAACATTTGGATGCACCTGAACCAGTATGCACATCATTACACAGATGATTATGTTCACTGGAATTTACCAGAAATAGCAATAACCACGGAATATATTTAGACCATGTTTGCACCAGATGTTTTGAGGAAAGGAAGGAGAATGAACCCTCAATCTTGTTTGCAAATCTTTTTGCGAGGTAAAAAGGGATTGATGGAGATTGGAGGGTTTTCCTTAACATAGATAAAGAAATGGGTGGAAGAAGAGGAGAAAATAGCACAAAATCCAACTATCATAGAACAAACTCAAGTCGGATTTCTCAAAAATATTCACTCTAGCAAATTCTTAAAGAGTACATTGGCACATTCATGCAACTCCCACACATCCTATTGAAACAAGGTTTCCCAAGAATTCATTTTCTAGAGTTGAAAACAATCTGGATGCTAAACATTATGAATTGAGTGAGACTCAAAAAGACAATTTACCATGGAACCTCCTGCAGCAGTGGAATAAGCAGTACTTCCTGTAGGAGTGGCCACTATGACTCCATCACCTTGCACCTAGAAGAAAAGGCATCCATTAAAATAAGTACGGAAATATCATTAAAAATGTGAAAATTTATTGTATGCTATGTGTATGCTTAAACATGCAGAACTCGCGCAAATGTCCATTGCTGTTAAAAACTAAAATAAAACTTGAATTTGTTCTACACCGAGGAACCAGGATAAGTCTTGCCCCTTATGCAACAATCGAGAGCAGAATACAAGAATGTGAATTTGTGTCATTTAAGGCATGATATTGTAAAACTCACCTTGGTTATAAGTCGGTCATGTTCATAGCATTCAATCTTAGAAAGATATGGATTAGAACCCCGATCAACAACCACTTCATTTAAGACATCAAAAACTTTCCCAGGCACTGCCTTACCATTGCGAAAGATTTCACACCAGAGGCGCATTCTAAGAGTTATATAAACACCGTCCAAGGTGTTATTCCCACGGATAACCTGTCTCAAGTCCTGGCTGTAGTCTTCAAACTATATTAAAAAGGAAAAACAAAATGGCAGCAGTCAAGTAAATTGTCACCTATGATAGCACAAAATACCATTAACAAAACATGAACTCATATAGAACTTACATAATGAGAAGTCAGAAATCCAAGAGATCCAAGATTAAAGGACACAACAGGTGGAACTGCCCCTCGAAATAAATTTGATGCATGTAGTATTACCCCATCTCCCCCCAGGCACGCCACAAAATCAACCCTCTCATGAAGATCACTGCATCAAGAGATGCATATACAACCAGTGAGGCATTTTGGATATTTAAGTATTCATCTATGTCAATTCCCAAATACTTATTACCTGGTATCTTGACTATAAAAGGTCTGAACAAATCCAAACCCTGGAATTCTAGCAAATATGTCATGAACATCAGGTTCAACAAGAACGTTCATTTTCTCTTGGTGGTACAAGAAGGAAGCAATCTGCAAATTGGACAGAAAAAACAGCTATAATTACCACATATGAATAAAGTGATTTCAGCGGTACTCATAACCACAAGTACTGAAAGCATTGTCTTGAGTTAATCCCTGCATCAATTTTCCATTCTCATTTCTCAGCACCAGTTTGGCCCTGTAAGACCTGTAACCTGTTTCCCCTATGGGTATCCCAATGCATTCACGTCCAAGCAAGTAAGGATAAGACAAGATGGATATCAATTTCCTTAAAAAAATTCCCAAGCATTCAGTTAAGAACTCAACTGACAAAGTTTGTCTTAAAGAAGATGCAACACAAGCAATCAAAGGTGATGGAAAGAAAAGATTAATCCAAGCGATAGGGCTTCCTTTGTGTTCTTATGTTCTCATAATTTTGGTGAAAGTAGTCTATAAGGCTTCGTTTGAAAGAAATTCAACTCTAGTCTACCCAAGAGACACTTGGCATTGTGTCAATGAGAATGTAACTGCTTAGGTTGATTTTTTCTATGCTACAGTGGAAAATTTCCAGAATGAGAATGAGAATTGAGAAAACCAATTTGAGCTTTATTGGATGAAAATTCAAGTAAAACCTTGATCTTTTCTTAATGACTATGCAGATCCCTTGTTCCTGGGATATTTTATATTCACAAAAGATTTAGCACTTACTATCTACCAGCCAAAATCTTCCCCTCTCTGGAACAAATGTCAGTGAAAGATTAGACTGTGAACAGACAAAAAAGTAGTTGTAGATGCAAGAACATATATACCAATACTCAGAATCAAAGACTGAACCATCATTTTCAATAACAACAAAAAAAAAAAAAAATGGGAACAATATCTGCAGAATTATGGTTTCATAAATCACTTCAATAATAAGAAGCCAATTTTCAGGGAATATGGCATTAATTGAGGATATTTTGCATCAGTACCTCTTTTGCTTCTTCCATGAGTTCTGGCCCCAGCTTCTTCAACAACAATACTGTCTTCGGCGAGGATTTCCACATAAGCATCTGTTGCTGGGTGCTAGGATGAGTGAAGGCCAAGGAAGATTCTGTAACCTGCTCTCTGGTACAAGAGAATCCATCTGTCCGCACTAGAAACATCTCTGCCTTCCTTCTTGACTGCACCCTTACGACACCAGTTGCAGAAGCACACATGTTTCCTTCAATTGTGCACAAGTCATCATCACCGGAGGCTAAGGAAGCAACACTGTTGTTTTTATTATCATCCTTCATTGATCTGCGTGCAAGATGGTCACTTAAGCTCTCAACCACAGTGGTAGAGACATTATTCCCTGTAATGACAGGTGAGCTCTGAGGCTTTGGAGATGCATTTTCACCATTGACTGATCCATTGGATCTTTTTGCCTCCAGGAACACTGACTCAGGATCAGTACCATCAACTTTCTGGACTGTCCTAACACTTGTCGTTCTAGAAACATTCAACTGATCCTTAGAGTATGTTGGAGGTATGATTTTTTTAGTTCTGAAAAATCTGGACATCTCTTCTTTGGAAAAGAAATTGCAAGGAGGAACCTGAGCCTTCAGAGGGTCAGTTATCATGGAGATGTTTGCTAAAGATCCTACCTCATTATCTACCATTTCTAATGGACTCGAACCCTGAACAGAAGCATTAAACTTGTATGCCCCATTAATGCTCTGACCATTTTCATCCTTCGGAGAGACAGCTTCATTAGACATTCCATTTGAACCATGATATTTGTCCAAAGCCTCTGGTAGAGATCCATTTTCCTGTTCTGGGAGGGACCCCCTCCAATGATGGAAGGTCCCAGCCTTCCTCCCTTTTTGTTTGCATCTCGTAGTCCCATATCTCTCGGAGTGGTAATCTGAGATGTGCGAGTCATATACTGCCTCCATCTGGAGACCATAGCAGAAGTTCTCCGCACTCCTTCCTTGCTGTGGAGATAGATGGGCTTTTTCTGCAATCTGAAACCAAAGATGCAAACTTTTCAACCTGCTCCATAGAAGGTGCTGTCCCAACTTCAACAGGAATTTTAATCAATTCAACTTTCCCTGCTGCAATAGCATCATCTACCGCTGCTTCATATAACTTATCCTTAATGATTTCTTCTCTAAGATCTACAATGGTCTTGAATCCTCTCTCCAGTAAGCAGTTTAAACCTTCCTCCGTTACCTGCCCACCACTCCAAAATACGACCTCAGAATTTTTGGACGCCAGGTCTTCTTTAGAAGTGGATAAATAAACAGCATTCCAATTTGCAAAAAGCATATGACAAGGATAATCATCACGACGGGGAAAACCAGAATCATAACAAACATTCTTCAGCCTCTGCAGTTTCCTCCATACATCCAGGCTTCGATCATCGTCAGGTGTCAAAAAGTTTTGAAGCGCAACATGCAAACTCTCACAACACCTTTTCATCTCGCTTCTGAAAATGGCTAGCGGTGGAAGTTTATCTTCCATCACACTTACTTCGGCACCCTGAAAAGAACTCATGATGGAAGATCTTCCAGTAAGAACATCTTCTCTTCCTTTATTCAAAAGCGATACAATGCAGCCAAGCACAGATACTATTTTATCTTCAAATAGTGGCTTTTCCTCTGACGGAAAATCATAAGAAATTTTACACTCCCCAGTCAATGGATTGCATAATGTATCCATCAATGCAGCATAAAGCCGTTCAGCTGCTCGAAAAATTCTACAATAAGCCTCAAGTTCAGCAATATCCCCCGGAACTGGACCAATCCAGGACAATTGTGATAGATCATGAGACTGACCTATCTTCTAAATCAAAATAAATCCATGTCAGTCTATACTATGGTTTCCTTTCCAAAATCATTAATTTACCATCTTTTCTAACAATCATACATATTAAAAAAATAAATAAATAAGAATTAAAAAAAAAACATAAAGTGGAAATGATCTAATATACCTAGAAAATGAGAAATTATTCTTGTTGATTCAGATAAATTGATAAAAAAAAAAATGGATAAATAGATCAATTTATCCTTACATAATAGCTTGAGTCTTTAATCTGCCTCTACGTATCTATTATGTCCTTAAATAATGTTTAAATCTCCAATCTATTCTTCTGATCAAATTTTCCTACCATGAGCAAATATTTTGGTCAAAATACTCCTGTCTTAAAAAAATGATATATATATATATATATATATTGCATTTCAGTCAAAAAATTTGTCCATGGTCAGACAAATTGATCAAAAAGATAGATTGAAGACTTAAAATTATTCAAGAACATGATAAATATAATTAGAAACGTAGAGACAAATTGAAACAAATTGAAGACTCAGACTATTATATAAAAACAGATTGAACTACTTGCCCATAAAAAATAGAAATAAAAGAGGCAGTAAGACAAGAACATTGTCAAGGATGTGAAAGAAAAAATGTCAGCGCATAAACATAGGAAGTAAGACAAGAAGAATGTGAGAGTAGAAACAGCTGAAAAAGGGAGCGCAATGTTAGTCCCCACTTCCATTATCCAAACCTATGATCACACTTTCAAGCTCGGTTTTTCTAACTTTACAAACTTCTGATGACGGTCCTTGCCCTAGCAATAGCATCGTGAGATGCAACGAGTTCACTAAAAGGTCTACTTTTAACTCATCGTACACTTTTGCTATTTCATGTCTACAACTGTATTTAAAGCCCAGAATGGCTGTTGGAAAGAAGCAAAAACGATGATTATGTCCGGAAGCTCCTTTTTTAATTGTTTCCAAGCAAAATAACATAACAACATGGCTGTTTCAATCACAATTATCTACTTAAGAGTACAATCAACGAGTTACATAATCAAGATCGTTGCAATTTTGAATTCAACAAGCATTTATAAGAAATGCAGTTCTCACTAGTCAGCGAGTTTCAAATTAATTGCAATTAAGAAATTACAAGAAGTGTCAATCAAAAAATGAAGTTTGATCGAACTCAATAAAAATCCATTAGTTGATCCAGGAATTTCAATATGGGCACCGTCAAATCTTTATGTGAAAAAGTTTCCAAGTCCACATATATCAAACAATTATTTCAATTTTGCTCGCATGAAAATAAGAAAAAACGCAACTCGTTACTCTCTGAGGCATTTAATCGAACGTGATACTTCAAACACACGAAGAGATCAGAAAGAATTCATAAAGTGAGAAAGAGAATGACCTTAGAGTCCAAACCCAAGTTCACAGAGAAAGACTTGGATAACTCCGCACTGACGACAAACTTGAGCTTTCTCTTTAACCTCTCCTTTCTTTGCAACCCAAACCCAAAACCGAACAGTTTACTGTCTCTGTTATTAAGCTTGAACGAGCACGGACACGACGTTAATATTCCGGTGACCGGAGATAACCTATTCATGATGACGGACACGTGGAAGAGACCTAGCACCATGTGCGAATGAATTTAGTTTTGATGTTTGGTTTATTTTTTCTGTTTTATATGGGTCTGTCATCTCTAAAGTGTGATCTTTGACGGTCTGACATTATTTATTTGAGGATAAGAATGATAATAAAACGGTGCTTAAGAATTGAGAAAATGATGTTGGTGTTGTGGATATAAAATGGCGGATAAGAATTTTGACAATTATTGAGAATTTGGAGTGATATTATTGGTAGCTTTTCTAGCTTGTGGTGCTGGAAATTTTATTATCTTCTTTTTTCCCTCTTTTATCTTGTTTTTTCCAAAGCTTTTTATGATTTTTTTTTTTTGGTAACTTCGTATTATGAATTGATGAATTTTATTAGTAAATCTCATAAGTTTAATGGTTAAATTTACAAATTAATGCTTTCTTATTGAAATCAATTTTTTTAAAAATAGCTATACGTTATTTATTACTTGGATTCATTTATTTGATGCATAAAATCTCTTTAAAGAATAATTTTGAAAATAATATTTAATACAATTAGCATTGTTATTTTATTATATCAATTCTTTGATCTTTCTATGTGAATTTTTTCTCTTGTGGGTGCATATCTATTGTATGATGTATTTCATTTAATATCAATAGTCAATTTTGTTGTAATGGTCGGGAAAAAAGAATTTGCTTTTTATTAACATATAAATTAATTAAAAATATAAACATTAATAGTAATAGTGAAACATATATAATCAAAATACAAAAAAATTATTAAACACAGATATATTCTACCACCTAAGATTCTAGACCAAACAAACAAAATTATTGCAAATAATTAAATTTGTCAAAACCATCTACAATATTAAGTAAATTATATTTAGAATATAAATTTTTTCGTACTTAATAATAAATCATAATTATAACATATATTACAAAATAATATAAAATTTAATAATATATAAAAAATTTTATTGATTCGTTGTATAATTTTAAATATTAAATCAAATTTATGTCATAATCTCTCAAGAAAGAAATATAATTTTAACGTAGGAAGAGTAATTATTGCCTACACGAAAGAAAATATTGTTACCTCTGCTTGATTAGCTTTTCCGATAATCATTGAAGACAAAAGCTAACACGGTGCTCTTAATCTTAAGCATCCATAAGAAAAAATAAAAATGAATAAAAATTAAAGAAAAGTCATTATTCTATAATTAGGAGAAAGCTCGATTTAGTTCTGAATCTATATTTTATTTTTTAATTGAATCTCAAATATATAAATTTTATTGATTAGGTCCCAAACATTTTAAAAAAAAACTCAATCAAGTCTTTAGGTTGATGTTCATCAATATTTTTATCAAATTTTCTTCAAATTGATGCCATTCTAGTGCATAAATATGCATAATCAACTGAAAATGCTCATTAGTTTTTATTTTTTAAAAAGATTGTTTTAGTTTATAAAATATGCAAATTTGGACTCAAATTATTAAAAGAAATTGCCAAAAGAACACAGTTAAGAAATGTTTGAAATCTAGTTGATAAAATTTATAAATTTAAGGCGTAATTGAGAATGGATATACATGTTTAGGACTAATTCAGATTCTCTGATTAAAATTCAAATCAAGAGATTGATCATGAGCCTTGTTCAGCAAAATGAAGATGTACGTCCTCTAAAACCAACATTTATATGCTGAAACACATAAATTGTACCCTTTAAAAGAAAAGGAGTAAAGAAAATTTATAAAACCCCATCCTAAAGACAATTTATATAACCCCGTCCTCCCCAGTGACTTATGACCATGAATGTGAATATTAAAAGGAAAACCGAACACAAACTAGTTAACCAATGAAACGGGATGATAAAACATGCAGTTCTTCCTTCTAGAGTCATTAAAAAAATTTCAAATTGTTCGTTACGCTTTTTAATGACTAAAATCTAATATTAAAAGAAAAATAATTAGAAAAAAGCTGTACTCTTAGAAATTGAAAAACCGATTATTAAATTTGTTAAGAAAGGTTAGGGCTATTTAACCTATTTGAAAATCTAGTTTTTAATCTCAAAATTAATACAATAATTTCAAGATTTAACACCTAAAAAATTAATCCAAACTTGAAAAAAAAAGAATAAAAAAGGTCAATTAAAATCATTGATTTGAAAAAGTCTGATTAAGCTGGCCGGTGATGAATTAAGCACCTGAATTAGTGAAAGATTTCAGTCGACCTTTTCTTTCATCCAAATCTCAGCCTCTAATATATAGATTTGTTATCCTACCCACCCTTCGATAAGGTTAATATTATGCCCAATTTTATTGGACAAAAAATACCTTCGATTGATATACTCGTATTGACGATCTCTACCTTCCTCTGTTGCGTTTTTCTTCGCAATATATTTCTACCCGTTTAATCATAAATCAAAGGACACGAAGAGAATGTGTAGTCTAATAAAAAACTGAATATTTTTCCTGTTTTGCCAGGGATGCCCCTGTGCTCAACTCAGGTCATGCTACTTCTGGTACGAACTCTATCTATAAGCATTTGCCTGCCCGTCAAATCTTCTTCATAACCAACAACCTGCATTTGCATTATCAAGCACCATCATTGCCATAGAATATTTCCTCCAAAAAGGAATACGATGTTCACAACTGTTTTTTAATGACAAAGTAACCAATAAAAAATTTAGACGGGTAAAAAAGCTGAAACCTGAGACTCCGTTTGTGTTTCGCTGAAACCATCATATAGTCCTCCTCCATCGTTTACTATTTCAGAAGTATTGGATTCCTCTCTTCTCCCAGTCCTGAAAAGAACATGAGCACAATACCCAAGTCAAAAGAAATGCATGAAATAAAAAGTGGAGAAGAACCTTAACAAGCACTAATCAAGAGGACACTTTGAATTTGAGATGACTGGGAAAATCTATCAGTTGGCTGGCATTCGACCTTTTCTTGTTCTCAAGGTTTCAGATCCTCAATAATGAGTTAATGACAAGCTGCCCTAATCAAGAGGCATTTTCAATTTGAGTTCACAAAGAATATTTATATCCTCTCACTGACATCCTCTCTTATCTTAAAGTTTCAAGTCCTCAATATTGACAAGGAAAAAAAGGGTGCCCGATAGAACAAGTGGCACAAGAACATGACAATAGTCAAAATTACTACAGAACCAGCTTGCAAAAATATCCAACATATAATCATTTATTTGATACCAAAAATACAGACTGATAGTAACATAAACAAAAACCTACCTGCTTAACCAGTGCTTAGGCAACCCAATCACAGAGGGAGAACCCTCATGGCCTTCGCCAAGCATTGAACAGTCAGATGAAAATAGCTGTTCTAGCATTAAGGATTAAACAGAAGCAGAAGTCACATAATATATATCCAAAAGAAATTTGAATATAAGGATACACTTTTATCACACCCAGTCCTCCCCGGTGACTTCTGATCATGAATCTTGTAGAAAAACCAGACACAAATTAGTTAACCAATAAAACTAAATGTTAAACACGTAATCGGAGAATAGTTGGTGTTTTTACCTTGCTTGTCTGCTCTAACAAGTCCTCAATAGCAGCAGCTACATCAGGAATGTCATGAGAAGATTCTCCATTATCTTCTGTGTTATCACCTTCAGTGGAATTCATATTGCAGGTAGAATCACTCAAATGAACTTTAAATGAAAGCAGACTCTTCTGGTCATTATCTTTAAAAATCTTGGCCTTTTTACGGATATCAATAGATTGCTGAGCCTCTTCCATAAAACTATTGATTGCAATACCACCAATTTGGGCTGACGACTTTCTAAGGTCTTGTGGCTGACTAATAAATTGAGATGCATTCTCTCCAGATATCATTTGAACCGCTTGTGTAGGAAACTGGCTCACAGTGCATAACTCTTGGTCTTGAGAGGTAATTTCTTTTGGGCGAAACTGATCCAGTGCAACAACTTCATTCTGCAAAAACAGTGCAGGTTGTATACAGATATTTCTGCAAAATTACATAAGATCAAGTGCAAGTGGACGGTGTGTGCATGCACACAAAGAAAGTATCAGGAATGTACCTGCCTGACACACTCGTAAATCCACTCAGATGTAATAGAACATATATCCCATTTACAAGCAGCTTCATACTTTGGCCCGCTGGTAAACTTACATAATAAATGTGTGACCTTTCTAGTCAATTTCTCCACAAATTTAGCTCCAAGAACAAAGCATAAGTTTCTTAATAGCAATCTATCTTTCTCTTCATACTGAGAGATGCAAAAGCGGAAGTTTTCAAAACCAGGCAAAGGAATCCGGCAGGGAAGTGGAGAATATATAACATGACTACCAACATCCAGCAGACATCCACCCTTCAATAGCAATCATATTCATTAGCGATTGTAAGTGAGGTGGATTAGCAGACAATGAAGCCACAACAAACAAAATGCAAACAAAAAATGACAATAGGAAGAATAGGGAGCTATAGCAGCAACAACAAGAAGATTATTAGACAAGTAGAGAGTATTCAATTTTGGCTATTCATCTTGAGGAATGAAAATAACTCTAAACTGGACAATAGAAATTTTGTTTTTCATGATAGGGAAGTCGTGGGAGAAAGGTTAAAAAAAATTAATTATACGTACAGTCCACAGAATTCTTCTTGGAAGAGAAGGTATCTAATGCATACCTAAAGATGGTGCCTAAAAAATAAGCAAATCAAATTGGAGTTCTCAACCTCAGCTTTTTGTGCTTATTTATTTAGGAAAGAATCCATGGAATTTTACTTGAAGAATATTTTAAAGCATCAGCTAAGAAAGGTAAGAAAAGTTTATAGAAAAGGCCCAAGTGCTAATTATTTTTCTTCATATCCCAACTTTTCTCTCTATTTAACAAATTCACATAAAAATCTCTCCCATTTCTTGTTCCTCCCGAATGAAGTGATAAAGCTAAATAAGAAATGGAATGTGGAAGCATATGTGTGCTGATTCTTAATTAGCAAGTAGAATCTAAGCCTCTACAATTCAAATCTTGATCAACAAATAATCATGCCACTATGAAAAATTACTGACAAAGAACATCAATGCTTATGAGTCAGCCAAGTATACCTCTAAACAAGACCGGACCCAATGACTGGACACATAAAGAGTATGGGCGTCATCAGCAAGCCTAGATTTCACACCATGGCATTCAATCGTGAAGTGCACTTTCTGTTTTGCTTTATCTAGAACTAACTCACCTCCTCCTTGATTGACCCATTGCACAATTTCAGATCTCTGACAGGAAAAAAAAACACAATTAAAACATCGCCAAGCATTTCATACAATAATTTAAGAACTGCCAACTAAAGTCTTGCCAGAAAGCAATAAGAGCTGTTTTAAATGGTTGGTGAATCGATATACAAATGTCCACAATATTTTGGGATATATAGCTAGATATAATGTATAAAAGAATGCCAATTTCAACTGCTTACCCTATCTTCAGGAAAGCATTTTGAAAAGCAAAATGTTTTCCCCTTGAATACATCTAATGACTTCCTCCTTTGAACATTTTGATCGCTGCAATCATTTTGCATCCTTTTTGAACCTTTCTTTGGATCATTTACTACAGGAAATACATTTTGTTGGGACCGTCTCACAGTCCCTTCCAAAGAGATGCTCGAATTTATGTTCATTTCTGCTTTCACATCTCTGTTTTCCTCCAATAATGATGGCATGCTATGGTCAGAATTATTACCACCAAGCAACTGACCAGAGTGAATGCTTGGATGAACAATGGAACCCCTAGCTTGATTGCCAGCCATGCCTGCCATTGCTCCTTTGAGCGAGCTCACAGAATCTACATGATCAGGTGAGTTAGAAAATATAAAAAACATGTGACAATAAATTTTTAACAGCTTATTTATGAGAATAAAAATTAATCTCAACATAACACGTAAAAAAGAAATAAATAACAAAATATGTTCAGTCTGAACATGAATAGAAGAAAACATAAAAAAGTCAAAAGATAGTCATCACTGAAAAATTAGAAAACCTTTGGGAAGAAGTAAATCATATGCAATATGCTGACACAGAACAGGCATTTCTTTCTTTTCACGATCACAATCTTCAAGCCAGGCAGTTCTAACAACATTAATAACACCAGAAGCTGCAAGCCCTCTTAGCTCCTTCTTTTCACTACAGAACATATAAGCATGTGAGAGACAAGAATGTAATGAATAAGCGATGTTCCCCATATCCACCATGACAAGCAGAGAGATCTTATCAACAAAATTTAAACAAACTGAGAACATAAGCAAGTCAGCATGGGATGCTAGTACATGAAAAGCATTGCTTAAAAGCACCTGAAATGAATAAGGATAGTAGAAGAAAGCCAAGGCATGAAATACTTACACCTCTGTCGGAGCCCCAACTACTATATGTGTCAATTTATCATTGAAAGACATATACCGTGACCCCCCACCTCTACGCACCATATTAACTAGTTTGCGTAATTCAGGAGCTTCAAAGCCAACAAGTGATATTCTACACTCTGACAAGTGCAGATCACTTTCTTCAGATTGAGAGTCATCAGCAACACAACCATCAAGGTTTGTTTCGGTTGTTGCCTTTACCGTAGGCTTATCACAGTCCACCTCTTTCAAAAAAACAGGAAGATCTGAAAACATAGAAGACATGTTCTGTGAGAGTGTAGCTTCCAAGTCTGGATCTGAAGACCTAGCACAAGGAGTAGCAGGCAAATTTGATTCCGCAGCCACTGAGGATGGAACAGAATGCGAGTTTCCCATACACTTGTCTTGACTGTGCTGTTCAATCAAGGGGTCCCTCACTGTTTTGCTTGAAGATAGAAAACCACCCTGAACAGGATACGACTCCTCATTAAGACATGCTATTCATCAAAGAAGATAATTTCAAAGTCAGATGCAATTTTTACAATCTCTAAAACCTTGATTGAATAACACATTATGAATCCAAGAATAAAAACAAACTTACTTCAAAATATCATCTATATTTATAGCACATCTATAATGTAAAACACTACCTTTGCTAGCAACAGACTGATCAAACCATTTCGTTGTTACGATACGAATGTGGCCCCATCTTCTGGCAACCTTGTATTTGTCACCTTCAGGAGCGTGCTAGCAGTCAAGAAAACAAATACGCATGCTTGACTAAGACTTCAGAAACATTTATCAGTCAGGACTGCAAGTACGTGTACATATATTGCTATCTCTTACTATATTTTGCAAATTCAGAAAAATGCATGAGATTTTACATCCCCTGAAGAGCAATTGCACAACCCAATCACAGATGCATATGTGATATACAAGATCACAGCTGTTTAGGGTAGGCAAATACAAGAAACACACATATGAGCAGAAACTGTTTGAAAAATAAAATACATTGTAAAAGGTTTTTTTTAACAAACAACCTAATACAAAATTGCTGTAATGTGAGATTGAGAGTTAAAAGTATACAAACAGTATCAAAATCAACGGTTTTATAAAGAAACCAGGAAAAGGATATATCAGAAATCAGATGTGTACACTTCTTGGTCAGCTCAGCAGAATATTTCCCATCGTTTTGTATGATGAGTTTTTCAATCTCCTTCCGTTTATCTGGGAAAAGTTAGTCAACTAGCATTAGAGAAATATAGCTTTCCACTAGCAACAACAAGAAAATAGCTTATATGATAACCTGCTGGAATTCTAGTAACACATATTGTTAATCCAGAAAAAGGAAGAACCCTGTATGATTCTTGAGGAACAACACGGTGCTCATTCCAGCATTGATATAACCAATTAATAGTGACAACTGGTTTCTTCAGAACATTCAAAGCCCACTGCAATAAGGAAAAGGGGAAAAAAAATCAGAATAGCAGTTATTGTATTTATCAACATAAATTTACATATCATAACAATATTCTATCTGACAATCCGAACCTCTCCAATAAGGATAATAAAGATTGCACAATCACAAAGCAAACTAGCAATGAACAGTGAATGGTGAAATTTTTAAGGCATGTCAAATCCTTTGGGGTGGAAACTACAAAATCTAATGACAGGCAGTGCCAATGGAGCAAGTTTTAAGTTTAAATAGCAGTATTTAAAAACCAATTTCTAAGAAGATATATTGATGACCAACTCCAATGGTTTAAAAAAAAACAAAGAAACAAAATCAAGCTCAACAAAATGTATAAATCAGTTTTTGGAAGCCTTAGAAGGTAATTCCTCACATCATACTCTAAGCACATTCAGGGACACTAATACACAATCATACAGAGAAAAAGCAAGAGAGGAGAAGTAGAGCAAGGCATGACACTAATTTGTAGTACTTATCCACAAGCAAAAGAACGGAAATAAAAAGCCAAAACATTTTGAATTAACCAGAGTCGTCAAGAGCTAGACCTTGTACTTTGCAGCCGAGACATTCTTCACTACAACAAATCTAACATCCACAGATGCTTTAGTCTGCAACACTCCACTCATTGCTGTTACCAGTTGTTCTATCTTAACCTGAAACACAATAATAAACTTTTGAACCTATAGTATTACATAATAATTGAAAAAAAAATGACAAGAATTCTTGTATACTCCCCATCCATAAGCACAATACTTACCTTTTCATCCATGTCAAAGCCAGATGCGAGTACTTTGACACCATCCATTGCAAGGCAGCAAGTGAAACCTTGTTTAGGCAGTGGTCTATGTTCTTTTGCACAAGAAAGCACACAATGAGGACCTGCCCAATATTATATAAACAAATAAAGATCATTAATAAACAAAATTCACTTAATCAATAAGTGAGTTATTCCACACAGCTATACCACTCCTTATTGAAATTACGCATATATATAACACTATACCTAGCAAATTACAGCCCTTAGCTCGGAGATCTTCGAATTTCTCCTGAAAGGTATAAAACATGAAAATGAAGCAGATGAAGGTGAAATCGAAGTGAAATGAGCAGGAATTGTTTAATTGATAGAACCTACGTGATCAGAAGAGGAGATGATGTGGAAATCGTTGAGGCCGTGTCGCGAAGGATCGCAGCAGAGAAATACATCGGCGCCGTTGAGCTTGAGAGCGTCGAGAAGCGCGTCGAAGACCTCCGGCGGAACCAAGTTCCTCGACATGAACACGTTCGCTCCCTTGAAAGGCTTCGTATTCAACATCTTCTATCTATCTCTTGCATATACTAGATAACCGCATTTACAAAAACGCATTTACAGAGAGAGAGAGAGAGACGACCAGTGAGTGGACAGTATTGGAGAGTCTAGGGATTTTTATTTTTATTTTTTATTTTTGGGAGCGAGAGAATTTTGAATTTGGGGAAATGACATTAGAAATGGCTAATTAATTGAAAACGCGGGAACTATGGAAAATGGTATTTCCAGGAGCTGAGACGTTCCAATCATTGATGGACCTGTTAGGTTTCGCACCCTCCGATGGTCAGTCGCTTTTTGAAATCATGAAAAACCATGTCGCTTGCTTTCTTTTGTTTACAACAGTATTATCCGCAACTACGATGTAATGAATAGATGTCCGATTCATATCCATACATAAATTTTTATCTAATTTATACTCTATTTATATTAATTTATCTATTTATTTAATATTTGTTAAATTTAATTTATCAAAATATTTATTTTGATATCTATAATTTTTAAGAAAGGTTTTTATTCTTAAAATTTAATTATTTTTTTTCATTTTAGTCATTTTTATAAGTTTTTTTTTGGTCCACAAAGGTTTTAGAAAAAATATTTTAATTCTTAAATTTTAAATTTTATGTAATTATATCCATAGATATTAATAAAAAAATTAAATAAATTAATAAATATTAATAAGATAAAAAATAAATATTCTTATTTTAAAATTATATTAATAAATATATATTATTTTATCTTTAATTATTTAAATACTGATTGAACATTCTTAATAAGTATTTATTAAGATAGGTAAAACGAATATACATTTTTTATCCAACCCATCATCCCCATCGGCAACCACAGCATGCCATTCCATACACAAAATAAAGACGTCTCACATGATTTTCTGGTTTTGCCTCTTTTATGTCACGTAACCAAGGCTCAGCTCTCAGTAGTATGAACCGATCACCACACCCAGCTTGCAAGTCCCTGTTTCAGTTCTAAAGCAGCAAACCAACAAAATTTGACCTTTTTCTCAAAAGTAAATCACAACCCCATTTCATCCATTCGCCTAATCTACAGTTTGCTCTGTCAGTCAGACATCACTGCTAACCACTATTGAGAACAGAAATTCTCAAACTAACGCCTCAAAGCAACGAATATTGCACAAGCAATCTGCATCTCTTATTTGAGACGAGATGACACTTCAATCCACAACTCACCAAACAACACAATTTTAATTACAAAAATGGTATCAGTCAGCTGGTCAGAATTGTTGAAGCCTGCTGTAAAGAAATGGAAAAGCAAAGAAAGGACTTTAAGTTGTACAATCACTATTTTTTGGTGTAGACATCCTAATTGAACTATTATTAAGTCAGCTAGATGGTTCAAAACTAGGTGGAGCACTTGATTGAAGGTTTAACTTTTGGGAAAGACCAGATGCATGCTTAAGAGACTTGTGTCTTTCCCCACCAGATTGGGGATGTAACTTCTCTGAACGAAGATGAGTTTCATCCAACTCTTGTTCTGGCTTCCTCTTTACCTTCTTCTTTGTCAAACCACCATCAACTCCCATCTTTGCCTCATCCATGGAATTGCTTGAACTTCCTTTCGGCTTCTCTTGTTTTAGCTTGTCCAATACGAGACCGTTTGCTGAAGGACTGGGTACCCGAACAACTGCTGCCATGGAATTGGGAACTGGCTTACTGGCTAAAGCCAAAACAGGACCAGCTGCATCCGTGGCCAACCTTTCTTGCACATGTTGTGGCTGAGCAACTGAACTTGACTCAACTCGAACACCCTCCTCTTGTTTAGGAGTCAACATCTTTTTACTCTTTATTTTCTCCTGATCCTAAATATAACAAGTAAAAGAGGAAAAAAAAAATCAACATCAGCATTCCCAGAAAAAAGCAGAAGATGCATGGAATTTCAGAGTATTTCACAGAAAGGGCCAACAGATTTTAGTGATCCTATAAAAGAACACAAAAAAATCATTATTTCTATAATAAGAAGCAAAGATCCTCGCAGCAATAAAACAGTATGCATCACTGATTCCAATATATAATATCTACAAACCATAGCGATGTCAGTAGATATAATATGTCAAAATCATGAATATACTCCACTGATGGAAAAACCATCGCTCATGTTTCGTCTTAATTATACATCATAAAAAAAAATTAAAAAAAACAGTTTTGAGTCTACAGAAAGCAACTTTTTTGTCAACTTAGAAACAACATTTTGGGAACCTCAAATGCCAACCACTTCATAAATCACAGTTTGCCACAACATAGTCCATTTATATATGATTAAAATTGCAAATTAAGTCTATCAAGACATAGTTACAGTTCTATGAATTAAACAAAGAAGTGTCTAGAAAACAGTAACTTTCAAGTTTCAAATGTAAGAAGGGGTACGGATGGGGGAGCAGAGTTAGATATGAGGAACTTGGTACCTTATTTCTGCCGTACACGACTCTTCGCCTCTCCTTTGCCCTACAGATTGCACGCTTGATCCCATGGTTGTCCATAAGACCACTTGGCCACAACTGTGCAAGCTGAATCATAGAGAGGAATAGACAGTGAAAAGCATGTTGAAGAAAACCAAAGTAGGCTTTAATTAGTGTTCGTATACAAAAAGGGAGAAAACATAGCCAGAAGGGTGAAGTTAGAGAACCAAGTGATAGCAAAGCTGTAAAGGGCGCATGACTTAAGGAAAATAAATATAGACTGGGCCCAGACTTTAGAGGAGGAGGAGGAGGAAGGTGGGGAGGTGGGTGTTGGAACCATGAATGCTAGTATCAATAGCTTATAACAAAACTTCAGGAGCGGGAAAGCAGTTGCTCCATTTTGTTTAAAAATAATTTGGCAAATGAAGGCATAACAAAACATTTATGGAGAAAAGAAAGCACAACCTCCACATACAACTTTCTGACTTGTGGACCTGAATCTTCATCCAATCCCTAGAATCATCAAAATCACAGTAAAGCATGAGATAGATTGAGAAAAAGATTTCTGTAAAAAACAAAAATCATTCCGAGCAGGTATGTACCTCAACAAAAAGGTCATAGAGATCACAAATTTTATCCTCTAACACAGCATCCATGCTAAATTTCTTTTTAAGGGCCCCCTTTTCTTGAGAGCCAATTTCTTGAAAATCATCAGATGCTCCAGCTTGTTGAACTAATGCCTGAGATACCATTGGATCAATACCATCATGTCTAAAAAGCAATAAAAGCATTAGCATGCAATACTCAAGGAACATTCATACTTCCATCAATAATGCTGTAAAGGCATCATTGACTGATAATCAATTATATCAAGATTTCACATGCAAAAGCACTAGTATGCAATTGATATGTTATAAGTGAATCACCACTCACCACTTAATATGGTTCATGCATTAAAAAAAAAAAAAATTGATGAGTACAGCGATATGAAAAAAACGTATCTGAATGATCAGAATAGAAAAAATGGGTCAGTCCAGTTTCATCTCTCTTAAGGACCTAAGCACCAGTTATGAATGCCAGTCTGAGTTTGTGTTTGTGTATGTGTGAGAGAGAGAGGGAGAGAGACAGAGAGATACAGAGATGTATCAACATACACTAGACTCCACAGAAGGTATATGTGTCATAATCATCTCCGCAACCTCCTTCTTTATCTGTTGAAACCTATCATCTTTCTCCTGCTTTGCTGACAAGCCTGTGTTAATCATTATTTTCAAGTTCCTCTGCAGCAACAAAACCAAATGCATCATGTCAAGCTCAGCAAATTTCTACAAAAGCTCGAAACATTATTGAAGGCCAAGGCCATAAAAACAGAAATGATGACACGGACTTCATTCTCATTCAAACTAACAATTACAACCATGTAACAAATTTAGTCTGTCATAATACTATCGTGGCAACATAGAGTGCTTGATTGACCACAGAAACTTTTCCAAAGGTCAATAGATTAGGTGATGTGATTCAAGAACCAACAGAATCAAGTAGTTAAGCCCCTAGTTTAGTGGTCTTTCAGATAGAGATCATCTTGTTCTTGATTGTTTGATTTGATCATTTCTATCTCTACTTAAATTTTCTTTCATCTAAAAAATGGTCAATCTTTCATTTATATTTAGTAATAAAATGACATGTATCAGTGAACAGTGATGACATAAAACTGGTTTCCCAGATTCTATTCTTCAGTATTCTCAAAATGATGACGAGAGAGAGAGAATTATAGCACCAAATAGCCAACTTAATCCTGCAACCACAACCATAATCCAAACCCTTCCCTCAACTATTTGGAGATATTACAGATGAGAATTGTCATTGCAATCAGACAGAGCGAGGGGGAGAAGATGGAGAGCAAGGCAAGTCATATCTTCAGTTTCTACAAGAAGATACCTTTAGTGTTCTGAGCTGAATTAAGTGACCAAGAATGCTCATGAGGCGATTGAGCAACTCTTTTGACATTTTCCCCTGGCTTGCCTGTTCGGAATATTGGAAAGTAAACAGTTCACATTTCTTTGCAGCCTTCATGTATAATTATCAAAATGAGGGGAAAAGATGAGTATGAAATGAACAGTGTTAAAATGTTGAGACTTAGAGTACCGCTAGTCTGGCAACTTTGGCAAGCTTCAACTTTATTTCTGTAGGCAATCTTCTTTTAATTGCCTGGGCTGAAGTATCAGTGTCTTGATTCTCCACAGCAGGCGGCCGTGCTGTAATTTTTACACAGAAAAATGTTTCAATATGCAAGAAACTTGGCCATATTATAGTCAATGAGATATGTGACAGGTACTTTTGAGCTTACATTCTGCAACCATCTTCTCTAACTCCCTGATAGCCTTCTCTAGCATTGAACTTTTAGGCCTGACACTGGAACCATCCTTTCTGTGGGCATGTGAAGTTTTCTGCATAGCATTACATTGAAAATCAAGACAAGCAACATGGAGACGTTATCCAATCAACACAAATGTTATTGTTTCTGTGATAAGAAAGAAATGCAGAACATGAAGAAAGCCTTTAGTTACAATCTCTCTGGAATAAGAAACCATGTCAGCATGCAGTAAAACTAAATGGTTCTTAAATAATTTGCACATGCATGCAAGTGTGTGATAGAGACTATTTTCCAACACTACCTTCCACTCCAACCCCCCCCCCCCCCCAAAAAAAAAAAACAAAATAATAATAATAATAATAAATAAATAAATAAAATTGCTGCAAATATTTCTCTCTAAAACTAGTGAGGCACAGTCTATTACACGATGAAGATTCAAAGTTATATATGTCTTTAAGTGTTTTATGCAGTGAGTTCACAGATACAACACCAGGATCCTCGTTTCTTTTGCAGAGTTTCAATGTATGGAAATCTGAACCCATCTTAAGTGCTAAAACCTAATGTCAATATAACTAATTTTGGCTGAAACCATCTCAATGCAAAAGAAATTATAAAAGAAAAGGATGTGTAAGCTTACTGCTGCTTGGGTGTAAATCTTGCCATCAGAAATATTAAGATTGAGATCAGGAAGTTCACGGACCCCATTCTTTTCTTTTGATCTAACTGATGGTTCAAGATCATCAGCATTGTTTACTGTTTTTGCAGGTTGCAACTTGGGTTGCACATAAGCACTTCTTTCATGATATTTCTGATTTGAAGAATCAGAGAATCCACTTGGATCTTTAGATTTGCTAGTGAGGTTCTTTGGTTGGAGGCCTCCAGTCTTTGGCTTTTCAATATCTTTTGTTTCTGCCAAAGATGCATATGCATCACCATTCGAAACTTTCACTGACAAAGACGGATCCAGCTTCATTTTAGTTTCCGCAGATTTCTTTTTGGAAGAAATTCCAGGTGAATTTGATTGATTCTGGAACTTCACATTCTCATACTGTTCACTTATCATAGTCAAATTTTGAGGCAAGCTTGAAGAGTTCTTTCCAAGAGGTGGTGCCATCTTCTCCGCAGCTGACTTTCCCAGCTTACTGATTTTATTGGACATACGACCATCATCAGAATCGTTAGGTGCCTTCAATAAATCTTTTCTTCTCCTTTTCTTTGGTTTCTCGTTAGGCACAACAGGAGGTTCATTTCTTGCAACAAAGAAAAAAAGAAATCAGAAAAGAGAAAAAGCAAGACACCCTCAAAATAAATAAGGAGAAAAATACAAATCTCCCTTGACATAAATTACAAAGACAGCATTGTCCACCAAGTCCACAAGATGAAGTTCCAAAGGACTCAACATTGCAAGATATTGGTAATAGCTTAAGTACCACAAGATAACACATGGTTAATGATCATTTTGCAGTTGACAGCTGACGGTTACTGCAGGAACTGTATAATTCTTACTCCTATCGTCAAGGTCACTTAACACATGATGGTCCAAAAAAAGCTGAAAATCTTTTGATTGTGTTAGCTTTATGCACCAACAGCACTTATTTAAATTTTACAATTCCACTACCCCATAATCACTACAAACACAGCTAATTTGGATATAGATTATCTTGAATGAAGCACAGTCTAAGGTCAGTTTGACAGTAGACCAGACATTGTGCCAAAAATATCTAAAAGAGTCCTTACATATTGAAGCTGCAGGATCTTCATATTCTCTTCATGGAGTCAGCAATCTTGCATGTAAGAGGGTGTGAGAAATCTTCATCACACAAGTTTTGAGCATAATAAGGATTTTTCCACATCAAACTCCAATTCAATTATGCTCCAGAACAAATCCACTTCTATATCCCTCAATGCCATATAATTCCTACTACCCAGTCACATCACTGAGTGATTGAAAGAAGAGAGAGGAGGCGCCTTCTAAAAAATGCAACTATACTATGTTCTATAAGTGACACTTACTGGTTCCAAGGGGCAGAGACCTCAATGTAGTCTCTGCTCCCATTGTTTGACTCCTGCAGCTTATATTGTTATCTACTGCAATAATTCGGGTGAAAAGAATGAAAAAGATCCAGTTGCAATAAGATTTTCTTCTCAACTCTTAAAGAACATTTTGGTGGTTTGTGGAAAAGCAGAGGCTAACCAACAGAAAATAAGAGAATAGAGCTACTATTCAATTAAGCAATTTCTGGTCATTGAAGTACAAGCTATGAAATGGTTAAGAGATAACTCACATGCGTTCCAGCTTTCCCCTGTTAACAAAGAAGCCATCATGTTTTATTGCTGAATTATCAACTTCAAAATATTCATCCTGCAGAAGGAATATTTTAACAAACAATGTAAACCTCTTCATTCTCAAACACCTCTTCGCACAAAGATAGTACTCGAAGCCACAGCTGCACAAATTCTGACAAAGAAATCCAAAGGATGCAAACCACAGTTAAAGATACCAACCAGCTCAGCATCGTCAATAAAAGAATCTTCTGTGTCATATTGATCATCATCAGGAGCATCCATTAGATCCTCCTCATCGCTACTATCCTTACCCTGAGAAGGCTTCAAGTCATGTTAGCAAATGAAATGCCATTACAATGGACTATATCCTGGCGCGCATCAATTAGGACCATGCAACGTTGAACTACAAGCAAAAAGGCAATAACACATATGTCGCAAAGAATAGTATACCGTGTAAAGACGCTCAATCTTCTCAATTACAGCACTAAAACGATTCGGAGGAGGGTCATCCTTCACTTCATTTTCAGTCAATTGTGCCTAGATAAAAATTATGTCACAATTTGTCACTGTAAAGAACTAATTCCAGCTACCGGGCACCAGCTAACTACAATTTACCATATACATTGTAAAATTAACTAGTAATTAAGAAGAATAAACACACATACGCAGTGAGATAAACATTTATAGTTTTAAGTGATTGAGTTTTGGAAATGGAGGGGAGCTTACAGGAGCAATTCGAGTCTCGAGGTTAGGATGGGCGTTAACGGGAGGCGGGTCTGGAGCGGCGGGTGCGGATCCACTATTGACCTTATTGGCGTCTTTCATAAGCTTTTTCCACGACACGAATGTTGTCTCTCCGGGTCGGAGCTCCACAGTAAATATTTGTCTGTCTCCTAATTTCACATACGACGGCGTTGCTCTTGACGAGGACGATTCTCCTCCGCCACCGCCACGACTGCTCCCTTCCTCCATCGAGACAGTGCAAGGTCGGGTCAGAATTCTAGGGTATGGTAATTGAGTGAGAATTGGATAATTCAAGACTCGGGAGACATGGAAGAGAGAGAGAATTGGAAAAAGAAACCCTAGGAGGAAATTTTTTTGAGAGAGGAAGAGGAATAGCTGGGCGGGATGCGAAACGGTTTTGGGGGTTTAACTGGAAGAGTGAAATATTTTCTGTTTTGGTAAATTTTTTGCGTTTTCTTTCCCGAGAAAAATCGAGGGAGGGAAGGGCGGGTCATGGCCCATTTTGACAAGTTTTGCCTGACCCGGTAATGGTAAGGGGTCGGCTATTGGGCTTCAACCCAGACAAGTCCAATGAGATGATTTGAAAGCGGGTACTGGTAAACTACTGAAGTTCATATTTGAAAGGCAAAACCTTAAACTTACCCGTGTTTTTTTGTCGGTTATTCAATTATACCATTTTGTTTTAAATTTGATCAATTAGACCTTGTATTAAAAAACAAATCAAGTGAAAAAAAATAAAGAAAGAAAAAATGTTTGGAAGGTACGTTTCCTGGTGGCTGATAGGGATGGTTGCACTATAGGTATCAATTTTAAAATATTTTTTTAAGGTAAATAGTTATAAAGTTCTCTCTACTGCTTTTTTTTTTTTTTTGCTTTTATCTTTTTTTTTAATTTAAAATTCAATTGTTTAGATTTAGTTTATCTCTTAATCTCATTTCTCCTTCAATTTTTGGACTAATGATGTTAATTTATTTTTTTGTGTCTTAATCTCATCCCTCAAGAGTGGAAGTACCTCTCCAATCATTAACCCTCTTTTTTATTCAAGTATATAAATTTTAATTATTTTTATTTAGTGTATAAATTTTTTAAAATTATTAATCAAATACTTTCCCTTAACTTTCATTAATTGTTGTGTTGTATGACTTTTAAAGCAAAAATTGCCGATGCTCCATTGCAATTTGACAATTTTAGACTTTTATTATCAAAGTACATACTCCGAATCTTAAAGTATTAGAGATTGGGTAAATATGATCCAAATCATCTAATTTTCATCATGTGTAGTTAAGCGTTACACGAAATGCTTAAACGAAATCATCTAATTTTCGTTATGTGTAGTTGACCAGTTATACGAATTACTTAAACGAGTGTCGTTTAAGCATCTCGAAGTTAATTTAAAAAATAAAATAAAACTTTATCTTTCTTCTCCCACTAGTGGTCTAGCTCACTACTAACTAGAAAATGAGATCAAACCTGTAAAAGTTTCGACCTTTTCTCCTCTTATCATATATAAATATATAATTATTTTATTATAAAAGATTAAAAGGTTATTTCAAATAATTTGTCTCAATTCATTGGGTATGGTCAAGAAATATAAAAAAACCATTAAATCATTGATTTTATTAAAAATTAACGCACATCTTCCAACGTAATACAAACTATTTATTATGAATATTTCTTTTTACATTACGGAACCAATTTATTTGAAATAAAATAATTAAAATAATTTTTTAAATGAACCAACCAATTATTCAAATATATTCTTTTATGCTAATTTTGTTGATAATTTTGCAAATATGCATATATAATGCATATACTTGAAAAAAAAATCTTCTCGTCGACATTAAATAAAAATAAATTTTTATTTTTTCATTTGTTAATTTTTATACAAGTTTATACATCAATTGTAATTTTATTTTTTGAATACACTCTTATAAAAAAATATAATTTTAAAGTATTTGCTTTTGAATTCTTAATTAATATTCTAGGTTTACATTATTACAGATTTTTTATTTAAGAATCCCCGAGTAAAGAAGAATAAATCATTTTTTTAAGCATAAACGTTATGAAAAATACACAAAAAGTAATAATTAAATAAAAAATAAAGAAAAATTTTAAAAATTTTAAATGATTTTGTTCTATCTACCCGTAGCATTGCACGAGATAATTTCAAAAATTAATATTTTCATTAGCATTAAATAAGGTTTTTTTTTTCATTTGTTAATTTTGGTAAAAGTCGGTCAATTAATTATAATTTTATTTTTTTAATACAATATTATGAAAATTATATTTTTTAATTTTTTTTTAATTCTTGATTGATATTTTAGTTAAAATTATTATATTTTTTAATTTTAAAATCAATCCATAAAGAATAATGATTTTTTTAAAAGCAAAAAGTTTATTAAATAAATAAAATTAATTAAAAAATTATATTTAAAAAGTTAAAATAATTTTTTTCAGATCGGATTTGAAGCGTGGTGCAGGCATGTAATCAGTTTATATCCAAATCATGTTGGGTGGTTGAAATATGTAATTTAGATCCAATGAAAATTTAAGGGAATCCCTTCTTAAGTGTACATGCATGTGTGCGAAAAATGCAACGTTCCTTGCGGTTTGTAAACAGTCCGTACGTAGACGTTTTTTTTTAAAAAAAAACTATAGCTTTTTAACAAACAAAGCCTTCGTTTTATGTACTTGACCGCAATAACCCACGTCGGTGGTCAACTTCAAAACCGTTTCATGTATAATGCAAACAAAATAGCTATTCGGTGACTTTTGCTAAGCTACGAGAATTTGTTAAAATTATGGACAAACTATATATATATATATATATAGAGAGAGAGAGAGAGAGAGAGAGGGTCATGTATTTTTTATTAATTTGTTTATCGATAAAAATTAAATTTATTATTTTATAAGGCGATTCAAAATCATAATATATGTAACTTTTTATCGATCATTGAATTATTTATTTGGTCAAATCAATCCAAATATGGTTACATTAAGAAATAATTATGACTAATTATTCATAAACAATAAAAGCTAAAGCTTAATTTTGATCAAATCAATATAATTTTCTTATCACTAGACCACATTCTTTAGTAGTTTATGGCCTACTTCATAATTAAAAAAATCACTTTCATTATAGCTGGTTTTGAATTACTAGATGATCTTCTTCTTCTTTTATTTACTTCGACATGGAACTATAACTATTTTGGTTGGAACTTCTATATATTTCATTGAAAAAAATCATTAAATATTACATGAAAATTTTGGGTTTCTTAAATAAAAATCTAATATTATATACCTTTTTTAAACCAAAAACTTAATTAGTGATCAATACAAAAGCATCAAAACTAAAAATTCTCTATATAATAGTTATCTAATTTTGAGGTTAATGAGTTATCAAGATTTACTAAAAATCTTTTTCTCTTTATTTTTTAATGTATGGTGAATTTGAAATTAATTTATTTATTTTTCAAACAAAACGAGAAAAAAATAAAGAGAGAATATAAGAGAAAGAAAACTATAGCTTTAAACTCAAATCGACAAATTGCATTTTTTTTATAAAATGATAAATTAGTCCCTTTAGTTTCAAGAAATAAATTAATTAGTCTCTCAAAATAAATTGAAAAACGGCGAGAAAAAAGAAGTTTTAAGTAGATTTAAAAACATAAAGGTTAAATGATTAGTTTTTGAAACGAGAAAAACTAATTAATTCGTTTCTTGAAACAATAAGGATTGATTCATAATCTACTCCATATTTTTTTCCAACTAAATGCAATCTTCCATAATCTCTCTCTCTCTCTAATGTTAGTTAAAAAAAAAAAAAAAACTTAATCTATGATCGATACAAAATCATGAAACCTGAAATTTCTTTTATGATCATTATATAATATCGAGGTTAATGAATTATTAAATTTTACCGAACATCTTCTTCTCTTTGTTTTTTCATGTATCGGGGGATTAATAAAAAGACTAAAAGATCCGAAGTTGTAACTATTCATTTACTATAGTAATTTTTTTTTTTTTTTGTTATCCGGGTTGAATGGCCTTGGTTGCTTGGCGTGCTAGCCTATCCTAGCAACTTGCGCCCGGCCCTTTTATTTTTTTCTTCCTATATATATATTATCATGAAATTAAGTGTGCGGAATATAAAAAATAAATCCTTTATATATATATATATATATATATATATATATGGTTTGAAGATGATAGAATGTGTAAGATATTTTTTAAAAATTTTAGTTTGAACATGTACATTTGATTATATTACTCTTATTGTTTAAAATTTATTTCTTCAATTATTTGCTTTTTATTAAAATTCTCACTAAATTCATTTTTTGATATAGCTTTATTTGTTAATAAATTTGATTTTTTAATATATGAATTTTGAAATAAAAATTTAGGACGTCGGTGTTTTATTTTTAAAAAATATATTACTATAATTTATACAATAAATTATTTTTATGTTTTTTAAATGAATGTTTTATTTTTTTAATATATATATATACATAGAGAGAGAGAGAGAGAGAGAGAGAGAGAGAGAGAGAGAGAGTTGATAGTATATTTTAAATAGTTTTGCTCAATTTTTTTTTAAATTAATAATCAGTTAAAAAATTCATACTTTTATTTATTTTTATATGTATTTATTCGAAATTTATCATAATCAATTTTTTTTTGTAGTTTTTATTTTAATATATTGACTTCGATATATTTCATACAATTTAGCAAGGCTGATCTTTTTCACACACACACATGTATGTTATGATGAAATTAGGTGTGAAAAATGTAGACAATAAATCGTTATTATTTTTAGTTTTACGTATAATTTGAAGATGATAGAATACACATGATATTTTTTATATACATGATTATATTACTCTTATTGTTTAAGATTTATCTATTCAATTATTTGTTTTTTATTAAAATTCTCATTAAATTAATTTTTTGATATAATTTTATTTGTTAATAAATTTGGTTTTTTAATATATGAATTTTGGAATAAAATTTTAGAACGTCGATGTTTTATTTTTTAAAATATGTTATTATAATTTATAAATTCTGATCACACACACACACACACACACACACACACACACACACACACACACACACATAGAGAGAGAGAGAGAGAGAGAGAGTTAAAAATATATTTTAGATAGTTTGGCTCAATTTTTTTAATTAATAATCAATTAAAAAAATCATAAGTTTTATTTTCTTTTATACATATATTTATTCGAAATTTAGCAGAACCAATTTTGTTGTAATTTTTATTTTAATTTATTAACTTCAATATATTTTATATCATTTAGGTTGATTTTCTCGTCTATTTTTCTATTTATTCCACATACTCGCTTTATATATATATATATATATATATATATATATATATATATATATATATATATATATATATATATATATATTTATTTAGAATTTATCGAAATAATTTTGTTATAGTTTTATTTTAATCTATTGACTTCGGTATATTTCATACAATTTAGGTGAGGTTTTTTTTTGTATATTGTTCTATTTATTCTATATACTTTGAATCGCATATATATATATATATATATATATATATATAGTTTTATTAAAAATTAACTATATATCAATAAACATAATATCAATTATTTGTTTTTTTTTATGTTCTGTTTTTTAAATAAAATAAGTTAGATAATATTTTGAAAGAAACCTTTAATTATTCAAATACGAATTTTTATGCTAATATATATATATATATATATATATCAAACGATTTCGCTCAATATATAGATTCGATTTACATTAATTACCGAGAGATAAAATTTTCATTTGCACTAAACCATATGAATTGTTAACTCTACGTATGTAACGATTGTTTGACTGTAGCATAACGTGAGTATCTAATTAGTTTGAAATTAAATTATTTATTTTTTGAACAAAATGAAAAAAAAAATCATAGATGGAATTAAGATAATAGAAGAGAAACGGCTGCTTTAACCTTCAATAGACCAATTGAATATCTTTCAAGTGAATTATAAATTAGTACCTTTGGGTTTTAGAAATGAATTAATTAGTCTATTTTATTTCAAAAATTATATCTTTTGATTAATGTTGACCATGCGTAATTTAATATTATTTTTATCATACAAAATGTCTTTTTTCTTCTCATTAATCTTTCTACATTTTTACAAATTTTTTTGCTTTTCTATTTGTTAAGAAAAAAAAATTGAAAAACAACTAAAAGAATAAGTTACAAGTAGATTTAAAGATATGGAGATCAAATGATTATATTTGGTTTTTGAAACCAGATGAGCTAATTGATTCATTTTTGGAAACAAAAGGGACTAATTCATAATTTACTCCATAATTTTTTTTTATTTTTATTTATTTTTAAACTAAGTGCGGCCTTACATGGTCTCTCTCTTTCTGTATATGTCTATGCATGTATACTCTCTCCCTCACACGTATGTATTTAGTGACAAAGCAAAACATCGCTAAGAATTCTTGAAGTCCGAGTATTAAACTCAGGACTACAGAATTAGGAGAAGCATAATAGCTAAGGACGAATGAAATAATAATAGAAAAGCATAGATGGCTGCTAATTATGATTGATCCCTCACTTGTTATATATAGTATTGATTTAATTGCGCCAAATAGCAACAACTAATTTATACAGTATACTCACATCACAGTTTCCCTGCATTTTTTTCTTTTACCATTGATCTGAACAAATTTTCAGAATTACAGAAAACGTATTAATACTGTTGAAAAATCTATTGGTCATTCATAATTTAGACAGAAATGTACTTATGGCACCGCTCTTCGGAGGAGAAAATTTTTTTGTTACAGTTTTTCAAACAATTAGGAATGAGAATGGATTGGATCAAGATTGAATTTTGCCCTCCCACTTCTGACCCAAAATATTCAAACCCATCACATGCTTTCCTTTCTGACCTACCAAGCACCCAACCCGAACCCTTTTTTTTTTTTTTTCCAAATCAATTTTACAAAAATGAAATCCAAATTTAAAAAATCTTAAGTTTGTTTTCAAGAAGAACTTATTAAATTTTTACGAATCCATCAAATTGATGCGGAGATGCATTCTTAAAATCATGCGAAAAAATTTAGTTTTGATCTACATATTCTTAAGATTATTGAAAAAAATTAATTTCGATTGATGTTCAAATTAACTTAAGGACACATTTATCTTTAAAAAATAAAATAAAATCTAAACTTTAAATCTATATATCCTCTTAATATAATAATTCATATACTATGTTAAAAAATTAAAATTACAATTTTACAAAATAAAAATTAAAAAGTAAAAAAAATTAAGTTAGATCGAATTACGAAGTAAGTAGGTTTTTATTCGACCTCTCCATCTGATCCCAATCGAAATCAATTTTTATCCGTTTTAAGTTTGAGTCAGATTTAATAAAAATATAATAGAAGATGGATCATATAAAAGAACTGTTCAATCGATTGCATCTACCATCCTCGAGCTCGAATTTTATCTATTTTTAGTATGAGTAAAATCTTATAAAAATATAATGCAACGAGATGGATGACATAAAAAAAGTGTTCAATCGGTTGCATCTACCATCCCTACTCCCACTATCAGATTATCTGTCATGATCAAAACGTCCAGCAACAAACTTTACTCCGTGGTTAAAAAAACAGTTTACTGCAAGCCAAACGGTCAATCCTCTCACCATCCGCAAATCGACACCTGTCCAATTACAAATCCCCCCTACAACGCCTGCCCGCACACAACTCCAACTCAAAAACCCAATCCTTAAACCCCCTCCATTTCCCCCAAAATATACATTTTCCCTCACTTTCTTACCTACCAAACGCCATGGTCACCACCACTCTCTCCCTCCTCTCGCCAGCATTCTTCACCAGCAAACCCTCAATCCTAACCACGACCCCCCTCTATCCCTCCTCCCTGAAATTCGCACCAATTTCATACAATTTCCCCTTCAAGCCCCCACCTAAAAGTTTCATTCTCAAAGCCGACGACGGAGACGCAGACGGAGGCGGGCCAGATGACTATGACATGGACGACGAAGAAGTGGAGGAGCTGGACAATAAGAAAGACTATGACATGGAGTACGAGCCTTTAACTGCTTCAGCTATTGCTATTGGCAACGAAGATGAGGAGATTTCTATGGTGAATAGTAAGAGTTTTGTGCACACACAAGGCTGGGATTCTGAAAAAATTGTTGATTATAGGATTAATGAGGAGGAGTTTCATAAAATTTGCTTGTTGGATTGTGATTTCTTTATTAGAAAGCCGCCCGACCCTGATGACGATGTCTATGATTTTAGAGAGGTTAGCGTGGTTCTTTTAGGGCTCTTTTTTTGGTTTATGAATTTAGATGTTTATATGTGATGTTTTGCTGATTTGGCTAACCGGGTTGTTTGTTTTTTTTTGTTTTTTGTTTTTTAAACATGTGTTGTAGATGTATGTTACTCCACCCGATACTGATGTTTATGCTATACCAAAGGTTCTTGCTCCAATGCCTCAAAAGGTCCTATTATTTTGTTATTTTTCAGTACAATTACTGGAGGTGTTTGGAATCTTTATATAGGTTAATGTTACATTTTGCTTGCTAGCTGATTTTTTTTTTTTTTTTGGGTGGGGGGGGGGATTACAGTACATACGCTGTGCACAGAGCGATTACGGATGCTATAATGTAACCGAACCACCCATAGATGCGCCTCGAGATCCATTGTATAAATCTGAGAGGGAGATCTGGAAGGTGGGTTGATTTATGGTAATATGTGCTATTTGTTATGTTTTAGTAGCAGATGGTGCAACTAATTGTTTTTGCATTTTTCTTTTGCCTCGAAATTCATAAAACATGGGCAGAAATGCTTTACAGTGTGAACTTAGATTTTGTTCTATAGAAGTTTTATTCTGTTTCATTGCATAGGTAGAATGGTAAAAAATAATGAAGTGCTCCCAATGAATCATATGCTTGACCTTTTTCATTCCACCACTATAAGAAATGCTGTGCCAAATAGCACCTTATGTGATTGAAATGCTCAGTTGTAGTTTATGGTATCCAACTGTTGTTAGGGAAAATTAAATTTGGCACTATATTTTGTTCTGATATATTTTATTTGACATTCATGGGCAAAAGTGGGTGTACAATAATATAGCAGTTGAGGGTGAGGGAAAAGGGAGGCTTTGGGTCTGCATGTTATCATTAATATTCATTTCACTTATTGTCACAGCATCATGAGCTAGATTTTTCATTGCAGGTGTTCTTGTTTAAGCATTACAGGAACCGAAGGTTGGGGGATCCTGATTTTGTGCTAGACTTAGAGGAGATTTACGTTATTGATTCCAAAACAAAGTCAATAACCAGAGCAAAAGTACTGGTGAGAAACTTTGTGTTTTAAACTGGTTTTGATCTAATTACAATATGCTTAACCCCTTTCAAGTTTTCATTATCATCCTTCGGTCCTTTTGATTCAGATGAATTATAAGTTTTGCAGCAATAGTAGGATTTGCCAGATCCTTGTTTCACTATCAATGAAAAACGAAAACGTTAAATATATACTGCGACTGAAATTAGATTGTACATCTTTCATTACTTATATTGCCTCATTTTGTTTCCCGCAAGTTGATTGAGTTCGAGGGAATTTCTGCACAATTAGATCCTGCACATGACACTGTGAACTTTTATTTGGTGTTTAAAAATCTTGATCTTCTACCAGCAATTTCTGATTTCAGGGCTAATTCTCTGTAGATTATATGATATTATAAGGGTCAATACTGAATGTTCAGAGTCAAATTTAGCTTATATGAAAGTTTAGAAAGCTTGCTTAGACACGTTTTCAACTAACGTGTGTGTGTGTATATATATATATATATATATATATATATATATATTGTGCTGAAAGCAGTGTGGGTTTACCATACATAATTTGTGCGCCATATGACTTCATGTTAATGTCCTCAATGATACACTGTAATTTATTTTTAATATTTTAAAATGCATGTTTTGTTATTCCTATATTAATTTTATTTTTTTTGTTAGATTTGATAAAGTTCCACAATGTTCCTCATTCTTCTGTGTCGGCCTGTGTGCTACATCTCAGGAATAAGATATTAGAATAACATCAGAAAAGGCAAGGGAGTTGTAATGGCGGACAAACTTGACCTTTTTGTTCTTCATTGCTTTATTGTTTGACTTGACACATGATTCTTTGTATCTTCTGGTTGAGGCTGAGTGTTAAGGAGGATTCTTTCCTAAAGCTACTGAGTACTGACCGATTAAGTTGCTATTGAATTAGGACTTCTCAGTTTTTTTACTCCCACATCTTGTTAATTTATTGCTTTATGGTTGGATATCTTCCACAGGTTACAGTTCCTGGAGGACGAAATAGGGATAGAAAGGCTGATTTGCTTGTAGTGCGAGATAAAGGGACCTCTTTCAAAATAATTCATTCGGTAACTATCTTTGCTTCAAATCATTCACCTTAATTTGACATGCTTTGCACTGGCGGATTGATTTTCTTTTTGATGTTCTTAGAGTGAAAGGGATGATCCCACCACTATAATAGAGAAGGAAGAGTGGGGCAAGTCTAGACAAGACATGGAGAGACATCTCAGAAAGCTAAGGGACTTTGACGTTTCAAATTGGTTCTAATTGATTGGCATTGATTTGTGGAAATGAAGCACATATATAAAGCAGCAAGGTTAGAACAGTTGCAAATGTATTGAGGTTTGAACTTCAGCATTTATTAGCATCCTTGAGCTCTCATCTCTATTACCAAGAAATCTCTGATGATGCTGAAATTTCAGAGAGATGCTTCTCGGCCATGAGAGTGGCACTTTCGCTGGTTTCCACCTTAATTTGGAAGTATTGGTGAACTGCCTTGACTTGTGTTTGTTCTGTGTTTGTTGTGTTCACCCAGTAACCGGTATTAGAGATGGAATTGGTCAAATGCTTAACTATGGAGAACAGCCATTAGTTTTGGGTGCGGTGGATGATGCCTAAATATACTTTTAGAACAGATTGTTAGGACTATCATCACGAATGCCCTAGTTCCCCCTGTGCCAGCCATATAACCAATCGTGCTTTGCAAGATCTGTATGATATGTTCAAATTTACTCATATTTTTATATCAACATTATTTTTAGGGCATGATCTTATTTTTTATTCTTAAAGCTTCAGATGTCAAGCTCTCCACCTTTGTGGCAGAGCATTATATGACCGGGTACATGAGTTTGTTGTGTTCTTTTTTTGGTTCAATGATTAGAATTTCCATTAAGCAAACGAAGGTAACCCGTCATCGGTTCCCTCCCTTTAACACCCTTCGAACTCAGAGGTCCAAGTCTGGTTCTGATGCCACGCGAGTGTTTTGATAACCACGTAACTAGTAAATCTAGCTGGAATGGTGGATTTCAAACAAACATTTTGCTAGTTAACCATGTGGTTTTGCCAAGGTCTCAAAAGTCATCCGGGATCCATCTCCTGTTCCATAAACGAGGTCAGCGGAGCAATTTAATTACCATCAATACGGGAGGAAAAAATACCTCTGTGATTTGACTATCTTTTCTTATTGCTGGAAAAATTGGAATGAAATTAGGTAGGGATATAATGCATATAGAGTACTTGCATTTTCTACAATGCATATGCATACTCTACTTACGTATGTTTGTGTGAGAGAGTTGTCTTCTGTAAGCATTTAAGTATCCGCTCTTTCTTCTTCTTCTTCTCTCTCTCTCTCTCTCTCTCTCTTTCTCTTTTTTTCTTGTGCCAAACTGGTACTAGTTATTACTATATATAGTAGGCACATTTTGAGAATTGTAAGTGCATTGGCATTTGCTCAAATTTGAAGTAACAAAGATGGAATTTTTGTTTCCACAAACAATAATTAGATGGAGAAAACAAAATTTCTAAGGAGCTCCATATACATTTATAACTATATATAAAAGCAGGAACTCCTTGAAAATTTTTGATTATTATATTCTTAATACAATATTAAAACTATAATATACTACTAATACTAATAAGTAAATTCAACTCAAAAACCAATATTGTTAAAATTCTTAGAAAGAAAAATATTAATTCCTAAAAATAGGTTATATTTTAGGACGAATCCTATGATATAGATTAGTTTTTTTTTTTTCCATTATCTTATTTATCCCCCCACATAAAACCCTAAATAACATAAAGCAACCTATTTAGATCACTCATAAACTATGTAGCACTACGTTGATATTTTATTTTGATTATTAAAACTCTACAAAGACTTTAAAACAAGCTAATAAAAAGAAAATTATTTGAATAAATTATCATTTATTGATATTGAAAAGAAATATTTTCTTGATCTTTATTTAATATAAGTGTTATTTTCTTTACTTTTATATATGTGTGTGTGTATGGACTTGATTTGTTTGTTGATATTTATCAATATTGTATCAGTTTTTAGAGTTATTATTTGATTTGATTGAATTTTTATTATCGTTAATTTATTTTTTTATTATCTTTTTTAATATGAAAAAACCATAAGGAGTAGCAAACTATATGTCATTGATCTAAAATTTATCTTTTTTTTATTTTCATATAGTATAGATAAAACATGTGAAATTCAATTCCTTTTTAAAAAAACTTTTTTTTGTCCTTAGGCCGTATATGGCTAGTCTAGGTGTACATATCTCATTTAAGAATTTTTCCCTCTTTAAATCTCATTTTACTTTTAATTATTAATTAATTTTTAGATTTTTTTAAATTATGAGACAAATAATCTAAAATACATTTGTCACCTTTAGATTATATAATAATAATAACAATGCTAGTCTTTAAAAAAAAAAATCATAAGAATTCATCATATAAATTATCTTCTTCTTGTTTTTTTTTCTAAAAAAAGGGAAGATGACCATGTTTTAAAATTTAACTCCAAAATCCATACATAGGGAAAAATAAAATCATATTTTTCAGTAAATAAAATTTTATAAAAATTAATTAGATGAGAATTTTCATAAGAAATGACAAATTGAAAGAATTAATTTTAAGTAATAAGAATATTATAATATGATATATATGTTCATTCAAAAATATAAAACACATCACATATATTTATTTCTTGCTATTTGTGTGGAAAACTTAAAAAATAACGATCAATTATTTTTATAGTTTTTGAAAAAAAATCATTACAATAAAAAATTATAAAAATAAAAAATTAATTGGATGAGAATTTTCATACGAAATGACAAATTGAAATAATTAATTTTAAACAATAAGAATATAATAATATGATATATATGTTTATTTAAAAATATAAAACACATCACACATATTTTTTTCTTGCCATTTTGCGAGAAAAAAATTAAAAAATAATGATCACTTTTTTTTTTTTAATAATTTTTTGCAAAAAAAAAAAATTGAAGTATTGAAAAAAAAAAAACAAGCTAGTCAAATAAAGTTCGGAATCAAAACAAAAATATGTAAAAAAAAATAAAAAAACCAAAGTCTTATTGTACAATAATTTGCATATTAAATGTCTTGAAACTTTTGAAAATTACAATAATGTTAAAGTATAGTGAAATGAGCAGTGCAAATAAATTTTGGTGAATAATAAAGGGAATTTGAATAAATAATATTTGGAATAGTAAAATGTTGTACAATGGTTTTGTTTTTAATACACGTTACTCTTACACTTCCATCAGGCTATTTATGTGTATCAGTATATTCTTAACCTATGTTATGATCTCACGTTTATATGCGTTGTGGATCTCTGCTGAACAAAGGCACAAAGCTTGAGAAAGACCTCCACACACACATATAATTCAATTCCATGACCTCTTTAATTTACATTTGCGATTACTTTGCTTATGTAACAAGAGGCACACAACTTGAGCAAGATCCACACGAATTCGGCTAAGGATCATATTGCCGTTTCAAAATTCCAGCTAGCTATATGCACATAGACCCGGGGAATAATATATGCATGCACTATACAAATCAATTGCATAACATTCTCATTTTCATTGTGGTCAGTACTCGAATTCTTTTCTCTCTGATCTTTTGCTTGATGGGTAATATTTAAGGGTCATTGACGAGAGCAAAAGGGCTAGTTGCCAATTAATATAGACATACAGGTACATGGTATAATATATGCCTAAGACAAAGGCATGCTAAAAAACTGCAGAGGTGTTATGCAAGCTTAGACGAAGCAGGAGCAGTCGCCAACAACGCTAGCAGCCAGGGAAGTGCAGATAATAAAACATAGGGACCAAGCCAATGCGATGGAATCGATCCATTATTAGAATATATATAGACATAAGACCAGCCCAGCTTTAAAAGTAAAGATCAACGGCGTCGATAACACTTGCCCGAATCCGAAGAAATCTATTAAAGTCTACAACGAATCTGTATTATAAGACCAACCCATCTGCTTTATCCCGACCATAATAGCCTCAGACCACTTACATATATGTAATAAAAGTAAAGAATTTTAAAAATAAAAAAATAATAATCCAAATCAAAGAAATGTTGATAATCATACCAACCGTTACACTAGCCAGTCTAATCACGAAGTTGTGTTGGTTTTGAAAAACTTTGCATAGCAACATGGCAGCCAGAAGATAAAAGCGACATCAATGTTCTAGGTGTGCAAGAGAGAGAGAGAGAGAGAGAGAGAGAGAGAGAGAGAGAGAGAGAGAGAGAGAGAGAGAGTATTTTTTCGCTTATATTACAGAATTAAAATGCGACAGATCGATGCTCATGTTCATATACTTCATAGTGATGTGATACATGCATTTTTATTATCAACCTAGTTTTTATCAGATAAAAATAAAAGCAACAATAACCTTCCTTTTAAATTCTTCAAAGGCTCCATTAATGTGTCTGCTGGCTCCAACGTAAAGAGACGCAAAAGATACCTACAGTGTGTTTGATTATCCCGTGTACAAAAATGTGCAACTTCCCCTATCAACATTAATTCTCAGTTAATCAGTCAAGAGTGACAATGGGTTTACTATTTAAGTCACAGCACTTACGTAGCTAGGCACATGACCAGGACAGTATGGAGCCTGAAATCCATTTTCTTTCATTTGACAATGGGGCACGTAAGAAAGTTTCGATGCCTTTTGCCCATTTTGACATGAAAGCCGTATTCTTTATCTTGTGGCATGAAATTTATGGAGAAGAGACCTTATGGATTTTTTCGATTTGATGGTTGAGGTTTTGATTATTTTACTATATATTTTCATCACTCAAACCCTAGACAAGACCATCACATACCTCAAGGCCCTGAAACCTTCTTTTTGGACATCAAGACCCTAAGCTAGGACACCTGTCCAGTGCGTATATACGACATGCGCAACTTCATTTTACGTATCAAACACCCCCTATAGTCTATGTAAATGTCTTGTCCAGATTTCTAAATTAAAACCCTAAGCAATAATTAATATCACTCAGCTTCACAGGAGGGAGAAAAAAGACCAATGGTTAACAAGGTGAAACAGAACTAACAAAGCCAAATCAAACACGAGGTAAAAGCAGTTGGCTTGGTATTGTCAACAAACCACAAACAAACCCTTCTCCTTCTGTGCCACTCGAAAGTTTTATATCCTCTTACCCATAATAGTAAGCTCCTCTATTGCTTTGCCCTATTTCTCTGATCTCTCTTTAACTCCTTTATCTCTTCACACCTTAACTTTGAAATCCAGAAAAAGAAACAAAAAGAACAGAAAAGAGTTCTCTGTGTGTGGTGAGAGATGGGGAGAGGTAAGATCGAGATCAAGAGGATTGAAAACTCGAGCAACAGGCAGGTGACCTACTCTAAAAGGAGAAATGGGATCATAAAAAAAGCTAAGGAGATCACAGTTTTATGTGATGCTCAAGTTTCTCTTGTCATCTTCGCTAGTTCTGGAAAGATGCATGAGTACTGTAGCCCTTCCACTACGTATGTAGTTCCAGTTATTTCTTGCTTATTGGCCTAGCTAGGTCTTTTGTGATCAATCTTATAGTTCTAGTTTTTTTTTTCTCTCTCTCTTTTTTTCTGATGACTTTCCTACTAATTTCTTTATGTTTTTTGTTAACCCTTTTTTTTTCTCTGTGCGAAATTTTGTTTTTGACGATGAAGGGTGGTCGATCTGTTGGACAAGTATCACAAGCAGTCTGGTAAGAGGCTGTGGGATGCTAAACATGAGGTAGGGTTTAACTCTCTTCTCTCCCTCTTTCTGTATTCTCTCTTTCTGCCTCCTAATATCTGATCCAACACCTTTTGTCCATTAGTGTTTTTACCTTTCAAGCATCTTGTTCTTCCAATGGAAAATGAGATGAAGTTTTATATATTTTGCTAAAATCATGACAAGAAACATGAACTTTGAATTATATGAACAGATCTACTAAAGGGATATTGCAGTCTATTATAATATTGTTTTTATACTATTTTAAAAGAAAACTAGAAAAAAAGTATTCTTTGAACAGATCTAGTAATAATTGTTTTCTCAATGACTTCCTTTTCCTTGCTAAAATTGAAAGATCACTAAATAGGTGTTAGCTAGACCACAAGGAAATGAAAACTGTTTCCAAAAATAGATCTGCACAGTTGATCAAATCTACTCCCTTTACAAGCTTTACGCATGCCAGAGGACTTTTTGTTTCTTGGAACAAAACCCATTATCCATCATGTAATACAAGTTTTGTGAGCCGATCTGCTCATTATCTCTGTCTCTCTTTTAACCAATTTCTATCTTTTATATTCATATTTCTTGAAGAAAAATTTAACACCTAGGGTTTCTATTAAAAAAAAAAAAACGCAGAACCTTAGCCATGAGATCGACAGAATCAAGAAAGAGAATGACAGCATGCAGATTGAGCTGAGGTAAATTTCCCTTCCTCTCCTTCTCTGTGATCCTTGGTTGATTTTTCTTTCGGTTTCTCACTCTGATCATGCCAAAATATGTGAATTTCCAGGCACCTGAAAGGGGAAGATATCTCATCTTTGCACCATAAAGAGTTGATGGCCATAGAGGAAGCCCTCGATACTGGCCTTGCTGCTGTCCGTAAAAAGCAGGCTAGTACAATATTACACTGTAACAAAAATGTTTATTTGTATGCTAATTAGAAGCTCTTTGATATATATATATATATATATATATATATATATATATATATATATATATAAAGGTTAATCTTTCTTTACACCTTTTTGTTTTTGTTTTTTTTTTTTTTTTTTTTAATGTTTATTGTTTGGTTTCCTTTCGGCAGATGGAGTACCACAGCATGTTGGAGCAAAGTGTATGTATATTACAAACTGTTACTTCATATCATGAGTGACAGGATTATTGCTTCGATTTTGTTGGCCTCTATTTATCATCTTCGTTTTTTTTTTTCAGACTCAACTAGTGAGAAAATCTTGCTTTTTGTCTAACTATTTTCCTTATTGAAAATTTTCAGGGAAAGATGTTGGATGATGAGAGCAAGCGCCTCAATTTCGTTCTGGTATAATCTTAATTATCACCTTCATTCTGAACTTTATGTGTGTTTCTTGCACGGGAAATGGACTATGCATGCACAGCACATCACTATTCAAGCACTATTAATCAGGTCAATAGTTTATCCTAAAACCAAAAAGAAAGCTCCAACGCAAAGTCAAGTGCCTACAGTATATATATATATATATATATATATATATAGTATATATATATTATCCTCTCGGCAGGTCGGCCCCGTTAACTCATCTTCTTGTTAATTTTGTTACTGACTCAAGTACGTATCATGATTCGAGATTAATGACCAAGAACTGAAAAATAAAATAAATTAAAAGTAAATGGTTTGAGTCATCACATCACATAAGTAGATAATAATGACCCCGCCTGGTTCACAATCTTACTATGAATGTATGTTCCTTATGAGTTTATCAATGCATATTCTCTTTACCGATGTATGTTTACAGCAACAACAAGAGATGGCTATGGAAGAGAATGCAATGGAGATGGAAAATGCTTATCATCAACAAAGGGTGAGGGACTATAATTCCCAGGTGCCTTTCGCATTCCGCGTGCAGCCTATCCAGCCAAATTTGCAAGAGAGGATGTAATTGGGTCTGATAAGTTGATATCCACAATCCTCAACTTGCTTTCTTAAGTAACTTTTTCAGCATTCCAGTGTTTGTATTAAGTTTGTGTGAGAGGCAGTTAGCCTGTGGAAGACTATATTGGTGATCAGTGACTGCGTGTGTATTCAAAATCCTATGTTCTATCGAAAATTCCTATTTGCTTTATAAATTATGGCCACATGTACATGTATTCCTCATATACACTTCATGATTGAAAATGTCTCGTTTTGATTTGCCATTGCCAACAACTATTTTAACTGCTAAAACTAAAAATCTTTGATTAAAATGAGTCAAGGTACTCTTGAAAATTGGCATGTAACTTCCTTAGTAGTCTTGGTGCTTGCCGAATTTGTAACCTGGTTATGCTTAGGGACAGAACTTGTTTGCATATGCTTTTTGGTTGCTGCTATTAAATTAGATAGTTGAGATTGAGTTCCATCTAAAAGACTTAAGCCTTGTAGTGGGTGACCCCTTCTCAACTTTATATATTATTTATTATTGGTTTAACTATTCGATGTGAGATATGTTATAACACTCCCCTCACTTACGACCCATCTTTTTGGGGTCACGTCAAGTGGCTTTAGCTCAGGGATCTTTCTTGGACCGTTGAGCCTCTTTGAGGCTGCGATGCCATCTTAAATTAGATAGTTGAGATTGGGTTCAACCCAAAAGACTTAAGCCTTGTGGTGGGTGGTCTCTTCTCAACTTTATATATTATTTATTATTGGTTTAACTATTCGATGTGAGATATGTTATAACACTCCCCCTCACTTGCAACCCATCTTTTTGGGGTATATCAAGTGGCTTTGGCTCAAGGATCTTTCTTGGACCGTTGAGCCTCTTTGAGGCTCGATACCATCTTAAATTAGATAGTTGAGATTGGGTTCCACCCAAAAGACTTAAGCCTTGTAGTGGGTGGTCTCTTCTCAACTTTATATATTATTTATTATTGGTCGCTACTTTTGCTCGCATCTCCTTTTTTTTTCTCGTTGTGTGCCCGCATCAATCTCTCGCTTATCAAAAATGAAAATAAAATAATTATCTTACAATAATCGGACATCATTTTGCAAATTACTTGTGAAAAATTCATCATGTTCGGATTAGTTAATTAGTGCATTTATCTCGCCGGTACTTGCTCATTACTCGTATTGTGCATAGTTTAATTATTCATTAAACAAACTACGAAAAGGATCATTCATTCTCCTAAAAGAAGTGAAAAAGGATAATCAAACATGATATTAACTTCAAGCTAATTTCCAGTCTTATGAATTCTTTTTTATGCATAGTTTATCTGGGTGCATTTTCCTCCTATCTTCTATTGGGCTTTTCCTGCTTTTTTCAGTTTTCTGCATCCTAGTGTATCCACACATTGTTGGGCCGGCAAGAAATTAAGTTACAGCCGATAATAATAGTATCCTGCAACATGGCCTGGTAGGCTTTTTATTCAAAAGTGCACCACTTTATCTAAAAGGCCCACATCGACGCCCTGAGCCCAGATGAACGGAAGAGGATGATCGTAGTCACAATTTGTTCCCGATGAGACCCAAACCCTGCCCTGGTTGGCCTTTTCTTTTGAGATGGTTCGTGGACCTTTATTTGCCATCTTATAAACCATCAGCGACTGATTAATTCCAGCCCATCAGCCCATGCAAAAGGTCCCCCCAAAAAAAAAACAAATCATAACTTAAAAAATTTAATTCAATCTGAGTCGTTACTCAGCTCAGAAATCGTGGGTTAATTCTCTTCGCCGACTCCAAAAACAGAATCTTCACCTGACGTGATTGTTGAAAAGAATGCCTAAAGGGTGCCAACCTTAGCGTTAGACACCTGTTTTGCACTTCTACAGAGTAAAAAAAATTGCATAAATGAAGTCAACATGTGATTGAAAATTCTTCATCGATGGCCTCCTACCAACAAACCCCCCATTTTTAGTTGACGTGGCCAATTGGGTATTTTTGTAATCTTCGCAGTCAAAAGATTCTCCGATGACATTTCCGTCGGCATCCCGATACGAGATCCGGCGTACCAAAACGTTACGCATTGACTTTTCCATTAATAACCCATAAACTCAAAGTGACGTGCATAATAATTTTCCATTAAAAACATAAAGTCACGTGGTAAATTTAAAGGCAAACCACAAAATAGTCCCCAATATATATAAGCAATCAGGATCAGATCCCTGATCTTTTTTTTGGTCTCGATTAAATTCCTAGTGTTTCCATAGATTATCAATTGGATCCTTCTATTGGTTTTAATCAACACAATTGTTAAGCAATCACTTAAAAAACTCGTGTAAAATCATGGATTTACTAAAATTCTTTGAATCTAGTGATGGAACATATCACGTGAAGAAACATAAAGCCTATGTATATTTTTTATAGTTTAGTTTATCGTTTTTTCTTGCGATTTAAATGGGATCTTAAAAAATCTAATGGTTTTATATGGAAAAAAAAAACATGTGAGTTTTACACGACTACTTAATAGTTCATTATCTGAAACTAATTGAAAGATTTGATTGAAAATTCATTAATGCATTGAGGATCGAATTGAGATGAAAAATAAATAAAAAATCTAATTGATTTTGCTTTTATGGACTTAGATTTTTATAACATCTATCTTAAATCTAAATTGTTTTACAATAAATCTAATCTTATTGTGATTTATTTTAAAAAATCATTGTTATTGGTTTTATAATACTTTTAAAACCATGTCAATTTAAGACGAAAATAATTCAAAATTCTGAAATATCACTTTAAATAATTTAAAATATCAAATCCGAATTTTTAATAATTGATTTGACTTGAAATTTTAATCAACCACAAATAAAATATAGATACACGAGATAAGGTTTCTTACATTATTATTGTAAGGTTATTTATCTATATCTCAGCTTATTTTTTCAAACTGCATATAAAATTGATGTTAAAACAACAAAAAGTATGTGATTTTTCATATTTATATTGACATTTTTTGTTGAAAAGACGTAAAACTAAACTATGTAGTGTTTTTTTATTTTTATTTTTCATTAACTTGTTGGGATGAACCTGGAAAGATCTACTCATTTACTCGCGGGGATGGACTTGGCAAGTTATATTTGATAGCATTCTTGTATTTAAAAAAAAAACCATAGATTCATTGCGTTTTCAGTGCCTTTGGAAGCTCACTCTTAAAAACTCGAATTTCCTTTCTCACAATCATAAACTAATTTTCTACTCGAAGCATTTTTTTTTTCACAGTGCTCTTAATTTTCCGAAAACAGATTCATATGGAATTGAAGTTTTCATTGGAGGCAACTAGCTGAAAAATTTAGTCAATCAGTCGCTTCCGAAGAACACCGTAAACAACTAATAATTATAATTAAGAAGAAAAACTCAATTCAGGCACCGTAATTTATTTGTCCGTGGCACTGAATTAAAGGCAAATGATTTGATCAAACTCACAAAATGACAAGAAAACCGCTTTCCATGAAACGTGTCGAAAAAGATGTCCATATAACATCTCCCTTGCCACCAAACTCAGTCGAGTAGGGGTGAAACGGTTACTACCAAATCATTACCGAAAAAAAGAGAAGAAATAATCGATAACTTCTCTCTCGCTTGTATTTCTCTCTCCGTCAGCACCTTCACTTTTCCTTTCCGTGCGTCCTATTCCTCCTTTGACAACGCCATTAAGCAGTTATCTCTCTCTCTCTCTCTCTCTCTCAGGGCGAAAAAAAAAGGAAAAAAGGAACAGTAGTTAAAAAATAATTTATATTTAATAAAATAAAACAAAAAATAACCCTTCTCTTTCAGTTCTTCAACGGCCCGATACCTCTCTTACCCACGCAGGTATTTTCGCTTCTAAAACAATTCTCCTTTTTATGCTTAAAAAATATTGGTGCTAAGCATTTATATATTCGTGTAATTGCGCGAGGGTGTGTTTTTTACATCTGCATTATCCTTGAAATTATTAAATAGGGTTTTGCTTTTGCAGAGAAGGCGGATTCTAGGGTTTTTTTCTACCAGCTTTGGAACAAGGTATTGTTTTATTGGCTTTTGGTGCTTTTTGTTTTGAGGGATATAGTGCGTGAATGAAACAAAGGCTAGGGTTTTTTTTTATTTGGGGTGATTAGGGTCTTGCATTGTGGTTGGTTACAATTTGGTGTAATTTTGGTTTATTTCTTATTTTTATTGCCGTCTTAGAGATGGGTGTGTCTTAATTTGTTAAAAAATCCCTAAACTGAGATGGGTGCGTGTGAGAATTCGTTTGAGCCGCACGAGCCCTTGAATCTTACTGCCACTGAGCATCATTCGTGCTTGGAATTTATCAAGGATTCTGAACAGCTGCCAACCTTGGAGACTGGTCGCATTCTAATCGATTCTAATGTGGACCCCTCTAGTGCAATTGATGATGGGTTTGCGGAGTTGTCTCAGAGAGATAATGTTGTCTGTGCTAGCTACAGTGATGTAACGGAGGCTGTGTCAGTTGATATGGGAATTGGGTTGACGGGTGAGGGGGATAGTGCTGCTGGTTTGATAGCAGGGAAGTTGTTGGAGGATGAATCTGGGTTTAGTGTGGGTTGTTTGGATGAGAAGCAAAGTGGGATAGATGACTGTAATGGGGAAACAGATAGATTCTGGGAGGAAAAAGTAGGACTTGGAGGTGAGAATGGTGGACCACTAGATTGTGGAAGCTCTTTGGAATTGCTGCTTGTCCCTGATGCACTGAGAAATTTTGATCAACCGGATGGTCGAGTGGATGATAAGAATGCTCATTTTCAAGGTGTTACAGAAAAGGAAAGTAATGGTTTAGCTACAGTAGAGGCTGATACTTCTGATGAAGTAGTGCCTTCAATACCTGTGAATGATATGACTAGTAGTTGTGTTCAGCAAGATGACCAGAATGATGATGAGAGTGGCAGTATTCAAGGGGTTATGGTAGATAAAAATGATGGTTTAGCTGACATAGAGACTATTAATTCTGAGGAAATAGTTCTTTCACCGGGCTGTGAGATGCCAGCAGAATTAATGCAAGCAAAGGATTGGTGCGGAAATGGTGATCGACAAGATGACCTGAGGGATGATAAGAATGCCAGTGTTCAAGGGGTAATGGAAAAAAATAGTGGTGGCTTAGCTCCAGTAGAAGTTGATACTTGTGATGGAATAGTGCATTCTTCGGATCAAGAAATGCCTGCAGAACTAATATTAGAAAAAGGTTTGCCTAGTGATGGCAGTGAACAGTACAAGCATGATTGTGGTACCTCTCAAGAACCAGTCATGGAAGAGAAATTTGGCATTTTAACTGGGCTAGAGAGTAGCAATCTTCAAGGTGTGATGGAATGGAAAAGTGACCGCTTAGTGGCAACAGAGGCTGCTGATACTTGTGAAAACATATTGTCTTCACTGGGCTATGAAATGCCTGCTGAACGTTTGCCTAGAGACGGTGTTGAACTGGACAGTAGTACCTCTATGGTGGTGACCATGGAAGAGAAAAACGGTTATTTAGCTGGAATAGAGAGTATTAGTAGTGAAGGGTTCTTGGAAGAAAAAAGTGATAGTTTAGCTGCAATAGAGACTGCTGCTTGTAATGATATAGGTCCTTTACAAGGCTGCAAAATGCCTGCCGGATCAATTTCGGTGAGTGGTTCGCCTAGAAATGGTCTCGGACTGGACAAGCAGGATGGTGGTACATCTCCCACTGTGGTTCCAGAAGAGGAAAGTGTTCTTTTGACTAGGTTAGAGATTGATAATCAAGGCCAAATGTTGCCTTCGCTTGACCATGAGCAGGTTGACCAGAAGGGTGATCAGATCATTTGCTGTCCCTTTGCAGGAGGGATTATGCAGGAGACAAGTGGTGTTTTAGACGCGACAGAGACTACTACTTCCAACTGGTTGTTGTCATCACAGGGCCTCGATAAGGCCTTGAAATTAATGCTCTTGACTGGTTTGCCAGAAGCAAGTGTTCATCATGATGAACAGAAGCTGATTCCAAGGAAGCTGGACCCTAAGGCTGTCAAAGGTCTAACCATAGAGAGGGATCCAGAGCAGGAAAGTAATGCCTCAGCCAGGTTAGAAGCTGATAGCAATACCCAGGTATCACCACATAGTGCTATTGATTCTAGCAGTGCAGGTGACTGTTCTGGAGAGACAGACAATGAAGCAAAGAATCATCTCAGCACTGATAGTGTTTCTGAAAACAAGTGTCATGACATTGCATCATCTTCACGAAGGAGCAATGGAGTACGTAAATCAAGCCAGAAGACCCATACGAAAAGGGCTGCAAGGAAACCTAGGAACACAACCAAAGTCCCAAACCTGCATCGAGGTATTGAGATTAACTTCAAAAGTGTTACAAGGAGGCGAAGCTGTTTCTCCAAACCAGCTCGGTCTTCTGCTTGGGGATTATTGAGGAATATTACACAGACTTTTATGCTGATTAATGGTCTCAGACTTGATGAAATTGAGAATCATGGATCACAGAAAGCAAGGGGTGGCCGGGGAAGCAGAAAGCGAAATAATCATGCTGGTGGAAGCTCACGAAGTTCCAGCAAGAAAGGTTGTGCTTTGGCTAGTTGCATTCGTTTGAAAGTTAAAGTGGGAAAAGAAGCTTGTCAAACTGAAGGTAATCCGAAGATTATGCTCCCAGAGGTAATTGATACCAAGGCATCTGCTGATCTTATAAGCGATTATGGGGCTGAGTCACACCAGGAAACCAGTTTTGAAATTTCAAAGTCAGCCCATTGTGCTGAAGATAACGTGGCCCAAGAGGGAGATGAAAAACAGCTTTGCTCTTTTGACATTAAGTTGGAGAAGGAAGAAGCACACTGCGATGCTTCTGCTTTGGATGTAAATCTTGCAAACAAGGACGTGGAGGACGCTGTGACTTCTGAAAAGTCATCTGGAGATATTGTGGAAGATTATCTTGAGGTTCCTCCCCATACAGAGGTTGAAGCACTGGGAGTAGCTACTGAGAAGAGGTATACAGATCCTGGAACTTCACCAGATTCAGAAGTTATCAATATAGTACCCGAGGGTCAAGTTGATGCAAGATGTCAAGAAGATTTTCCTGATGCCATTCTGTCTTCTTCCAAGGTTTTTGCTGCAGATGAAGGGGGTAATGGTAAAAGGAGGGGAAAAAGAAAGAAAAGCTCTCTCAAGCAGGTAACTGTTCACCTGCTGTGGCAAGCTTAAACAAAGTTAAATCGGCAAAGAAACGAGGGGGTAGGCAGAGAAAGGGTGATGGCCTTTCCTCTAGTGAGATCCTTACTTCATCCACCAGTGCAAATGGCTCGATCAACACACCAAGCAGTAAAGAATGTTCCACAGGTCAGGTGCCTTTGTCAAGAGAGACTGAACTTGAAGTCTCTGGAGAGGCTTTGAGAGAAGAAATCAGTATGGAAACTAAAATATGTGGTGGACTGGATGCTGACCTTAGGTCATCAGAATCACAGATTTCAAAAAACCCTATTCCTTCAACTAAATCCAGGGGATGCCGACTTCCAAGGAAAACTAATGGAGTGAACAAGGGAAGGTCCAAAGTCTCTGACTCTGCAAAAAGCCGGAGGGCAAATGGCTGCAAGGAGAGAGGAAATGATCGGAAGTCAGTTAAAAAGAACAAAGCCAAGGAGAGGAGTGTTTGTGATCATGTTGTTCACAAAGGTGGTGATGTTCCAGAAATAGGTACTGTATCATTTATGTTGCATGATTTGTTTTTTATTTTTTTTTTTATGCTTTTGCAACCATGCTCTCGTGGCACTCCATATACTCTTTTGTTATACCAAAGGTCAAGTAGCATTCTGATCTGACATGAATTGTTTCTGTAATCATACTGTAGATGACAATGGAAAAGTCGATGTTGGTGCTGATGCTGCTGCAGAAGAGGTAGCTAATTTGGACATGTCGTCAAGTGGTATAATGGAGCAAAATTCATCCCCAGATAATGCTTGGGTTCGCTGTGATGATTGTCTTAAATGGCGGCGTATTCCAGTTGGACTTGTAGAATCTATTAGTCAAACACATTGCCAATGGTACTCTATCTTTCAGCTCTCCAAGTCATTTTATTTATCTTGCAGTTTCTTATGTCTGTCTGCTGTGTGCGCCCTCTATTGCAAATCCATTCCTTTTATTTTTTAAAGGAAAAAAAAAAGGATTTGATTAGCATGAGATTAGGTACAATGAAGAGATCAAGAGCTCTTCCAAATTAGCATGAGAATGTTAATGGATACAAGAGCTATCTAATCACTCTGAAAATGAGATAAGGTTATTTAGATGTTCAAGAGCAGAACACCATAAAGAGTGCATAATTACCAGGCTTTCGCAAAGGTAATTGGTTGAATGTGTAGTGTTTTTGAAAAAAAATTTCTCTTCTTGACTCTTGCTGATTGTTTTCTAGCATTTCTCTCCATTTTAGCAGACAATTCACTGCAAAAACTGTACAAGTTCAAAGATCTTGCCATTCTCCTCTCTCCTCTAACCTAGAAAACATATATATGACAAAATTTCCGTGGTTTTTGGACATACACATTAATTACTAGCCAAAGATGGCAAAGGTCCTATTCCCCAAAATCCTTTGGGACATAGCACTGCAAAAAAAATAAAATAAAAAGGGTGAACTGATGTTTTGCCATTGCTAAGACATGATAGACATTCAGATGCAACTTTTATAAGCTTTCGTGCTTGCTTCATGTATCCTCTGAAGGGCAATAAAATAAAAAGGGCTCTTCAGCCTCTCAAATATGGTTTACCAAAAGAAAATGAGAAGGGTTAGTTGTGCAGGTAAGACAGATAGAGATGGACTTGCTTGTGAAATTTCTGAGGATATACAAATGTCAAATATCCTGGCTAGAGTCTCAACCATACGTTTCTTAACTGCTTGATTAAGTTTTGCTTTAGTTAAGGAGGAAGATGCCATTCTGTCAATTAATTTATATGTCCTTTTTGGGCGTGAATCAACTATGCAATAATACCATGGACCTTGTATTCAATCTTGCTCAACTAGGCTAGGAGTCTCTGGGTGCTCCAAACTTTCTTTTCTCAGCTCTGGTTTCAATGAAATTAAGATTTGGGTGTTGCTTCTCTAGGCTTCTCTATTTCTTTTTAGGCTTTGCAACTTACTGTGCTGGCAAAAATTAATGATATATTGTGGTTCCTCTATTGATCTCAATTTGAATGTTCAAGTCATCTTGTTCTGGTGTGGGTATACGTGGAGCTGTCTTCCAGCATTACAAACATTTCCTCCAACTTCCTCCTTTGCCACTGTGTCCTTCTGTTCCCTCCTTTCTCATTGTTATCTTTTCCATCCTATAACATTGTTAGTTGTTCTGCTTTTTTCTTCTGATTTCTTAGGATCTGCAAGGACAGCACGGATAAAGCCTTTGCCAATTGCTCCATCCCTCAAGAGAAGTCAAATGCAGAAATTAATGCAGAGTTGGGTATATCAGATGCTGATGAGGATGCTTGCGATGCCCCTTCAAATTATATGGAATTGGAATTTAGACAGACATCAGGTATGCAGCATTTGGTAGATGTAGAAGAGCAGCAAGCTCGAACACAAGCTTGAAGCAGGACCCGTGCTTTGGTTCTTAAGGGTTTCATCTTTTCCTGAAACCTAATATGATATTTTACTTCTTTTACAGTTTCCAAGGAGTATGAATTTACACGCATTACTACCAATCAGTTTCTGCACCGTAGCCGTAAAACTCAAACTATTGATGAGGTTTGAATTTGACTCAATTCATTTTCTGCCTATCAATGTTACATAATTATGCTTCTTTGTATTGTGATTCACAGTAGATTTTGAGAATTGAATCTTTTTGTTCAATGGTAGTAGGGAGGAAGGACATGCGCTTTATCTTAAGCAGAATGTGTGCACCTAATGTTGAGTTATGTCAAGTTGAACTCTATCTCAGATGCATATGGGCTTGGTTTCTGGGATTTCTTGATGGCTGCCATGCATAATGGCTCCTTTTTAGACCTGGCTAGTTTAGGACTGGAACATGTAAAGTGGTAAAATTAGCAAGAAAATATGTTTGCAGACTTGGTAGCTTTGGTCCAATATAGATCTAGCTTAGTGTATATATCTGTGGATTTCTGTTACTCTTGGTATATGTCGTGAATGGGAAAATATTTGGAAAAGTGCTAGTATGAGAGGGAGATAAATTGCTGTTGCAATCTGAATAAAAAATGTAGGTGTTCGTGTTATGCAACATATTCGATCAACACATACGTTCACACATGCAGTGCGGCTATCCTAGGTTCAAACCACACCCCTTAGAGGATTATTGTTACAGAAAATGATTCATCTTAATCATGGCTTAGGCTATCCACTATAACTAACATGATAATTGTAGTATCTTGTCTTTTAAAAGTCTAGATTATACTTCAAATGCTATAAAGAAACAGTATTCCTCATTACTAATTTTTTTTTTTTTACAACGACATCTTTGTGCCTTTGGTTTTTCCCTTGGATGATTTTGGACCTATTTACATCGTGCTAACTTTGCTAGTGCTTCTGCTATTCCTGGTGTTTTTTCATCCCTAGTTTTAGTAGGTGTAATTGTGTTGTATTGTTTGCATCCATGTATCCTCCTGTGGTTTCCTTCAAGAGAAAATGAAATCACTGGTTTTAGGTTGAGTGTCAATCCATTGCATTTTAGAGTTTTTTTTTTGGAAGAATTGGTAGCTAAGGCACATGATTCTCTCCCCCTTGTAATGTTGTTTTGTGGTCACTCGTCCTTACTCTTGTTTGTGATTTGTCATTGTAATTACTCTCTCTCTCTCTCTGACACATACACACTGGCAAACTTAAGGCCAAAAGCAATTGGACGTTCTATTTTCTCTGCCAAAATTTTTTCAAGAGTTTATTATTACTAGATACTTTCTGTATCATGGACACTCCTAGGTATTATAGATACCAATCCTTGACTCTTACATTCTAATATACCCAGTGGGCACATAATTTTTCTTAAAAAAATCTGTTATTGTTATGCTCAAATTAAACAAAACAAGGCCATCACCCCCCCCCTCTCTCCTCCCTGACAAATTTCGCTTGAATAGGCTGCTGCTCATTTCTGCTGCACTTTCTATTCTTATCCATCCTTTTCTGATCTTTAAAATTCTAGTGTGTAAATCGAGATATTTTGTTTTAAGGACTTACCATGACTAAGGTGGTAAAAAGAGCTTCAACTCTTTTGGAAGATTTGTTTAGGTGTTGGCCTTTCTAAATTTTATTTTTTAACAATTTTTTCCATAAATTGTAAACAGATAATGGTTTGTCACTGCAAAGCACCTGTGGGCAGCAGTTTAGGTTGTGGAGATGAATGCTTGAATCGAATGCTTAATATTGAGTGCGTTCAAGGCACATGTCCATGTGGGGACCTTTGCTCAAATCAACAGGTTCCATAGCTCATCTTTTGCAGATAGTAATAATTATTTCACTTCTCAGAATACTCTTTTTTTTTTTTGGGTTTGATTTTAGTTTAAATATCACTGTGCAGTTCCAAAAACGCAATTATGCCCAAATGACATGGGAGCGATGTGGGAAGAAAGGTTTTGGGCTGCGATTGGAAGAGGATATATCCAGAGGGCAATTCCTTATTGAATACGTCGGAGAGGTAACTTCTTTTAATTTTTGTTAGGCTGCAGATCAGAGGTGAATTTTGTCATGAGTTTTGAGCCAATGCTGTAAGTCATAGGCATACTAAGTTTCCTCTGATGGTAGTTTACTTGCACATAATATGTTCGAAGCTTCATCATATTAGGTAAGTAATATTAGAACTCTTCAAAACTTTCTACGGACGTATATTTGCCTGGCCAAGTCTGATGTCAGCTTAACTCAATTCACATTTGGAGTTACTTCATCCAAATAGTGCTCAATAATTAAAGTTAATATGCTTTTTTGTGAAGTTTGATCTCTCTTCTCTCTCTATACACGCAGACATGGCTATTCTACCAAAAGAAGGTTTTAGTTCGAAATGTGCATGCAAACTTCTTTCAATTTTTCCTCCAAATTTCTAATATTTTGTTCATTCAGGTGCTTGATGTGCATGCTTATGAGGCAAGGCAAAAAGAGTATGCTTCCAAGGGTCACAAACATTTCTACTTCATGACATTGGATGGCAGCGAGGTTTGCTGAAGCTCTTCTCCTTCTTTAATATTATTTCTTTCATCTTTTTCCGAATTAATTTGCTTTAAACAGCATTAATGTGATGCAGCTTCTAGATGCTGTGATAAAAGTACTGGTGGTAGTTTCTAGGCCTTTTGATGTTAAATCTAACTTGTAACTGGACAGCACTTTTGGCATTATTTAGTATCTGCTGCTTTTAAACTTCAGTTTATATGTTTGGTTAAAATTGCTTAAAGGTATTTAATCCACCTGGGGCCTCTAGTTCTCAGATTTGTGGAGATGAGCTAAAAATGCGTTAGGTGTCCGTTGATTGCTCATTTAATAGATTGAAAGTTCACTACAACAGCAATTAATTTATGACATGACGTATTAACTTCTAACTAGTCCTTGGTACTAATGATGCACCTTCAACCAATGGTACCATCTAATTTCTTGCATTGACTCATACTTTTTTGGTGTCTCATTTCTCCCTTTTTTTCAGGTAATTGATGCATGCGCAAAGGGAAATTTGGGGCGTTTCATTAATCATAGTTGCGATCCTAATTGTCGTACTGAAAAGGTGATTAATTTATACATGACTCTCATCATTTTTTTTTCCTTTTATTTAATGAGATTCATATTTTATACTTTGTTACACATTGTTATGGTCTGGATGATGCACTGTGAATATGCATTCTTGAGCTTTGAGTCCTTGATATAGTTTTTCTTTTTATTTCTTCATTTTCTTATGCACTTTTTCTTGAGGACTATATTCTTGAGTCTAATGCTGAACTTTAGTTTTTCACTTTTGTCTCTTTTGTACTTCTTTCTCTGGATCTTTTCATCTTTTCCTTGTAGCTGGGATGGCAACAAGCCAAGAATCCCCATTGATGTCAATCCAGAAACATATGAGCCAAAATGATAAAGAGCTCACCTATTTCTTAGTATTTGAATAATTTAAAAAATGATTAACTATTTGACTTTAATCATGGGGATGCATGGCAGCATCTCACAAAACCACTGCTTATGAGGCACTTAAATCATGCCAAACAGGATATACCTACTTCTGTCAGTTCTGAATAAATGTCAGACTATTTGTCTAGTGTAAGGTAATGTAATTTCCCACATTTGGGATGCATTGCACCATCTAACACAGCCATATTGTGTGAGGCAATTACAACATACCAATTGGAATAGCCATTGCCTTCAATTTGATCCATGCAGGACTAATTAATACATGTTTAATGCAATTTCTCACATTGGACAAACAAGAAAATATTTGATCTTTAGATCCGAGACTTCCTACTGGCCACTCTCTAATTATCTTGGTTGTTGAATTGGCATCTCTACTATTACAGGAGACCTCAGTCTTTGGACCCTCCTTTTGCAAGTTATCAAAATAGTTTTATAGTTTAATTTGGTCTCAATCAGAAGGCTGGCAAGAAACCACTGAGAGGGCTATTGGCCATGTTTTGGATACACGTCTTTGCTTCTTTTATGCCCAGATTTGTGAAGGCTAGGCTTTGTCCTACGAACCTTTTGTAGGCCCACTTTCCCCTTACACTGTCCATTTGCATTTTGGGATATCCTGCTGTATATATGTGTGTGTGTGTGTGTGTATGTATATATGTATGTATGTATATTAATGAAATGGTGAATTTTGCGCCCTTTTCTTAATTATCCTTTTTTTTGTGATTGGTTCCATATTAATTAAACATAATGTATATTTTCCACTCAAAAGAACAAAGAAAGATAATTTACTTTAAATATCATTTGTGATTGAGGAGCAAGTTGGAAAGTTTAAGGCAAAAATTAAGCAAATCAATTTTGTTGCACTTTTCTCCAACAATGAGAGGTATATATAGTTTTTGTAATTGGGTCTATTTTTATGGAACAGGGAGACTGAAATGACATAATTTATTTTTAAATGTAAGAGATTATAGCGTTTAGAAACCTTGAATAGAAACCTTTGGAATATTCTTTTAGAACATGCTGTTTGTTTGGATCTCGGTGGTTTCCCAAATCTTTTTTTTAGGTATGCCCCACTTCTGTTTGGGGTCATCTGTGTATATAATCTTCATCACACATAGGGTTTATAACTATGTATTACCTCCTATATTAATTTCCTTCAAGTAGTCATTGCACTTTAGAGTGACAGCTAAATGTTCTTATTTGATCTCCATTTATGATTTATGTAGTAGTGTTTTGGCTTACTCAACGACCTTCTATTCTTGCACATGAGTATCCTTTTAATGTTATTATGTGTGGTGCCAATTGCGTGGCCTTTAAATTCCAAATTTTCAATTTCATTATAATATTTCTCAATTAATTTATTTGCTTTGTAAATTTTTTGTTTACAGTGGGTGGTCAATGGAGAAATTTGTATTGGATTATTTGCGCTGAGGGATATCATGAAGGTACACTCATGTTATATTAATTAATCTTGTGCTTTTCCATATGAGCCACAGTTGCCATAGTTTTTTCTTTTTTTCACTTCGTGGTTACTTTCTACTTGCTATAGAAGCACATGGAGTCATAGAATGCAACTCTTGATGATCAAGGGGATTTTTTGAAAATTGAAAGTTTGAATGTTTGCATATGTGCTTGTATTTTCACTTCACCTTAGTTTTTGTTTACTTCAGCTGAGAACCACTGGCTCATCCCTGCTAAACGTTTAAAGGGATGAAAATGACTGAGTGGATAATCTATGTGAATACCGTATTCCGTGATTGGCATGAATACCACACAAAATATGGTCTGTAGACAAAATTGATTGGTCAATGTGGGAATTTACATGTTTATTTCCACCATTGGTTTGTGGAGAGTTCATAAATTGTGGTGGAATTGATAACTCGAGGGTTGAGGTCTCTCAAAAGGTGTTACCAACTTGATCGATCATGTTGTAACCTTTGTGTTTTGCCAATAGAAAGATGTTATATTGGCTCCGGTGATCATTCTGAAATAAGCTTATTCCCTAAAGGGTGGAATTTGTATATTTAATTGCTGCCTCGTCTTTTATGTCTCCCTTTGACGATTAAGCGATATTCATAGTTTGTTTCTGCTAAATCAATTCTTACAATTCAATTGATTGAAGATTGCCCAGCACGACAAGCCTTCAACCATCCAATAGTTTAGCCTAACAACTATTCTTAGGTAAACAGCAGATGAGTCAGAAGTTTCTGATAAAGGTGCACTGTTGTATGAGGAGCCTCGATGTTTCTGCAGACAGCATTAGAGGTCGCAATGCCTTACTGCACGCCTACCATAAAAGACGGCACTTATTGCAGCAACTTGCACCTGCCTTTTCATTTTCAGATGCTTGCATGCTTATCTTATATTTTCATAACCATAGGTTTTTGGCAGGGTGAAGAAGTGACATTTGACTACAACTATGTAAGAGTGGTTGGAGCTGCTGCCAAAAGATGCTATTGTGGTTCACATCAATGTCGAGGCTATATTGGTGGTGATCCAACTAGCACTGAAGTAATTGATCAAGTTGATTCGGATGAAGAATTTCCTGAACCTGTAATGCTTGAACACGGGGAAGTTGGAGATGGCTTAAAACATAAAACATCTAAAACCAGTTTCTTTGGATTATCAAAAGATAGGGAAATGGAATTCAAAACAGCTGTTGGGAACTTGAAGGTTGGCACCGAAAATAAGGATTTGACAAACCAATTAACTCCTGCCATTTCTCAATCACCCAGTGCATCAGAAATGAATGGTCTACGTGGAGATTTTTCTTCTTCCAGTCAACGAGTAGAAATCTCCCTTCAGGCTGAAGACGTAACGACCCAACCCACACCTGCAGTTCAGCAAGAGATTCCTGCAGAAGAAAATATGAACAAATCCTTGCATTCCAGTCAAAAGTTGAAGACCTCTCCAACTTCAACTCCAACCAAACCATTGCCTGATGATGTTATGATTAACAGGAAGTCTAAGTCTGCCACAGCTGAAAACAAGCGTGTTTTTGTGAAATCTCGTTTTATTATTAAAACTCCAAACCAATCTGGTTTAATCAAGAAAGGAAAGTCCGCTAGCAATCTCATAAACATAAACAAGGTTCAGACAATAGCCAACAAACCTCAGATGCTGCCCATTAAACCCAAAAAATTAATAGAGAGTGCCTCGGATGACCATTTTGAAGCAGGTTAGGATCCTCTTATTCATCTTTTTGTCAAGATGTTATTGTGTGCAATACTTTAATGATTAATGCCTTGTAATGTTTTCAGTTCAGGAGAAACTTAATGAGTTGTTGGATTCTGAGGGTGGCATAAGCAAACGGAAAGTAAGTAACTCCTTGAATAGTGTTTTTCAAGTTTTTGGCAGTTTCTTAATGTTGGTTGATGTTTTTCATGTTTTTTGAGCTTTAACATCTCTCTCTCTTTAATCCCCCCCCTCCTTTTTTTTAGATTTTCAACTATTAATTCTTGCATTTGCCATACTTTTGTGTGGCTGCGCATTTTCCACGTGCAATGAAACCATGCTTTTTTTTCCATGAGAAAAATAAAAATATCTGGTTTTGATTTTCCATAATAAAGATTCTTGAGTGTCCAGAGTTTTTCATTTTTTATTGACCAATATCACTTGCAATGATGTGGAGTTGTTTAATTTTATTTTATTTTTTGGCAGGATGCCCCTAAAGGCTACTTGAAACTTCTCCTCCTTACTGCAGCTTCTGGTGCTATTAGAAATGGTGAAGCAATTCAGAGGTACTTTACATTTTTCTTGTCTGTTATTTCTGATATTTCTCGTACATCAAGATCATCACCACCCTGGCTTTTGGTATACCTATTCATATGAGGTGAATCCTGAAAAGGATTCATGCTCGATGATTGTATGAGGTCTTGATTTAATAATTTAGCCTTTTTTGTTTTGCAGTAATCGGGAGCTTTCTATGATACTTGATGCACTGTTGAAAACTAGATCACGGGTGGTACTGATGGATATAATTAACAAAAATGGTAAGAGTTTTCCCCTCCTTTTGCATAGCATACAAGCCAATGTTGCTGAGGAATTAGTAAATTCGCTGTTGCACCTTTTTTTGCTTAAAGAGTAACCAGTGATTGCTTTCTTTCAGGTTTACGGATGCTTCACAACATAATGAAGCAGTACAGAAGGGACTTTAAAAAGATTCCGATTCTCCGGAAGCTTCTAAAGGTGCACACATTGGCAGCTCTGTTATATAGAAATATCACAACAAGCACTGTTATTGTGCACCCCAACATGTGTCAAATCTCACATCCTAGTATTCAAAGTTGATTTATGTACAGAAACACAATCAAAATAATGTTATTGTTGTCGCAACTATTGCATGCCAAAGAAGTTCTATAGTATACTTTTTTTCCTGGATAGATAGATGCTCCTAGTCCTTAATAGTTTAACACTGCAAAACTGTTAAAATAGATGCTTTATTCGCTGTGGTGACTATCAAAGGAGAAGCTATAAACTCTAATAGTACAAGATAATGGTATTCCTTCTCAGCTTTGTGGATAAAATCATTTTTGAACCTCGAGACTCTTTCCATAGTTGTCATCTGTTCATCTTCAGAAATATTCTTGCAACTAGATTTATTTCATGCAGACTCTTGTAGAACTTTGACAAGCGAAACTTTCTAGAATTTCGAAACTAAAGCATGCTTTTAACTGACTTTTCTGCAGGTTTTAGAGCATTTGGCAGTCAAGGAGATACTTACATTGGAACATATAAGTGGAGGTCCTCCTTGTCCTGGAATGGAGAGGTTAGATTATTCATCTGGTTTTTAATTAGTCTATGGTTTGTCCTGCTTTGCTGATGAAATAGGGGCTGTACCTTTCTTTTCCTCAAACAAGGAAATGGATGGTGGATAGCTAGTGATATATTTACTTTGCTTCGGATCATTTGCGTGGTGGTCTTGTTTCTTCTCTAGGACATTTTAGTTGTAGGAAATCATCATGAGAGGCTGCTGATTCAATTTTGGGGGTCCGGAACTTATTATATATGGAAGTAAAAAGGTTGCCAGGGTTCTCTTAGGCTGGGATGTTGATTTTTTGAATTGAAAAAGAACAGAGGAATAATATTGTTTGATGGTAGAGTAACAAGAAAATAGAGTAGATACTTGTGATTCACTAAGGGAATTGACCTTCTTCTGGAAGCGAGTAAAAAGTTAGAAGCATAAGCTTACTTTGTGCCTTGTGGTTCTTCCTGAAACAGGGAAGGAACCCTGGGCTTCTGAAGCATACATTACTGAGCAAAGATGGGAAGTATACAATTGAAGCTACATTAGATTTTGTAAATGAAAAGAACAGTGGCGGCATTATATTATCTGGTGTAGAATTAACAAGAAAACGGAGTGGATTCACCAAGGGATTGACCTTCATCTGGAAGCAAATGAAAACTTGGCAAGAGAAGCTTATTTTCTGGTTCCTTTTCCCAAGAAGCAAGTCCATACAAAATGACAAAAAGGGTAGCAACCTTGGGACAAATGAAGCTTACGTTACTGAGGAAAGATGCCAAGCATACAGTTGAAGCTATGTGAGGTTCATCATGGAATAAATGTGCGAAGAATTGGATTGAGATTTTCTGTTTTGTTTTCTGGGGAGCCTGCTTTTTTATTTTTTATGTTTCCTAACCGTTATAGGAAGAAGGAATTTACTTCTGATAAGAAAAGATAAGTTGATGCTTGCACAAAAGACCGGTAATTCTATCCTAGGAATCTGAACCTCTCTCGTTCATTATCTCAATGATTGCCATCTGATCATACGAGGGTTGACTGGTGAGTTTGATTAGAGTGAGTTTGACTATAGGCCATGTTTTTAAGGCTATGGGTGGAAAGTATTTTTACTCATTTGGGAAAGGAAAGGAGTAAAGGGAGAAATCATGTGGAAAGTGGGTGGGTTTTTTCTCTTTTTCTTTTGTTCTTTCTTTGTTTTTGTTCTTATTTATTTATTTTTTTTTTGGGGAAGGGGGGGGGTGATAGGGGGAGATTTTAGTTGAAATTTATGCTATTCATTTACCCTTAACTGAAAATTATCCTAGTACTTAATTTGAAGGGCATAATTATAATTGCAACCCAAATAATGTTTTCCTTTCCGTTTTCTTTTGCGTACCAAACAAAAGAAAATTCCTTTCCTTCTAGTTTCTTTCCATTCATTTTAATCCTCTGAAACAAGAGAGAAAATACTTTCCTTTCAGATTCTTTTCTTTTCTTCTATGTTCATTTCCTCCATTTTCTTTCTTCCCCCATTTTACTCCCAGACATAGCCTAAAGGAACATTGCCATTGCTACACTTAGCTTTCTGGTTTCCTGTTTTATCTCTCAAACAAGCCAAATTCTTGCAGCTGTTGGCTTCTTGCATGCAATTTGAAATTGAGGTTTTTCTCATCATATTTATTTTACTGGCATGTGTTCCCTGATAAGTGTTATTTATGCAGCTTTAAAGAATCCATGCTGTCCCTGACAGAGCACAATGACAAACAGGTATTGTCTCTCGCTTCTTTATAACCTTGTTTTGAATTGACATTTAATATTTATGTTATTTACCTCCTTTCTACCAGAATCTGAGTCCTGTTTGACAATATAAATTTTTAAGTGGACAAAATTTACACTTTAGATTGGGGTGATTGCTTAGCTCAATGATTTAAAGCCTTTGGCTTGCAACCGCACAAGGATATGATTCAAGCTTTGAGAACAGCCATTTATGCAAAATGCTGAAGGATAAGACTGTCTCCAAACTCTCTCTTGACGCTTTTCTTCAACTTGACGATAATTGAGTTTTGGTTTTGTTTATAAGTGTTGGAATAGCCAATGCTGACCTTATATTTTAACATGTGAGTAAAAAAGGTTTCCGACTCTATGATAAAGCTTAATATTAAAAGAAGTGTTATGGGCATTAAATTTTCAGTGGATAAATATTGTTGGATCAATCCAAAATAGGACAGACACGCTTTGGGCAAAAGGCTGTTTTCTGACTTCATGATTTGGAATGTTGCTTGTAAATATGTAGGATTGCTGCTTGCAATGATTATTGGGTAATGACTTAATGTTGTCCTTGGGTGTGAAATTTGAGCTTTAATGAATGTGGTTTGTGCACATAGGTTCATCAAATTGCACGAAGTTTTCGAGATAGATGGATCCCTAGACATATCAGAAAACATAGCTACATGGATAGAGATGATGGGAGGATGGAGATTCACAGAGTTTCAAACTGCAATAGGGTTTCAGCTTCTCATAATCATCGGCATGATCAGGGTGTAAGACACACTGAAGAACTGAATGGTACAGCAGAATCAAACCTCGCAATGACTTCAGTGGGCACTGCAGTCCATGAGGAGAGCTCTGCAAATCGTGTAGGTTGTGGTACAAGAACTCGCAAGCGTAAAAGTCGATGGGATCAACCAGCTGTGGTAAACATTGCTTCCAGATCTCTTCAGCATATTGAACAGAAGGTTGAGTCTGGGTTGGTACAACAATCTGAATCTAACCCATTACCTGAGTTAAGTAAAGAAGTGTCAGATCATGTAGACAAGGCAGGTGGACAGTACAGTTATTGCCCTCATTGTGTTCGCAATTATGGTCGGCAAGATGAAGCTAGTAGTGCTGATGACAGAAGGCAAAATTCTCATGAGGATGTTCCACCTGGATTCTCATCTCCGATTAACTCTGCTCTTGCATCCTATGCTTCTTCGACTGTTGCTGATCTCCCTCAACAAAATGTTATCCATTTTAAGTTTCCTGTTGGTATGGTTGTCGGTCTTCCGCAGAAGAAATTCAATTCCCACTTGCCTGTCTCATATGGAATTCCATTGCCTGTTATGCAGCAATTAGGGTCACCCCTGGCTGATACTGTAGAGAGTTGGGTTATTGCTCCTGGCATGCCTTTCCATCCTTTTCCCCCATTACCACCACTTCCCTCCTGTAAGAAAGGGACTCCACCTTGTGCTGTGAGCTCTATGGACATTGATGACACTGCAGATCAAGGGCAACAGGACAGCCATGATCCTGCCACTTGTCCGAATGAAAATAGTCCAAGCACAAGTGGTGCTAACCAACCAGATGTGAAAAGTCCAGGTCCAAACGACCATCAAACATTTAAACGTGCAAGAGGATCCTCATATGATTTGGGAAGGAGGTACTTTAAGCAACAGAAGTGGAATAAAGTGCCTCTTCCATGGGTTCGGAATAGGAATGGGTGGGGATGTGTAGGAGACAACTCAAGAGGTGGAATGTGCAGCACTGACATGGGAAGTCTAACAGATGAACAGAGAAACTCTTACTGTTGACAGGATGTGTGAGCTGTAGAATGGAGAAAGCTGGCAAATACTTGATCAGTATGCACAGCGCCTAAATGAGCATTGAATTTTTAGGAAATGCTCTGAAGAGCTACTGAATATTTACCGTACTTTTAATGTATTCTTGATTCTTTTTTTGGGTTTTTATTTTCAATGGGAAATTCATTCATTTCAGAATTTCGAGCCTCATACTCAAAAGTTGCGATGCTATAGCTGAAGGGAGAACATGCCTCTTATACGGGTCTTCTTTTGGATGTTGATTCATTAGCTTACACCTCGAAGAGGTAGGTAGTCTTGTTTATCTAACATTTTCTCATAGGGGTAATATTGTTGATTGTTGGAATAAAAGATAACCAATTTATTGGCATCTTGCACTGGGGTAAAAAAAATTGATGATATGGAAGGTGAAAGATGATTTTGTTTCTTCAATGGTTTCTCGATTCTTTTAAATTAGTTTTTGTACTTGGCTGGTGCAATTTCTCCATCAATTAGGTTCATGTATATTGGAGTTTGGTCTCCTATTGAACTGTAGTTGCTACAGTGATTTGTTGATTTAATAAAAGTCAATGGCTCCTTGTTTCAATAAAGTGCTGTCCTCTTGTAACGAAGTCAACAAATTCTGGTTGTTTTATTGTGACCTTTGTGATTTTGGAACATTTTTGTATATCAAGTTTCCATGTTGATTTTCGAGAATCTGAGTTCACCCACAACACATACGTTAACAGCAAAAGGCTAGTGGTGTGCAGTGTGCACCTAACAGTAACTCTCTTCTCCTCCTTTAGCTAATTCATGCTGGTTGTCCAATCTCCTTTTCATCTTTTGCAAGAGCACCGAGCTTGTAGCTCATTAACACACCCCATTTAAAAAAAAAAAAATTGCTTTCTATTGTGTCTCGTGGATTAAGTTCTTTATTAGCAGCAGAAGTAGAGTATATAGCACTGCTAGGTTGAAGTCACTTAAAGATAATATGTTGTCTAATGATAAAATGAGGTGGAAATGCTTGATGCTTGCGAAAACTCGTCTCAAGTGATTCAACATTTTGGTTTACAGAACTTCTGGTGCCGCAACAGCACAGGAAATTACTCCTGTGATTAACATTTATGGTATATTGTGATTTATTCTATAACTTTCAGTCTCACCAATTGTTTAGATTTCGTCAGGTGTGGCTGGTTTCTGCATTCCATGCTTTTTCCTCCCTGCGATTTCTGGATACTGAATTTGGAACAATCTTCGTTCTCAGCTCAATTATTGCCATGATGTAGGATCATAGCATGGATTTTGCAGGACCACTGATTGGATTTTATCAACTATGATCCGTGAGATAGTTACAAAATAAGAACATAAAATCTGTGTAAAAATGAACTTTTTGTTCGATGTTGGTTTGGGATTTGTCTAGGAATGGATGGCAATTTGAAGTCAAAAGTCTTTTCTGATCTTAGCAAAAATTAGTTTAAAATTGTGTAGTTCGCCATGATGAAATCCTTCACGTTTTACTTCGCAGCTGAATTGGATGCCTTTCCACCGACTTCAAGCGGGAGTAAAATCAGCTGGCTTTCTGGGCATGCCTGATAGCCAGCAGGACTATAGGTCATTTCTGGTCTTTTCCGAACTGCTGATTGTCATTCCTCTGCCCTTGTAAAGATTGTCTTCCAAAAATAATCCATTCACTTGTCGTGGTTATGGACATTAACAAGGGTTTAGGTTTAATTTGGTTGTAGCCTTCTAGGAGCCAAAATTCATCTGCAATTTAATTCTATCTGATTGTCTCATCAGCTTTTCTTGGTGCATCGAGTATCCTTGTAGTTTATATTGTTGCAGGAGGTTTCAGTTCAATGATCAAAACAAAGCATGATTCTTCCTGTTTCCTTGCTGGAGTCATTGCCACACCCACGCTTACAGACCTTGACGAGTGTTCTGTCCTTGGCACAACCACTTCGGAATAATATATATATAGTAATTACAAAGTCAAAAACTATGATACAGTTGCTCTCAACACCCCTCTTGCACTCAGGAATAGGGATACGTCCCCAATTTTTCCTTTTCAACCTGAAACATTTTGATCAAAACAAATTGCCATTGCTTAAAGGGAAAAACAAGGACAAATGGAAGAAAATAAACCCGATCTTCTATTTCATTTTGTTCATTACAAAAATCTTCCTAATTAACAGACCTTATCTTAATATTTTACTGCATCCATTATGTCTCCTCCAATCTGCTTTTCTTATTAATACCTCCTCAACAAACTTCTGAAACGAACAAAGTACCAGGTTTTCATTAGCGTTTTGTATTTTCTCCAGCCACTGAAATACTTTCCAATCACCTTTTTATAACTAGGCCTTTGCTGCATCAAAACCCAGTACTCAGCAATATTTGGCCTGCTGCTTATGTATTCATCTTCCAAATTCAAGAGGACCAAGCGAGCCAGAACAGGGATCAGCGTTACGTCTGCCATTGAGAACTCTCCCCCTGCTAAATATGCCGTTTCCTTTAGCTTGGTTTCAACTTCATCAAGAAGTCTAACAAGATGCTCTTTGCTCCGTTTCAAAGCTTCTGGGTTTTTCAACTTGTCTTCCGTTTCGTACGCATCTTTTAGCTTACAGTGATAAGCGCTGGCTAGTTCAGGAGATTCAGCCATCCGAGCTATGATCACTCGTCTTATGAATTTGGAAACAGAGATGCGGTACTTCTCAGGTACATGGGAAAGTGTGAAATACTTGGCGTTCCACTCTTGTATCTTGTGCATCCATTCAACAACTTCTCTGCTTCTAAAGGAGGTGTCATCAGCACCCAAAGAGACAGCTGCAATTCTTTCGACGTACCTGCAAAGTATTTACCACTTTAAAAACTGTTGGAAAATAAGGTGTATCTGGAAGAGTGGTACGCTGATAATGTTGAAAGCCTATTAATCTATCATACTATGTGAATCAACTCAAACTTAATTTAGAAGAAATAACTGAAGCAAAAAGGCTTCATGTATCATTTCAAATTTGAAATAGCTTCCAAACACACCTCATACATTCGATAGAACAGCGGTAGAAAAGGAAGAGTGAAAGATGAGACATACTGGATTATTTCGATAGTGTTGAAAATGATGTGAGAGCCATTCTGGAAAACAGGGAGTTTTGCGCTTGAATTCATCCTGAAGAATGAGGCATCCATGTTCTTGGCGGTTATAGGGTTGACATGGTGAGAAGTGTAATCAATGCCCTTCTCTTCCAAAGCTAGTCTGACCTTCTGGCTATCCAGGGAGTATGGATGGTGATATAGCTGCATGATTCAATTGACACCGGATCACACAGTTACTGGTCGTTTGAAAAGTTGAAAGCTTTAGTGTCAGCTTTTATCCTCTGATGATCATTCAGCACAGAGAGTTCTGTCGAGGTCTGAACTTGAACTGTATTGGGAGATCAGATTAACATCATTCACTTTATGGACCAGATGAAACTATAATGGATACATAACATTCTCATAACCATTAGAAAACTAGACAACACTCCAACAACAATAATTTTTTTTATAAAGCTGCAAATAACAGGGATTTCACGACTGTTTACATCGGAGATTTTTTCTGCAACTCTGTACTTTGAGAATTGGATCCGATAAATTCATCGAAAGGAAGGGAACGGAAACTGGTTGGCAAAAATGAAGGCTCCACTTAATTGAGAACTGTATTTGCATGTATATAAGCAAAGGGGCACGTAACGAAGAGGAAAAATTGCTTTCATTTTCTGAAACCGAACTTTAAATTCAAGAATCAGGAACATGCTAATATGCACAAGAGCAAGCACACGTGGAATTCTGAATTCTCCATAATCTCTATAATGTATCAAAATATATGGAAAATCATACATAATCCGTGCTCTGCATATATAACCCAGATATGTACTATTGTTTACTCCTGATAACAAAACCTAAACACATATTTGTCCAAGTTAAAAGAAAAGGAAGAAAAAGACATCGCTTGAATTTTCCACAACAGGAATTAGCTCTGGAAACCTGTGGTAGAAAGAACAGATTCGCCCAAGCAAAGGAACAACATTGGCTCATAATTAATGCAGAAAATGCATGAAAGCCAGATTGATATGCTAAAACAAAATTCTAACTGTTCCCTCCAACCTAACTTAGTATTTGCAATTTTTCTATCCAAATTCATGAGCCAGCAAACAAAACCAATATCACATATACCACGCAAATTAAGTCCAAAGAATCGCAGTCTAGAGTTTATTTTGCAGTGGAAAGATAGTAAAACAATTTAGAAGAAGAAAGAAAATCAATAAAAAAGACCAGAACTCAAACAGGCAGTGAAAACAAGGAGAGCAGGACGTCTTAGTACATAATAAAGGATGAGTTGAAACATTGAGCAAAAAAGAAAAAAAAACGATAAGAACAAAAATCAAGAAAACCAAGAAACTGAAGAATAGACCAAACAAGAAAAAAATGATGACAAGTGAAACAATAGAAAAGAAACGGTTGGCTAAGACTGACTTACCAAGATAAGAAGTGAAGAGAGGAGAGAGTAGTGTGTCAGAGTTGTTTGGTTTCTTTGAGATTTGCGTTTGTGGCGTCTGCGCACATGTAACTATGTTAATACGAGAGAGAACCCTTTTCTCTTCTTTCTTCTTAGTTTCTACAGTTGGTGGACTAGAAATAAACTAGAACCAGCTGAAGAAGGATAAAATAAATAAAGTACTCCTGCTAACTGTTAGCTTAAAAGGCTAAAAAGGGAATAAGAAGAAGAATATTTACAACTGGAACTGGGAGAAGATGGATGCTTCGCAACTTCCATTTGGTAACCGCCCACAATAGGATCTCTGTTACCACTACTCGCTTGAGTGCGCAAACCACAACATACTCGCTTCATTTATTCATTTACGAAATTTTGGGCCCAACCATTTTGAGTAGGAATATTATTCATTCATTTATTATTTATTTATGTCACAATCGTGTCATACGTTGAAGGATGAAAGTGCTTTCCATAATGTCATATAAATAAATACTCACGAATAGAATGATCATCAAGTTTTTCATGGTAACCTATTTTAATGTTTATCATTTTCTCTTATAATGTTTGATATTAATAAATAATTTATGTGTATGTGATAATCACTTGACAGTTCCGTTAGGTTTAATTTGACAATAACTTTCGAGAAACACAAAGTCTATTCTCTATTAAAAGGTACGACAGTATATTATAAAATTGTTCACGTTAAAACAGAAGGGGACAGGCGAGTAAGAGAACGACAGAATCTGATTTTATTTTTTATTCACAAATTCTTTAGTATTATTTAAAAAATTCAATTAAAAAAAAAACTCACACTACAGAAATGACACGTGTAGGATCACGATGCAGAGTGAACTTCTTTCTCAAGTGGCAGCGAGTATGTATCGTGACAGGCTGAACAAAAGGGAAACTATGGCCACCAACAACACATCATGGCTAAAACCTTAGTGAATTCCCTGAGTGGACAGAGACGGCTAATGTGCTGTTTTAATAGTTGTCCTTGTCCAACAGTATCATCATTTTCTTTACGAATATCCATTCCTAGGATGTAATAAGGGGTCTTGGGTGTCGACTCAGTCAATATTTAATGCTTTGATTATCTTTCGTCCTAGCCTGGGCCCTGGGGATTCTATACTTTTGAGTTATAGCCATAACCCATAAGTTTTATTATCTCAATTGTCAAAAAATGTTAGCCAAGTTGGAACAAAATTTACAGTTGCTAGGCAAGTCTTATTTTAAGGGATACTAATAGCTTAAATTTTGTTAGGCTTCCAACTCAAGATATCTAATCCAACCCCCCTAGATGGATTGATAGGACTCTCAACGGCCCAACTTGCAGTCTCGGGTTACAATCTTCCATAAAGATTGGGCTAGAAAAAGACCCTATATTTCGAGGTAGCATAACAATCCCTCATCTTTTTATGGTAGTCTAAACTGATTCCCATACAAATAACACTTATAATATCTGTCCAGGACTTCCTGGACCCAAAAAGAAAAGAAAAGAAAAAAAAACTCAAGATGTCAAAATAATAATAATAATAATAAGAGCCCAAACTGAATTCTTTTTTTTTTTTTAATGAGAGCCCAAGCTGACTTCTATTATGAAGGCCCAAGTGAACTTTAACTACGGGCCTCGTTTTGGTTGATTAACTAAAAACGAAATGCCCTTAAATGTGAGAAAATATTACGTTTATGCCACCACGGCATAAATGCAAACCAGATTCGCTGACCTCTTCTTCCGTGGAGTGATTCAGTGACGGAAATGAAACAGCAGCAGCTTTAGCAGTCGCAGAGCTTAACTTCGTTTAGCCGTTCCCAACTCTTCTCACAAAGCACGGTAATTTATTGTTCTTAATTTCACAATTACTAGTTACTTGTCTTAACTGTAGTTTCTTCTCTTAATTGATTTAAAAATCAGTTAAAAAAACTAATTCAAGTTTTGTGTGTTTCCTTCTAGTAGATTTTGGGTTTAACAGCCATGAACAGAATTTATAATCATTCCAATAAATTATATTTTGGATTTAGTAAAATCTTCAAGAGAAGATACAGCTTAAGCGAAACAATAAGTGATGTTGCAGATACAACGAAAAGAATATGTAAAATCATGATGTCTTCGTCAGCCGTCACGCTTGATACTGCCCTTAGTCAAAGTGGGGTTAGGGTTTCAGAACAAGTAGTGGAGGATGTCCTTAAGAAATTTGAAAATGCTGGCATGGTGGCGTATCGTTTCTTTGAATGGGCGGAGAAACAACGGCATTATACGCATAGCGTTAGGGCTTACCATACTATGATAGAATCTCTAGCTAAGATAAGACAGTATCAGTTAATGTGGGATGTTGTGAAGGCTATGAAGAGTAAGAGGATGGTGAATGTTGAGACGTTTTGTATTATCATGAGAAAGTATACGAGAGCTCAGAAGGTGGAGGAGGCTGTTTACACGTTTAATATCATGGATAAGTATGATGTGCCTCCGAATTTGGCAGCATTTAATGGGTTGCTTAGTGCTTTATGTAAGTCTAAGAATGTGAGGAAGGCTCAGGAGATCTTTGACAGCATGAAGGACCGGTTTCTTCCGGACTCAAAAACTTATAGTATATTGCTTGAAGGATGGGGAAAGGCTCCAAATCTGCCTAAAGCGAGGGAAATTTTCAGAGAAATGGTTGAAAATGATTGTAGACCTGATATTGTGACTTATGGTATCATGGTACATGTCCTTTGCAAGGCTGGGCGGGTTGATGAAGCCCTTGGAATTGTCAATGAAATGGACTCTGAGGATTGTAAGCCAACTCCTTTCATTTATAGTGTTTTGGTTCATACATATGGAATAGAGAATCGGATTGAGGATGCTGTCCGTACCTTCCTAGAGATGGAAAATAATGGAATTGAGGCTGATGTTGCAGTTTATAATGCTTTGATTGGTGCTTTTGGTAAAGTGAACAGGCTTAAAAACATTTATAGAGTCTTAAATGAGATGGATTGCAAGGGTGTGATGCCTAATTCAAGGACCTTCAATATCATTCTGAGCAGTTTGATTGGCCGAGGAGAGACTGATGAGGCTTATAGGGTATTTCGCAGGATGATCAAGGTATGCGAGCCAGATGCAGACACATATACTATGATGATAAAAATGTTCTGTGAGAGGGATGAGCTAGAAAGGGCGCTTAAAGTGTGGAAGTACATGAAGTTGAAGCGTTTTATGCCGGGCATGCACACTTTTCAAGTTCTTATAAATGGACTCTGTGAGAAGCGTGATGTCACTCAGGCTTGTGTCTTATTGGAAGAGATGATAGAAAAGGGAATACGGCCTTCGAGTGTGACATTTGGAAGGTTAAGACAATTGCTTATAAAAGAAGGAAGAGAAGATGTACTAAGATTTCTTCAGGAGAAAATAAATGCCCTCGTCAATGACCCTTTATGGGATCGGTAAATCATAGTGGATGAACTTAAATCTGTTTGTTATGTTGATCCATCAGTAATGAGATTCGGTTTTGAAATGTCCGTATACTGCTCGGCATTGACTGCAAAGGTCAGTTTTACTTCTTTCTAGTAATTTTTTTTGGCAATGCTGCAGTTTCTGCACATTTTTTATGCCCTGTTCTTGCTTCTTTTTTCCTATAAAATTCTCTGAGTACAATTGAACTTTATGCAATGTCTGTAAAAGAGAGAACAAGAGCAAGTGCCTGAAGAGGGCATAATCACTAAATTGAGAGAGAGAATAGGATTGTAACTTCTGTTTAAAGATGGAAATAGTAGAAAGCCATTAGATAGATTGACAATCTAATTTCTCCATGTCTTGGGCTGTTGAAATGATGAATTTAATGGTTTAAACCCAAGTGCCTTAAGATAGAAAGGAAGTCGCCTATTAGAAAAAATCTATGCATTGAATTTCACACACGTGTACTGCATCCCTTTCAGTAGCTCTACTTAACAGCTTTGTTAAATTCTTTGCTATTGGTTAATTTCATGCAATTATTTGGAAGAAGGCTATTTATATGAACTAAGTCAAAATGCTCATAATTGGGGACATGCTGAACTAAAAGTATATTGACATATAGATATGTCACTGTTGTCTGGCACTTATGGAATGGCTTGAGAACTTCCTCTTTTTTTGTTTTTTCTTTTTTTTCCCTCCTTTTTTTTAAGGTTTTGATAAAGGGCATGCCTCTTGGTTTACTTCTATGTTGGAAATACTGTTATATTAGATTTTCCATGCATCTATGACCAAGAATATTATTTTAGAACCCTATTATTTTGTGTGCACCTGCTGGTGCAAGATATTTAAGATTTATGATATTGTATGTTAATGGCAGACTGTGTTGTTTTGTTTGTAGTGATATGACTTTGGGACTAGAACCTATATGATTTTCGTTACATTTGGGCCGACGATGATGTTATTAGTCAGAACTCTGGACTGCTCAAATTTTAATTGTTAGTCTCTAGCGGTTCTCTGCATGTGGGCATGACTTTGCAGAGCCAAGAAGGAAACTGGTGATATGAAGCAGGCGGGTCATAAAGTTATACTCTGATCTTCAGTCAGGAAAATGCTGCTGCTGGAAGTTTTATGAGGAAGCTCTTAGGCTGCTGTTTGGAGTAGCAGAAATCAAAATCAACGCTTGGCTATGGCAACTATCAGGAACACAATATGGGATGGCAATTTTTCCTTGACAGAGTGAAGGTATATTGTAACTAGTAATGTTAACCGCACACATGAGGTTGGGAAAAGAAGCATTTATATTTACCTATCTTCCCCTACAAGGGACAAGCAATAACTGAAACCACATTCTGTTTTGGTATAAAAAAAATGTTATAATTACATTGGAAGTGATCTAAAATTAAGTAGAATGATAAGGTATTCCAAGATGCAAAAGAGTTGCCACATTTGAAGGGCTTGAGTTGAAAATTCTAAGGCTGGCTGATTTGAAAATTCTGTGCTTTCTGACCTAACCTACTCTACTCTGCAGACCAATCTACATTATTCTCCTGCTTGAGCTGCTGGTTCTTGATCTATCAGCTGTGCGTGAACTGTCATGCCATAAAGGTCTAAATGACTCATGACCGAGTGGCAATGGCCTTTCTGGTAATCTGGGGATGTCAATGTCGCCCTCTAACATTTTGAGAGCATCAGCAATGGTAGGTCTGAAAGCTACCATTACATGAGCACAAAGAATGCCAACAAGAACAAACCTCTCCATTACCCCTTTTGGTCCTTGATCCCTTATTGATTCGTCAACAATTTCCTGTAACTTTCCTGATTTTGCTAGTGTCCACGCCCAATCCGTAATCAAAAGGAATGAAGAATTTGATGTATCAATCACCTTCCTACCACTCATGATTTCAAGAATCACAATTCCAAAGCTGTAAACATCACTTTTCTCTGTTAGTTGCCCATATAGAGCATATTCAGGTGCCAAGTAACCATGTGTGCCAGCTACCCTTGTGGTGAGATGAGACTGGCCATCTAAACTTTGCTTAGCTAACCCAAAATCTGCAACTTTTGCTTTCATTTCCAAGTCTAACAGTATATTAGTGGCCTTAATGTCGCGGTGATAAATGGCAGGTTTTATACCATAGTGCAAGTAAGCAAGTCCTTTGGCTACGTCCAGAATGATATTCTTACGCTGAGGCCAAGTTAATTGCTTCCTGCTATGGTCATTGGATAAATGGTGACCGAGGCTGCCATTAGACATGAAGTCATAAACAAGGTATCTCCTTTTACCTTTTGAGCTATCGCTTGTTACACAGCATCCTCGCAGAGAGAGAAGATTCCTATGCCTTATTTTGCTTATGATCTCAACCTCATTGGAGAAGTCTTCATCAGCCTGTGAATCCAAATCATGCATTTGTTTCACTGCAACCAAGGTGCCATCTGCTAGTGTTCCTCTATATACAACCCCATAAGCTCCCTGTCCAATGAAATTCCTTTGAGAAAACCCTCTTGTGACTCGTTCAAGTTCTGATAAATGAAACCATTTTGCACCAGAGTTAGGCAGCACACTGGCCTTGAAACTGCTCACAAATTTGTCATGCGAAGCATTGACCTTCCTCTTCTTCTCCGATTTCCTATACATAGTGATCAGTCCAAAAGCAAGCAATACCCCAATAAGAGCGCCCAATAACCCAAATACCAGCTTGAGTAACCTATCTTTGCTCTTCGCTGGCTTTTTAGTACCTGAGTTTGCCAATGGCAAGGCTAGGGTGCAAGCAGCTGTTGTTGCATCTAGGGGACCAAGCTTGCTCACAATTCCAGCAGCATATAAACAAGTATAGTAGAAGCACTTAGAAGTGGCATTTGGATCTATACTTGTTAACTGAGAAAGTATCTTCTGCCCTGCTTCAAGACATGAGCTGCACCTCGTTAGTTCTGAAAAATCACCACTGCAAGCCGTGTTTAACGGGGTCATTGGACCAACCTTCTCAATCCAATCTCGTGCAGTAACTATTCCCACACAACTAGACGTGTTAGCAACAAATTGAGTTGAGTCCTTAAAGCAGGAAGGGACTAATGATGGGTTTATCGACAAAGCGGCAAGCTTGGCTTGAAAATCAGATAAACAAGCAGATGAGGCATTTGCATTGGGAAGTTGAAACAACGAGGTCTCTTTTAGGTGTTGGGCAAGTCCCATGCCAAAGACACTAAGAAGAGTCTGGCAGCAATGTCCTGATCCATCAGATTCACGACACAGCGATGTGTCCCATGGCACAGTTTGGACGTAGCTGAGATCTATGGGACATGAAGAAGTAGCTGAATTTGAGTCGATGGAAAAAATGGTGAAGAAGAAGAGGCAGAGAAAGGAAGAGAAGAATAGTTTCCTGCCCATTTTTTGTGTAGAGAGTTCAAAACAACCTTGTGCAATAACATGCTAGACTATATAAGGTTAGTTATTGTTCTTTGAACAATCAACGTTGGCTGGCTGTGGTAAGAAATCAAATCACGTTTTGGTATTGAACACGGAATATATATTAGTTTATTGGTGTTTATTCCTTGCTTTTATTCAGGAGTGGTTAACCAGGTTTTTTTAATCCACAAGCGAAGCAGTTTTTTTTTTAATAATTTCTCTAAGAGTTTACATGAGAGTTCCATGTTACAATGCGCTGGCTTGGGTGGTTTACTGATTGGCCCTCCTTATGGATCCCATAATCTTTTTAAAATTGGCAAGTAGTTTATGAGGGTGATAACATTTTAGATCTTATATTTTCATAAATTATATTTTATATCTTAAATATTTCAGGATAAATTTTCAGATTAGGATAAAATTAAAAGACTAAAAATAACTCCTTATATATATATATTAACTCCTAATGCTAGCTAAATATTTTCTCTACTATTCGAACCCAATTCTCTCTCTCCTCTCTTTGATCTTTGGTCGCTTGTTTCTCTTTTTGATTTTCAAGAGAAAGATAGTTTGATAATTTAAATTTATTTGACCAAAAAAAAAAAAGAGTAAGAAATCAATAATTATTGATTGATTGAAAGTTGTTGTAATTGTTCGGCGTTGATTTGCGAAAAAATTGAGCTCAATAGAACGTCCGTGAAACTCCAACTCATATGTTTGAATTTTTTGTTTTAAAAAAAAATAGCAATGACGCTTTAATTGTTTAAATTAACTTTATATTTGTAGAATCTCGATTAAATTTCCTAAAAAATATTGTGTTTTGAAATTTTCAAAAAAAAAAAAAAAAGAGCTTAGTTGTTTGATGTTGATTTTTTTATTTGAAATTGATTATTTATGCTGTTATTGTTGTTTTCAAACAAAACCCGTAAAAATATTGTGTTTTTAATGTATTTTTTTTAGCTTTTCATTAATTGGTGAGTGGGTTTTAAAATTTGGATCTATATTACATCAATTAGTATGATTTCTATTCAATTCGATTTAAAGAATAGTAAATTTCAGTTTAATTTGTAATTTGCCATCCCAGGTTTCAAAATTTAGGGTTCTATTAGTATTAGTATTTATGAAAGTTATTTGATAATTCGAAATTTTTTTTTATGTTATTGTTTTGTGTTGATTGCCTTTTTATTTATAGGATATAATTGTATTCTTTAGAGTTTAATCGAACAATTATTGTTTTGTTTTTTCAGTTAGCTGGATTTTTCTAAAGAAAGCATGATGTTGCTCCCACTGGTGATGTCAGCAGCAGTGCTGATGGTTTCGATTGTGTCGATGTTGACTTTATTAAAGACAAAGTTGATGCACTGTTGAATGAGACACGTGGATTTTTTTTTCTTTTTTTCCGGTGAAGGATACCATTTCACATTTGTTGAGTTGGTTTTGTTTTTGAAAAGTTACTTTATTTGAGCATGATAATATACAACTTGGGTATTTTTATCATTATAAAAGTTATAATAGCAAATTTGTAATAATTTGAATGATTTTTTTACCAGAAAATTGCTTATGTTAAATAAATCAAAATATAGTGTTTTTTTAAATAAAATTAAAAAAATTAGCATATAAAATGTAATTTAGGAAAACATAGAATGTAAATTGTTATTGTGTTAAAAAAAAAAAAAAGAGGGTGTTTACAGTAATCTGAATTCGACGGGTGCGTGGCTTTTGCCAGGTAAGCTAGCAAGTCCTTTCAATTTGTCTGTACTTGGAAAGGGCAAATTCATAATTTGCCCATTGTTGATTTAATTTGATTTCTGGCGTCCCAGAAATCTCCCATCCGCCCCCTCGTTAGACCAAACTAATGTCTTTGGTTAGCATTAACAAAATTGCATGTAGGTATTGAAGACGTTGCATTTTTCAACTATTGCGAATTTATTTATTTAAAAACTCAACTCGTAATATCCAATTGAAAAGTGGCTTGTGGCTCAACTGCAAGTTGCGTATGGCCTATGGGGTCCTCCAACAGTCAATGCCTACCCAGAGGCACCGTGGAAACATGTTTTAAACTTTATTGGTGACAACAGTGGAAGATCTACCAGGCTGATGGGCCATGGAAGGAAAAAGGCTTCGTTTGATTTCTCTGTCTAACCCCTTGGATATTGCATCTTGAGAGGAAAGGGGAGAAAAAAAAAAAAAAAAAAAAAAAATTATTTTTCACTTGTTGTTTAGATAAGAGTAAAAATAAAAAAAAAATATTTTTTTATTTTGATAATTGTAAAAATATAGAAAAAAGAAAATATATTATTAAATATTTACTATGATACCCCTATGCTTATATTTCTATATTTAAATACTTATAATAAATTTGTATGAATATTTTTTTCATGAAAATAATACAGATGATAATAAAATAAAATTCTAGCATGTAACATCTATCTGAAATGATAAGATGGATAATAAATCGTCTACGTAGAATAATCGATAACTCGTTTATTAATTAATTAATTCAATAGCCAAAAAGAAAACCAATCAATACGAAAAAGAAAATAGAATGACAATCCGAAATAATTTTATCTCATAATTTCTTAGGTTAAATGGCACAAACACTTCTTAAAATAATATATATATATATATATATATATATATATATATATATATATTATACTTTGAGCTATAAAATATTTTGATTGACATTTGTTGTGTTATATTCCATTCAATTTAGCCATCAAACATTACATGTAACTGAGATATTTTTCTTAAAAAAATCATTAAAAGGAGTGATAGAAATTAATTTCTTAATGGTAATTTTATTATATCATAAATAATTTTTTTTATTATAGTATTAATAGAGGTAAAAATTTTAACCAAAAATCATTAAAAGGAGTACTAGGAATTAATTTCTTAATGGTAAACCCAACTCTTATCCAATTACTAAAATGCCCGCCAATAAGGGCAGCCATGGAATTGACGGGAAAAAACAAATCAGTAAAGAATGAGGTTTTGCTCTTAGAGAGATAGATGTGAATGGTTTCTTCATGGTGGTTGCCTCTCTCTCTCTCTGAATGTTTGCGAAGCCTATGATTTCACCATATGATAATCAATCAACGGCCCTGAGTTTGTGTATATGAATATATATATGTATGTATAGCTTCTTGAAGTTTCCTTTGGTAATTTCCATGCCTCTTCTTCTTCTTCTTCTTCTGCTCCTCCTTGTAGAGGCCGTGATGATAATTTTCCAGCAAAAATATGAGTCATTTTAAAGAAACCCTTCAATCATTTGGCAAGGCAAGTTAGGATTTCTCTGAGAAAATTACTGTTTTGTGACTTTACTCAAATATTCTTTTCTTGCAGCCGTGGTCTTTGTGTTTCTTTTTAATTGTCTGATAAGTGGTACGGATTTGAGCCTCTCTCTTACAAGCAGATCTAACTTGATTTTTGCAGATCTGTTATTAACGAGAAAGGATGCACGAGGAAGAGATGAGAGAGAGAGAGATAGTGTTTGCAGAGAAGGGAACGGCTAAGGCAAGGCAAAAACTGTGAAAAACAAAAAAAAAATTCATCCCTCCCGTTTTTCTCCTTGTTTCCTCTCAATTTTGGAAGGAAAATGGGTCCCATTATTTTTACATTGTTTTTTTTTTTCTTTCCTTTGGTTTCCTTTACAATCCAAACGGGGAAAAACTTTCATTTTCATCCCATTTTCTTTCCTCTCCTCTGCTTTCATTCTTATCTAAACAGGGGGTAAATGAAGACAATGAGCTATCAATAAACTCAAATTTATGAAGTTTCATTTGCTTAAATTTAATAGGTTAATTGTTTTCTATAAGCTTAATTATGTCTAAATTTATCTTTGAATATAATTATTTTTAATCTTTCTTTTTTATCATTCATGTTCATTTAAACCACAATGTGTCTTCATATAAAAACTTAATCCCATTTATTTTTTAAAAAAGACTAGCATTGCATTGTGTTATGAAATAATGAATGTACATCATCATGTTTATCCATTTTTCATATATTCACTACTCATAATTCTCAATATGATTCAATTCATCATTTAATGTGAGAAATTGAAAAGATGATGCAATTGATTATTCATAATTCCTTCCAATTCTCTCCTTAATTTTGAAGTCTATAAATAGGTTTCATTGTTCATTAGTTGGTGTACAAGTTTTCTATAGAGAATAAGAGAAACTTTAAAATCCTCATCACTTATATTCACATTATAGTAATTTCATTTTTTTGTTATCATTTTCTTCAATTCTTCTATTATTTCTATTTATTTTATAACACATTGTAATTTGTTCTTTTAATAAATCAAATTGGCTTCGATTTTTCATATAAAAGTATCTTCATTGCTTTATGTGAAAATATTTACTAAGATAATAGATAATAAATCGAGGGTAATTAGAATTATAAACTATATTAAAAACTCCAGTAAAAAATACGACGACGACATTTAATTGAGGGAAGGACAAAGGCTTCGTTTCATTTCTCTATCTAAATGGAGACAATGAGCTGTCAACAAACTCAAATTTATGAAGTTTCGTTTGCTTAACTTTAACAGGTTAATTGTTTTCTATAAGCTTAATTATGTCTAAATTTATCTTTGAATATAATTATTTTCAATCTTTCTTTTTATCATTTATGTTCATTTAAACTGACTACAATATGTCTTCATATAAAAACTCAATCCCATTTATTTTTTAAAAAAGAGTAGCATTCCATTGTATTATGAAATAATGAATGTCCATCATCATGTTTAATCACTTTTCATATCTCCATTACTCATAATTCTTAATATGATTCAATTCATCATTTAATATAAGAAATTAAAAGGATGATGCAATTGATTATTTATAATCTCTTTCAATTCTCTTTTCAATTTTGAAACCTATAAATAGACTTGATTGTTCATTAGTTGGTGTACAAGTTTCTTATATAGAATAAGAGAAACTTTAAAGTTTTTATCACTTATAATCAAGTTGTAGTGATTTCATTTTCTTGTTATCATTTTCTTCAATTCTCCTATTATTTCTATTTATTTTATAACACATTCTATTTTTTTTTTTAATAAATCAGTTTGACTTCGGTTTTTCATATAAAAGTATCTTCATCGCTTTATATGAAAATATTTACTAAAATGATAGATAATAAATTGAGGGTAATTAGAATTATAAACTATATTAAAAACTCCAGTAAAAAATACGACGACGAATTAAGCTAATTTTCTAAAATTAATTGAAAGTTGAGGGTAGAAAAAGTTCTGATTGTGCAACGTGTAGCTCACGGTCCGATCTTTTTCAGATCGTCGGTGGAACAAACAATTATGATTTTTGGCCGTTCACTATATCATCGAAACTGTCGTGATGAGCGGTGGAAAGGCCGTTGTAGCTTTTCAAATGGCAATTATAAAACCACATTAAAGCATAATTTATTTGTTAAAATTAATGGGGTGATTCTTAGTATTTCCTTTGTAATTGGCCATTCGTAGAGAATTTCTAACCACTGCAAGACGAACTTCTTATAGTTCCTTGGGCTCGATATATGAAAATAAACTATCATAAAAATCAAATTTTATTGTCATTTTTTTAATTTCATTTTTGTTAGGAGAATCTGTATACTTGAGATCAAGTTCTTTTTATTTTATTTTTATCGTGTTTATTTAAATCCAGTAAATTTTACAACAATTAACTCCTTAGTATTTTAATTTTTCACTAGATTTAAATTATTAAATTCAAAACTCTGATGATATTTAAAATATAATAAGTTATTTTCCTAGATATGCGAGAGATTTCAATCTTTTTTTTTTAATGATGAAAAAAAATCCATTAGCTTATCCTTTACCATGTTTCACAACACTCCGATGCATATGGACTCCAATTAGCATGCCCATACAAAAAATATGTAAACACCAAATGTATTCCAAAAAAAAATAAAAATAGTTAATTCTTACCATCGACAAACCATACTTTAGCTCTAATTGACACATAAATTATTCATATAAATAAAATCTAATGGCTATTACCCTTCCTCACATGCATACACCACTTCTATAAATCAAATCATTTATTAAGATCAAATGCTGTTACCAATTTAATTAACTTACAGATCAAAAGACCCACAAAAGGCTAACAAATAATCCCACTATCCATGTTCAAGCATTAAAATATATCCCAATATCTACTTCTACCGTTAATACTATTTTCTAATATACTCAAAAAAAAAAAAAAAAATCTTCCGAAATATTCACGTAAGTCCTCTTCCCGTGCCTTGAACGTAAATCCGAAACAGCAAATAAAATAAAATCTTGAAATTTAATTGAATGGGAAAATGGATTTGTTTTTCATGCTCGAACATAGGAAAGATCGCTGCAAAATTACAATATCATTTTCACGTGAATCTACCGATTCAATTTCTTTTAGACAATCAGGGAGAGATTTAACAAATTCAACATCAATAAATAAGCTGGTAGAGGATATCTTTGCTTGATTGTCAAGGAGAAAAAAAAAAAGGAAAGGAAAGAAATAAAAACAATGATGATAAATTAATAAGAAACACGGAGGCGTAAAGCCATATAATTATATACACATCATGACCCACCACTGAAAAAAGACTTGCTTCCACATTGGCATAATCGTACTTGAAGCGTATATTAAATTTTTTAGTACTCGTATTCATAAAGTTTGATCAATTAAGTGCCTTTTTTAGTTTATTATCAAAATATTGATGTGGCGATTAACTCTCATGAGATGACCCTAGTTTGACATTGTTTTAATATTTTCTATTGTGTTTAATGAATTACTTGTTTTTTTTTGTGATTTTTTTTCTATTCAAGTATTTGTATTAATTTTTTTTAATTTGAATATTTATACTTACAAAATTTGATCAATAAAGTATTTTCATAAGTTTTTGCTACAAATCAACTCACTTATAAGTTATTTTCAATGCAAGTGGATCCATATGCCTAAAACAATAATGATTTTGCTATTTTTTAACATTTTTTTGGGTTTCCACCAAGAAATTAAAAAAAAAACTAGTTAATTTGGCTAGTTTATGTTTTATTTTACTTGTTAGTTAGGATTTATTTTTAGACCGTGATAGAAGCTTAAAAAACTCTATCTAATGAGAAACATAAATATAAATTCACCTAATTAATTAATTTTATTGTTTTCCTTTTTTATTTTTTTTCATTTTTTTTAAATCAGTACATGCACTCGAGTAGAAAAAAATGATAAATGACTTTATCTATCCTTATACAATTTTACAAGTCTCCAATATTGTTCATACTTTTCTAATTATATTTATTACATCATCGTATAATATTTAATTCTTCAATATTTCATTATGTTGTTAAGTTTTTTCATTCAAATTGATAGAATTATATTTTTCATTCAAAAAATGCCACTGAGTTATATAAGGATATATAATAGAAAAATTGTTCGAAATTGCTCAAAATATTTTAACAAGTAATAATTTTTTTCAGAATTGCTCAACAATTAAAATTTTAAGAAATGATTTTTTTTAAAAAAAATCAAAACTATATTTTTGTATAGTTTAAGGAACAATGATATTTTTGAATAATAAAAACATAATTATGTCAATTTGGATGAAGAAAATTAGACAAAATGACATATTAAGAAATTAAATATTATACAAAAATATAATAGATACAATATTTTTAAGACAAAAAATTCAATCTATTATTATACAATTGAACATAAAATTATTTCATATGTCATTTATATATGTCAATTTCCAACATATGATCTACTTGGAAAAAAGATAAACATCAGATCAATATATTTGTAACATAAACTAATAGAAATACTTGTTGATCGAATATTAATTAAATTTCGTAAATAAAATACTTAAATTAAAAAAAAATCAATATAGTACTCAAATAGAAGAAAATGAAAAGTACAGGTACTTTAAATGACATTGTCGGTTCTACAATTCCACCCACCGCTTAGACCCTGCTTTAGCCTGAATTATCACGACCACAGACGGACGCAAACCGAGACAGAGATGAGAGAGAGATCCCCTGAAATCTAAAATTCCTCTTAAAAAGCCCGGAAAATTTTCTCCTCTCTATTTTTCCTCATCACCCAACTCCCGCCATTTTGTCTACACCATCTGATACCCCGATCTCCTCTTTAATTATTTCTCTTTTTTTGCTTTAACACTTAACGCACCAAAATATATATATACGTATATCGAATTCCCCTGTTTCCAAGATCCTCCTTTCTTTGCTTAAATTTCACTCCAATTTTACCAAAATCTTTATGTTTTTTACAGATAAAAAAACCCATTTCTCGGAATTTATTTAAAAGAATCCCTCTGATTTGTAGCTCAATATTTTTTTTTCAAACATGGACGATTTTGGTTTATTAACTGAACGTTTTGGGTTAAAACCGCAAGGAAAATCGGCTCCAATGGCCGAATCGAGAGGACCCAATAGCACCCAATCCAGAAATTTCCCCTCTTCAAGCCCGAAACCCTCCTCATATTCTTCTAAATCAACCTACAACTCCGATTCATATAATGGGTCTTTCATGGATGATCACGAAACTCTCTTTAGCAATTCGAAACCCCAGAACTTTGGTGATGATTTTGACATTTTTGGTGGTTTTCAAAAGAATTCAAAACAGACAAGTACTGGGGCTGGCTTCGATTTTGATTCTGTGTTTTCAAGTACTAAAAATGTGAGTGCGAAATCCTCGTTTGATGATGATATATTTGGTGGGCTAAATGGGTCTAGATCATCAGTTAATAATAATAACAACGAGGACGGTATTTTTGGGGCGTTTACTTCTTCTTCAAAGGCCGCAAAGCAAAGTGCACCAGCTGATGACTTGTTGGGGGGTTTTGGCACAAAATTGAAGCCTCCGAGCCGGAATGGATCTGTTGGTTTTGATGATTTGATACCTGGGTTTGGTGCTAGCAACTCATCAAGGTAAGAGTATGTGTTTCTTTTTTGGGAAATTCGATTCATTGATTACTTGCTTAATTGTTTTGTTAACTAAATGCGATTGCTTTAGTTTATTTATTTACTACTATTGATTTCTTTATCTAGGAAATTATTTACTTACTGTAATAAGTCTTGTGTTTTATGTATGAATAATTGTGGGCATGATATCATTGAAATAGATAGCGAATTCGAGCACATTTTACTTTTAAACCTTCTGTGAGCATCTACTTCATCTCTGTACTTTTCTATGTTCAGTTCAATGTTCCTTCACATCACTTTAGTTATTTTACTTGTCGCACATTCTCAAGAAAGCAATGAGATGATAGTTTAATGGCTTAAAAGTTGACACAGGATGTTATGCTTCGAAGTATTCTTGTAATTGATTATTAGATTTCTTGTTTTGTATGGATTTAGTTTATTTTTTTGAAGGCTTTTAGTGATATACAAGTCTGTTTATTATCTATTTATTGGACCTATTTAGTGTTACCTCATTTTCTGTATGATGTAATGGCATGGCCATGAACGGGTAAGATTGATGCTTTATTCTTGTCATCATATTTTTGGTGCAGAGAAAACATACAGACAGCTACACCAGCATTTAACTTGTCAGAGGACCCTTTTGTAGTACTCGAACAAACTTCAACCACAACAAAATTGTTCACAGACCCACTGGAGGAACTCAGTAAGTTTAATCATTCTGGAAGAACAGAACCTGCTGTTTCATCAAGTCGTTCACCACCATTGAGACCCCCTCCAAAACCAGGACAAGTTTTGAAGACAGGTGAAGATCAGTTTGCTTCCTTAAGTTGAAACAATAGGTCAACTTGAATTCTTTATGTATTTGTTCTCTTCATAACCTTAATAGTGTTATGGTGCTCCATGGTGCAGGAAAAAGTTCGGATGTTTCTGCCATAGATGAGCTGGAAGACTTTGCCATGGGTAGGATGCAAAACATTGCTCGTGGTGGGTCTAATGGTCGTCATGCTAGGGAAGTACAGGGGAGTGCAGATGATCTAGAATCATTTTTTGGCAGGTCTCGGTCCAGCAGTGTACCAAAGTCAAGGTCTGAAGTTCCGGTAAGAACTACTGATATCAGAGTAAGTGGTTTTTGTAACACCAGTAGCTTGTTTTTATTCGATTATGAATGCCTTGGTAGGACCCTCTATTTGATGCAAAGATAAGTGGAAAAGGAAAGCCTGAATTCCCCCTTAAAAAGTCTTCCAGTCCCTCACCTGGCATAAGGAAGGCTTCTTCTGCAACAAATGTAATTGGTGACCTTTCATCAATTTTTGGAGGTAATTTTTTATTGAAATTAGATTTCATAGGTAGCAGTGGAAATGATCTTTTGGTGCATTGTTTTTTTAATATTTGACGTCTTTTCTCTCCAAAGATGCCACATTATCCAGAGAATTTGAGGAAGTTGATGGGGAAAGTGAAGAAAGAAGGAAAGCCAGATGGGATCGTCACCAGAGGACCTGGGATCGTATGGTCTGTTATACTTCATGTCGTTTCTCCACTCTTTGTTTCTCAAGCATGACTAGAGTTATGATATTGACTGGATGAATTTATTCTTTTCTCTTGGATTCTATTAATGTTCATGTTTGTTTATATAGAGGGTGACAAGAAATCAGTGGATGTATGAAATAGTAACAGAAAAGGAATATAAAGGTGCAAAAAATTTTCCTCATATGGAATTAATATGTACGATCTCTTGTACCTGATGAATTAGTGGCTATAATCATAAATTAGTGACCTTCTTCATCTTGTACAAAATTCCTTCTAGTACCAGTTGAAAGAAGTGATTTGTCCCTCACTGGTTCTCGTCAGTATTTCATTCTAACCTACTTCATCTTGTATGACTTCTGAACTTGACCTTTCTTAGTAAGAGCAGAATACGAATGATCATTTTCCATTGTGTCTTAGATGACGATTTCTACAATTTTGGATTGTTGTTTATGCAGGAACAAGCAGTTGCTGATATGAACCAGCGTGACCTTCAAACTTTGCACGAGCAAGAGGAGAGGCGTGTAAGTAACTTAAGAGTTGCCCTAAACTTGCAATGCATCTAGTGGGATCTTTGTGTACTGGTCCTCAATTTATTGGTTTGTGTGCACCATATGTGCAATGCATGAATGCTTGCGCTGCTTCTTTTGGGGTCAAAGATGAGCTGTATGTAACTTACTCTGTATGCTAATGTGTATGTACATATGGTATGTGCATAGATAAGCATATCTATTCATTTCTTTGTTGCTCTCGCTTTGTGGGGCTGGTATTAACAAGTCTGATAGCTGGTTACTCACACTTGTTACATCTTCTAAGAGTTAATTTTTTCTTTGCAATGTAACCTCTTAGTTTGAGTAATATTTGATCTTAATTTGCAGAGGATCGCTGACAAAATGGATGTTCAGATAAAGCGTTGGGTTGCAGGGAAGGAAGGCAATATGCGTGCACTTCTATCATCATTGCAGCATGTGAGTTTTTTTTAATAGCTCTTTTAATGTGTAAGTTTCTTTTGTATTACTTTAGCTCTTTAGTAAGCAAGAAAGTATCACATCTATTTTCTTAGATTTGCTAGTTTTTATATCTGAATTGCTGGTTTGTCTTCCAAATTGAATAGAATTAAAACATAGGTCATGACACAGTTGTTTTCAGACCAAATTGTGGTCTTGCATCTTAGACGTGAGAATTTCGAATCAGTCTTTGAAGAGAGCTTCTGGATTGATGATCACAGCTGCTCTTTCTGGCTCTGAATGAATAATATGAAGCATTAATTTGTTGATCTGCTCGATTAAAATAGTCTTCTTCCTTGCTAGAACTTTTCATTTGTTCTGCTTCTGGAAGTGTTTGGTTATCTGTGTTTATGATGGTGAAGTTAAAAGTGTTTAGTTTTGATGTGATGATAGTGCACCCACACTCCGTCTTGGCTGTTTTTGCCAAAACTTTCTAGGCACTGTTGTAATAATGTAAAGCCCTAGTTTTTTCACCACCAACCATGCTATCAAGAAAAGATTTTGAGGGTCACTGGCAGCATCATTGGACTCATTTAAGTGTAGTTGAGTGTTTGTTGTGCTTTTCGTTTAATAGGTTGCTTGAAGTGCTGGGTTGCAGTTCAAATGAAAGTGAAGTGTCATGCTCATGTTTTGAAGCTATTATTGAATGTTCCAGAATTTTTTTTTGCTTGGTGTAATTAAGCATAAATGTATTACCAACATATTTCCTTTATATGTGGAAATGATAAGCAGGTGCTTTGGCCTGAGTGTGAATGGGAACCAGTTTCACTGACAGATTTGATCACCTCTGCCTCAGTAAAAAAAGTCTATAGGAAGGCAACATTATATGTCCATCCCGACAAAGTTCAACAGAAAGGTGCTACTATTCAACAAAAATATACCGCCGAGAAGGTTTTTGATATCCTCAAGGTACAGTATGAATTTCCTAGAGTCAAAGTTAGGTACCTATATTGTTGGGTAGTGGATTCTTTTCTTATATATTTTTCAATTGTGGTTCAAAAGCTACGTCTACCTTTAAGTTCTCTTTGTACTTTGTTTCTCATCTGCGGGTGTCTTTTGTTTTTTATTAAACAGGAAGCTTGGAACAAGTTCAGTAAGGAGGAACTCTCTTAAATGCCTTTGATTATTCATCCTCTGAATATTTTGGGACACACCATTTGGCTGTTATACGACTTCCATTTTGAGGTAGATGATGCTCGTGCCATGCTGTGCCGTTCTACACCTTTTAGGTGCAATACCTCCATTACGACATGAATCTCGAGGCTTGTTGCCGAGAGATGCTTATTGAAGATCGCTTCTGTTGTGTATGGTGGTGTAAATTAACACTTCTTCTAGAAACATCAGGTTTTACAACATTTATAGAAGCCTTTCCTGGGAAAAGTTTCAACTACCATTTGCCAATTGCATTGATGGTGAGAATTTCTATTCGCTCTCATTTTTTATTCTTTGTCGCTGTTGGTATTTGAGTTAAGGGGAAGGAGTGGAGATTTTCTTTGTTGTAATAGTGATATTCCATGAGCCTGTGAATTTAATCCGTTGAACAATCAGAAAAAAGGTGTGGTTGTGTTGCTGTGCATTTTGCAGGTGCAACTGATTAATGATTCTTGAGTTTCAAAATCTGATATTTCAGCATTAGAACATGACAGCATTTTTTCTTTTTCGGTTTTGTTTGTTTTTTGAGCACAAGTATTGTTTCTTGATGCACCACCCACTTGGTTTATTTGGTGGGATGTGATGGAACTGTGTCAGTGATAGATTTGTTGAGGTTGCTTGCAGCGGTACTGGTACGCATAGAATTTCATCCTATCACAGTGTGCAGTTTCACATGTATCATGTCACCAAAACTGAAATTTGAAGTTTTAAAGAGATTATGCTACCTTTAAAAAAATATATATATATTTGGCCATTTGCCAATCTAACTTTTATGAAGTAGTGCAAAAACTGGTTATGAATGCTTATAAAGGCGAGGCTTCTTTTAGCACATTTCAATTTGACTCTCTAAGAAAGAAAAGTGAAAAAAATATTCTTTTTTTTTTTCGAACAATCGATTTTTTTCCCCACAATGAGTCAAAATTACAAACGTTGAGGTAACGGGGACTCAATGTATTATTCGTGTTAGCGTGATATTTTTCTTCATCTAACGTCAATGTGTTACCCAGCATCATAAAATTTTGTTTGCTGAAAATTGGGGGCAAAGTATGCAGTTTAAGGGTTTGGACTTTGGATAACGCATTTTCTGTATCATCCTACAGTCTTAATGCTTTGCGTTTTCGAACAACGTTGAAATCGAAGAGGGTAGTTTTGAAAGTAGTTGATTCCACGAGCGGTGAAGAGTGGCAGTAAAGATTTTCTGAAGATCAATGCATAAATATATGAAAGATTTTCTGAAGATCAACCTATGGATACATGAAAAAAAAATAATCACACATGAACGCGTTTTACTAGAGCTTTTAATTTTGTATATGCCTAACACTAATATATGCAATCATTCCCATAACGTACCTCGCCCCGCCCCGCGCCACCCCACCCCCCTTCCCCCCACCCACCCCCACACCACGCAGGGATGTATCATCTTACTTAGTACACACGTTCGTTGAATTTCAGTGTAATAACGAAAACTGATGACCAATTAGCATATGACACATGGCTGGGGATCATATTGGTCTCGATGACGTGGTCTTAATTTTGAACCGACACAATTAAAAATAGGGATTAAATTGAAGTTATAAGAGAATTCAGGGAGGAAAGCAGAATATTATTCGTTAATTGTTGGATCTAATTGAACTTTGCGAGGAGTTTTTAAATTATTTAATCCTTTTCCTTACTTCGCTTCAGAATTGTATCGTCGCATTCTTGCACTCTGTAAGTGCAGATTCACCGTATGTCAAACTTTTTCCAAGCCAAACAGAAAAAGTTAGACATCAAAGAAACTAGCAATTGAGATCACTGCCAAAAAGAGTGAGAACTATATTGGTGTTAATATCGGCAACAAGTATTTCATAACTACCCTGCAAAATTCAAATGACCCCGAAAGTGGGATCAAGCGGTTAAAAAAATAAACGGCAAGAACAATAGGCAGAACATTATCGTTGCTTGGCGGTGTCTCAATGTTTGTCGCAGCATCGGCTATGCCAACCACGGTACTATAAACCAGAAGGTAAACATCCATGCACTAATATTTCCGATTCTTATATTTATTAGATCTATTTCTTTATATGTGGCGTTAGATTCTAAATTAAATACTTAATGTGGCTATTTATATAATTCTAAAATAAAAATTGGGATGACCATAAGGTGTGACTAAATCATTTAATTAGCACGTATTGTAACAAAGAAAATAATACTCAGTTTATAAATTAGTACATTTAATTGATTTGGGATTTTTTTTTTCATATTCTAATAAGAATTTTCTTTTCTTTTTGTTCAAATGAAGGTAATCCAAAAGATGGACCTTTATGAGATGTTACAACTATATATGTGGGGTAGTCATTGCCTTCTCTATGGTCTTTGTACCTTCTGACTATTGTTGCTGCTGTCGGTATCGAAGGACTAGTGACGAAGCTTGAAAAGAGAACGAAGGCTTGCTGATCACGACTTGGAGGGTGGAGTTGCGAGAAGCCGCCGAGAAAGCTTTTCCAGGAAAAGATTTCAGTTAGCACAATTTGGAGAAGCTGACAAAGGAGGTGTTGGGAGTTGACTTTGTCAAGCCTAGGAGGATCACTTGGTATGATCCTGTTACTCACGACAATCCATATGGTGGGGATATGGTCATATGGGCAACAGCTGAAGCTTGTCTTGCATATGAGATGGGATCAAATTAAACTGTTGCGAGATTGTCATAACTAATTATTAATTGGTGATGATCTTCCCTGGTTTATGTGGAGGGTTTTAGGGATGCGATTGGATATTTATGGTTTTATTGATTTTAGGTGCTTCATGATTACGCACCCAAGAATGTTACATTTGTGCGTTTTCCTACTTGAGTGGAATGCATTCAATCTTAAATTTACTAAAACTATTGCTACAGCTTGTTGAAGATTCACATTTGTTACTGTTGGCCTTTGGTAAGAATATTTCAAATCAAACTCTTTCTTTCCTTTTCAAATCATTTGCATAAAATCATATTGCAATTGTAACCATTGAACATCCGAATTTATGTTGAAGATAACATCAAATACTAACGAAAAATGAAATGATCACACGTATACCGGAGTACAGGAAAACATGGAGAAGGCAAATCTGTCCCATCTATCACTTCCAACAGATTAGAGGTACCGATTGCCAGTAAGATTAAGGGCCTGCAAATGATACGGACAATTAATCATTTTAGCCGATGGGCCGTAATTGATGGGTTTTATATCCTATCGTTGATTGAACTATGGATTTTTAGGCCTGCTTGATGAGTGGAATAGTAAACAACATCGAATCATTGGACCCATGGAAACAAATGAAGGCCTTAAGTGGACTTGGTTACCGCTACGGCCGGTAGGAAGGACAACCTCACCTATTACTTCTGTTCAAAGGATTATTCAGTCAAGCATATCCAGTCTAAACCCAAAAGAAAGCCTTTCATCCTATCTCATAAGCTAAAAATAAGAAAGATTTTGAACTTGAAACAATCTACTACAGTCCCCTTTACTTCCGGCTTCCACAAGTTCTTGAATTTCAAAATTGCAATATACAAATGGCAAATTTGCATTTTGACAGCAAGATCTTCACAGGGTATCTCCAACATGGTTAATAGATGAAAAAGCAAAATTGATTAGAGGCTCAGCTCAACAACTCATCATTGTTTCTTGAACCCAACCCTCAACTTTAATTTGTCAAAATTTGCACAAAAAATTCTTTGGCAAACCCAAAACAACATACATGCTCCTTCTGTATCGCTAATTGCCTTACCACTTGGTTACACCACAAACGTCAGTTTAAGCATTTTGGTCATCGATAAATTCATTGAATGATAAATAGATTCAACTGAATCCTCCAATTAGCTCTTGCTTAATTACTTTGCTCTCTTTGACTTCAAGAATAAACAAAATAAATTAAAATAAGTTAATAATAATGCTCCACTAATTCATCTTATTTAGCAATAAATCATTATATAGTCCAACTCCAATTCCCACCACGTCTTGGAGAAAAAGAATCTTGAAATCTCCTCAGTCCTTGGAGAAGATTTGGAGAATCTTCTCCAATTCTCTCCAGTACTGGGAAGTAATTATGATAAAAAAGAACTGGAAGGAGTGCTTTTGTATGTCTTATTAACGAAGCAGGGAAAGCAAAATCACAGGAAATGGTGACACCAACCCACTAAAAGCACACCAACTTAGACCTTAAGAAAAGATTAGTACAAAAATCTATGCCGGCAGAAGATCAGACCCCACCACACAGGAGGGACAATCCAGCGGTGGCGGCCGCCTTGCCCACCACCTTTAGCAACTTTAAATGTACATGAAGAATACTTGTAACATGCACCATCATTGAAGTCTAAAGTTTGTATATGTGACCTCTAGAGATCCCATTTGATAAGGATATGACTTTAAAATATTAGAGATTTTATGATTTTTTACTCCTTTGCATGATTTCATTTCATGGTAAATGCGACAAATAATGAATAAACATGGTTGATCAAAGTAGTCAATAGCGACTTGTGCAGATGTTCTGCTTTTAATTTTCAAATGCTGAATTGGATTCACAAGAGTGTTTGCGCACAATGGTTCTCACATGCTATTCTATATGTAAGAAAAATCTTCAAGACCTAGCTAAGGGAGTAATATCTTTAAAAATTCTACAGAACAATACAGAAAAATCTCAATTCCCATTGCTTTTTCTTTCTTTCCCTTATTATTATTATTATCATTTGCTTATCTGTTTCCATCCCACTACCACATGCACTTTTTAGATTTTCTTTCATAGCCTACATATCTCACAGTGCAATTTTAGGAAACCGTTGCTTTCATGAAAGGAAGGACCAATTTAATTCCACATGATTGCCTTTGCTTTTCCTCTTCACCATGACCTTTGTGTCTATACAGGGTTCTTCACCAACATCCATTTTTCGTTTTGACGGTAAGAAATGGAAATCAGAATGGGAATGGAAAGATAGGAGAAGGGTGGCCTTAGGCTTAAGGTGTTTGGGCCAAAAAGTTGAACCTTTACTGTTGCTATAGTTCAAACAAAAGACCCACATTTAATATTTTGGTCTCCCATGAAAAGGTAACAAATCTTCTACTTAATGCTGTCACAAGTTGACTGATCTGCCCACCATTTGATCACTTGCACTTGTTCTCATGATGTACAACTTTCTGACAGATGGGATATGATCGGCCATGGTTCAACGGCATGAGCTGGATGGTCATAATTGTTTAATTTTTTCTCTTTTTGTCACTATTGACTGGAACTGGTTGCACTTTCAATGGTCCGAATGAAGATGCCCATACATGCCTGATTACAAGCAGGACAAATGAAAAGTAAAAATAAAAATACCATTTCCTATCTTGAGCTGTCCTTCCTCATTTGAACAGCTGGAATAGTAATCAAAATTATCATAAAAAAACTTGTAACATGGTAATAATAGCATCTTACAGCAAGAGATTAAATCTTAACAGAATTACTAATAAATTAAAAAACATAAGGTTTTTGAACAGTAATAATACTGTTCACCCCTCATAATGTACTATTCATTTTTTTTTTAATAATTTTGTTTTGGTTCTTCAAATTTTAATCCTCAATTTATGCACTACATGTCTTTTTTTTTTTGCTTTTTTTTATCATTTTATGTTCTCTTTTTATTTTTTAATTGGGTGTTACACTTATAATGTACTATTCATTCTTAGGTATTTTTTTTTGTAAATTTTAAATTATTTCATTTTGATCCCTAAAATTTTCAAATTAAAATTTTAATCCCTAGTTCATGCACTACATGCCTTTTCTTTTTTTTTTCTTTTGTTTTTTTCCTTTGCTTTTTTTTTCATCTATTTATATTCTTTTTTTATTTAATTAGGTGTTAAAATTTTTAAATATTAATCGCTACGTTTTTCTACACACACACACACACATATATATATTATCTTTATATTTTTTAAAATTAACATTTATTTCAGCTTATATTACTTTTATTATTTAAATTTCATTCTTTAAATTTATTTTTTATAAAAATTCTCATCCAATTAATATTTTTATATATAATTGCATTTATTGATAAATATAATTTATTTTACTCTATATTTGAATTTTAGAATAAAATCTTAAAACATGATTTTTTTTCTTTTTTAAAAAATAAATTGATATAATATATATCATGAATTCTTAGAATTTTTAAAAATTTTATGAAAACACAAAAAATAGTAATAATTGAAAAATGATTTTGTTTTATCTACCTATAGCGTTGCTTGGATAATTTCAAAAATTAATCTTCTCATCGGCGTTAAATTTTTTTTTTCATTTGTTACTTTTTATAAAAGTCTATCCATTAATTATAATTTTATTTTTTGTGATACAATATTATGAAAAGTATATTTTTAATTTTTTTAATTCTCGATTAATATTTTAGTTAAAATCAATTCATAAAGAATAATGATTTATGTTTTTTTAAAGAAAAAAATTTATAAAAAACATTAGAAAAAATTAATTGAATAAAAATTATAATTAAAAAATTTTAAAATTTTAATATGATTTTGTTCTACTAGACCCGCAACGTAGCACGGGCAACTCGCTAGTAATTTACTAAAAGCCTTGAATGTATGAATTTTTTTTTAAAAAAAAACAAATCAAAATTGGACTAACAAGTAATTACTGGGAACTTACTGAAACAATGAAAAAGGAATGGGTTAACAATTGGATTTTTGTACTGAAATATTTATTTAATATAGATCCTTTGTTAATGAAATTTCTGACGATATTAAATAAATTAAATAATCAAGCAATACATGTTTTTTTTTACACCTTATTAGTTATTTTTTTAATATCTTTTTTATTGTAGAAAGTATTTATTGAATTTAGTTAAGTTCATTTCAATCTGCCCTCTTGTAATTTCAGTAAATACCTTTTGCAATAAAAAAAATAGTAGTGAATCTTTAATTTGTTTATGTAATTAAAAAAGAAATAAAAAGAAAAAAATATGTGTAATTTGTTTATGTAATTTACTTAATACCATCAACTATGTTACTAACGATGGTTTTGATTCAATCTAATAACCCAATTAATATTTACATTGGTAGAAAAACCTGATAAACCGTACAAATCCTTAGCCCAAAAAGGAACTGAATTAGTAGCAAATTAGAACCGACATCATTGGGGGAATCCTTGGCAGAAATTCTTTCAATTTGCATTGAACAACAGAGAGTTACAGAGGTGGGATAGGTAATTAGGCACACATGTTTACAATCCACTTACATTACAGCCATGGTCCCGTCTTTTGTTTTTAAACTGCTAAAAACAACGAGAAAACTACATTGAAATAAGATGATCAATTAGCATGATCTCCTTCAGGCATGATATGAACATGAACAACGACTAAAATCCTAAAGTAGGTTGGCTGCTGCTCTTTTTTGTGATATGTTCATCAGTTGAGATACCAATGAAATTCTAATGATCTAATAACTGGTCTGGAAGGGTTTGATAGTCTTGACATCACCCATAACTCCTGCAATAGAGCCAGCAGCAGCAGCTATAGTAATAATCAGGCAAGCAACACTTAGGATTTGGAGGCAAAGCCATCTCGTGCTCCATTTTGGTATCTTCTTTTGCGAAATATACATCTCAACTGGGAAGTAAACTGTCAATGGCCAAAATCCCAAAGCTCCAAGGAGACCAACTATGTCGTTAAAGAAAGGAAGGAGCATTGAAATAACAGTGGTAAGAACCACAAAAAGTGTCCTCCAAACCATTCTGAAGAGGTTGAGATTGAATGAGCAGAGACCAGGAATTGAGATTTTGACATCTTTGGTAACGAATTCACTATCTGGGAATCTTCGGGCTGCCTCTTTTTCAACAAAGGCAAAGAGGGGTTGGCAGTAAACTTGGTATGCACCTATAAGGTGGATTACGATGGCAACATTTGCAATGTCAAGTAGCCAATACGGGTTGTAAAATCCGAATCCAGTGAGGAGGTTGCCAGGGGCTAGGTCTCCAAAAGCAGCATATCCAAAGCAACCACAGAACATGTAGAACAGGGTTGTGACTGCAACGCTTATTAGAGTTGCTTTCTTCATCGTCTTGGCTTCTGTAGGTGGGGCTTTAACGGTGTCCTTTCATGAAATACACCGAACAATTAATCAGTTTAACAAGCAGATCACCAAACAAACGTGAGAATGTATATTTAGCTCATATGCTATAGGGGGGTGTAATGTAATATACCTGAATTTCAACGAGGATCATGGAGTAAGAATAGGCAAAAGCAATGTCGCCAAGTGCTTGAAAACTCCTCCATATCTTTTGGGTTTGTGTCACCGTACCTATGCTTATTCCAGTTAGGCTTCCCCTGACTTTTTTATTTTCTATAACTTTACCAATGCCAAGTCCTAGACCAATTGTTGAATAAGTGAAGGACATGACTGCAGCGACAAGGGAGAGCCAGTGTAACTGGTCAAATCCAGGAATCTGAGACAAAAGGATCTCAGCAATGCCAAACCCTATCATATATGGACTCGCATTCATGCGGCATGGATCTTTTCCATCACTCTGGTGGAAACAGTTAGCCCTCTTTATTGCCCTGTAGTCAAAAGACAAGGACCAATTAGCCCAATAACAACAAGAAGAAAGCAAAGTTAATTACAATTTCTTGGTAAAACTAAAACTTACATCATGCTTATGGAAGATGCAATTGTGTAGCCAATGGCAACACCAAAAAGGTTCACATACTGAATAAATCCACATATTTTGACCTTTACACCACCTGTGAAAATTAAAAATTACCGTGTAAAAAGATTAGAATGATTAAAATTAAAAAGGGTCATGCTAATTTAATTAACAATATATGTTGGCAAATTTACCAAGGTTGGCACGAACAGCATCCATGTAAGTGTAGTTCCTCTTGCCATTGACAGGATCGCCAGAGCGGTAGCAGGCAGAGAGCAGAATCGAAGTATAGTAAGTGACAAAAGAGAACAAGAGCATCACAGTGGGTCCAGCAATCCATCCAAGCTGACCTATAGCCCAAGCCAAGGAAAGAACCCCGGATCCAATAACAGCTGTTATAATGTGAGCACTTGCAGTCCACGCGGTTCCTGTTTAAAGAAACAACATATGAAAGAATCATCAGAATAGAAAAGACAGACCGAAGTAATGAATGGCCTTTTTTTTATATGTAGTTATCCAGGAAATAAAGAGAAGTGAAGCTTACCAGTTCGTTTGGGACGGCCATCATCATCAAACCACTTGGAGCCACTTTGTGGATTTGTGTCAATTGAGACACTGAAAGGCTGGGGAGGGAGATGGTTCTTTGTGGCTGTATTCTCACCCATCTTTGTTAACAAAAGATACCAATTATATGAGCTATGTTATAAATAAAAAACCTCTAAAATGTCTTAAACTATATGAAAGCCTGTTCACTCGATACAGTAATATCAAAACATGTGGAAATGAAGCAGAAGTGGAGTTGAAAGAAAGCGATGGGGCTCCTTCTTTGACAGATCCAAGTCTAGTTATTAGTACGGATTTAAGTCTGAAAGAAAACTTAAGTAACAGCTGACACACGGACACAATCACACACCTCCCAAGAATCACAAAAACCCAAGTGGATTTAGTGCCTAGTTTTTATCGGTGCTACAAGAGGGAGAGACAAGGAGAGTGTGCTTATGTATCAGATGCACTGCTCTTATTAGCTAGAGAAAAGAGTGAATTAAATTCAGAGATACGTTGGAAGGCAAGGGATGGTGTGGTATTTATAAGAGGTGTGATGAGGCTGCAGCCCAGCAGAAATACATAAAAATATTGCAGAGGCACGTGGTTTTAAAGTCTTCTTATCCCATCATCACCAGCACTTTGACTCAAAAACCATTTCAAGCTATGCATGCTTTTTCTTGGCCTACTTGTAAATTATCAGGGTACCAGATTTTCATTTTTTTTTTACTTCGAATCAGCCTGAATTCTTAGTGTTAATAATTAATCACTGTTTTTTTTTATATTTTTTATTCTGGTCTTGATTAATCAAGTTCTTTCACTATAGTTAAGTTAAATAAAGGCAGTTAAAGCCGTTATGCAATGAAAACATTCTTTAACCCCTTCGGAAGCAATGCTAATCACCTCCTCTTATTGGGGGCTTTGAGTGCGAAATTAATTAACCTTTTAGCTTTTGTCTATGCTACGCATGAGTTGAGGTTTTTTTTCCTCGTCTCTTTTGTTATTTACAAGGATTTTCCTTGTATTTTTGTAGGAAGAATATTTTGTTGCAAAACTGCAATCAAAACTACCAATAGATTTAGTGTACTAATTTTGTCTTTAAAAGTGAGATTCTCTAGTCACCCCTGCCACTGGACATGGCTTTAGATTGGTGCAAATATATATATATATATATATATAAATAGTGTACTTTTTTCTCTCCTTTCACTTTCAATTATCTTTTACGCTTCTTTCAATTTTATCTTTGTCGCGTGGAAAGAAAACGATGTTATTTTCACTCTAAGCAATCACTGGGAGAAAATATATATATTTGTTTTTTTTTTTTTTTTTTTTGTCCATTAGAAAATATTGGTTCAAAACAGTCTCTTGAGTTAGTGAAATTTTTTTCTCTTTGTGACATGAGTTTAATATATTCTAAATAAACAAAAGGATATAATTACATAGACACATAGGATTCCACTGAGACTTCTCTAACCAGTAACGACTATAAGTAGATGGTAATCCTCTACCCCCATAGAAAAAATGAAGGTAGTCTTTTCTGCTTTTACTTACTTTAACTGTGATTGTATATCTATTTTTTTTTAATTTTATTTTTATCTAGTTTACAAGGACCTTATTGCAAAAAAAAAATAGTAATAATAATGATGATAATATTAGCTGATTAATACTTACTCCTTTCCTCAATTTAAGCTAACCCACTAGACACTGGCAATTACAGAATGTAGCTGAAATTAGCTTGAAAGTAATTCTTGTGCTATCAAAAGTAAGAAAAAAAGAAGTGATCATAGCAAATGCAGAATTTGAAAGAAACGTTTCTTTGTATTATATTTTGTCATGTTCTTTTAATTTAAACTGTTAAATTGAAAATAAGTGGACATGAATTTAGTATGTAATATAAATGAGTACAACCTAATTGTTTATTAGTCTTTTCTATCAGGTTCCTGATCAGGGTCCAAATTCGCAAATGCATGTCAACAGTTATAAGAACAACAAATCGAATCTCTAATAATAAACTAAATGCGACATGAGACTTTAGGATTCTTCCGAAACTCTTAATTACGTACCGTCATATGCGCCCTTCTGTCTTTTCTAGTACTCTGAGCTGCTTCCAAAAACTTGTTTATACGATCAATTTGATATTATATTTATAAAAGCTCACAATAAGAGCAAACATGTACAGCTGGTAGCTAAAAGAATAGAGATATACAAATAGGAATTCCTTAGTTGTTATGCTTCTCTTGTATCAACCCAGCTACGGTTTATATAGTGGCATGCAAAATAAGCCAATTAAAAATGATAATTATTTAAATATATGTATTTGTCTCTTTAAAACACCACCTTTGAATGGAGATTCTTGCGTGTAATGCTTCTCGACCACGATTGTTGTTTGAGAATAGGGTTCCCTTTCATCATTCATTTTCCATTTAATTGAAAAGAGAAGAGCATATAAGCAGCGATCAGAAGATATCCTATCAGTCAAATTAATGTTTTCTTTTTTCTTTTTTTCTTTTGTCATATATAGCCTTAAAATAATCCAAACATATATATATATATATATATATATAGTGTATACATGACCACTTGGGATTTCATGATTATAAGCAAAAATCATGAGTACCACTCGTAGTTGGAGAAATCAGTATCTAATTCCCATCTTTTAACTCCCAGTGAATGAGGAAAGATAGGATATTGTACAAACACACTTACGATTAATTGATTTTTAATTCAATGAGTGTGATTTTGTTTTTTTCTTTTTATAAATAACTAAATTGGCCTTTCCATTGATTTTACTGTTTTGTGATATTTTGGACGTCTCCCCATCTGCTGGAAAGATGCATATATACTTTGTTCCATTGTGTTGGGTTGCCAAAAGTTCCGAGCGTACAATAGATTAAAGGGCTCTGATTAAAATCGCTATTCAGGTATTATTTGTAGGCACCGAGTGCGAGTGTTTTTTTTTTTTTTTTGGATTAACAGAATCCCATTTTGTAAAGTCTTTTAAATCTCTAGCAACAAAATAAGAACAATTATTTTCTATTTGATTCAAAGTTAATTTCAAAAATCGAAACTTCAAATCTTTGGAGTGTTTCATTGGAGGCCTTGAGTAATATATATATATATATAATAGCTCTTCCATTCTTTAATTTTGTTTCTCATTTTAAGCGTGAGATTTTAAATCCACGCTTAAAATTTTATTTATAATTAGTCTGTCAACACGGTTGTGAAATTAAGAATCTTCAAACCAACACGGCTTTTCTGTTGAGAATAATTTTAAAAAAATTGTTAACAAATTAAGGACCGACCTAATTATTGCCTCACCGATAGTGTAAAATAAATTAGTGGTCAACTATCTTAAGCATACGATTCGTTTCGTCCCTACACGTGGCAAAATGACGAACGCGCACGTAGGACACTTCCCCCTCCCCTCGAGGTTGTCATCATGAAAAGCATTCTAAACCTTTTTTTTTCAGTGTGTTATAGTGATCATCTTTTAATACAACTCCATCTAATATATATTCTTCTTCATCTTTTGATACTGTAATCCCAAAAACTCTGATGTGTTAGCCCATTGATTTTGATGTAACATGGATCAAATAAAGCCACACTTTCTAGCCAAGCTAGTAATTGTCCTTTGTAGGGATCAAATACATGAAACTACAATAAAACATGAACCTGAAGCTTTGACCACTGCACTGTTATGTGCTGAGAATCAAAGAAATTAAAAAGCTGATTGGGGACTGAAGATGACAAATTTGAGTCCAGCCAGGACAAGTGGTTCCCTAATTAATCCATCGCTATCGTCAATCAACATATATATGCACTTTTACCACATTAGCTAGCTAGGAATAATGCATAGACATTGGTTAAGCAAACCCTTATTGGTGTCATATGATATCTCAAAAATATTGGCATTAGAATTGGGCAGATTATAACTTGAATTAAGCATGATCAGATTCGCATGCCACATCCCATCTCTCATGCAGTAAGTATGTAGTAACAACAAATGTGTTAGCTGGTTTAGTTGTCCTTACTAATTTTTTTTTTTTAGAGCAATTTTAAAATTTGAAGCATAGATTGGTTCTGTTATGAAGCAGCTTATAGCAAAATAAAAGATTTTTTAATGTTAAAAAAATTAAAATAAAAAACACATTAAGACTGTAGAGAATTTTCAAGTTTGAAATTTATTGATGGAGAATTGTTGAGGGTTAAAAGTCTAAAAATACCTTAAATAGGATATCCTAAACATAAAAGGTAAAATAAAAAAAACAATAAATCATCTTTAAATTCAGAAATAATCAAAACCTAAACAGAAATAAAGAAAAAAAAGTTGTAATTTACAAACAGTAACAATCTGGATTTGTTTGTGAATCTAAATTACTAAAAAGTCCAAAGTGACCTATGATGATTTTTGGTGTTCTGTCACAATGTAAACTTTTAAATAAATTATGATTTAGATCAATTGAACATTCAGATAAAAAATTATAGTTATTTAAGAAATTAATGCATGTATTGTCTTCTTAAACATACTTATGTCAACATGATCCATAAAATCATGAGATAATGAATTTTTTTTTTTTTTGGTTGATATTTGAGACACTGCATTCGCGGAGCTAAGTTGATGTCTCAACAAACAAGTCCAATTTATCGTCACATTATGGTCTTTAATATTGTAGAGAAGAAATAAATGTCAAATGAAAGCGAAGTTTCTTGTATCATTTAACAATTAACCATTGCAGCAGCTTATATGAATAACAAAACAAAAGCATTCTAAGTAAGAAGGTAGAAGTATTGATTTTTGTTCTTCTTTATCCTTTTCTTTTGGTAGCAAAATGACCGGTACTTGAACTTTGGTTAGGTATGGGACAAAGAGAGGAACAAAATTAAGTATCAAACCAACCTTGCATCAGCGAAAGACCTTGTAGCACAGCTGAATTGTTTGACTACAAGTTATTCATCTTGGAAGGTAGAGAGTGACCCTGCTCGCTCTTTTTCTCCAAAAGCACATATATAATTACTAGTGCTTGTCCCGTTTCTCTTGAAAGCGCTTGTGAAGCACCTACAAATGGAATTTTATTAGATGAGAATAATACTTATCATGGAAAAAGAAGGTATTTAAGGGAAT